CATTATAGTGAACGGACCTGAAGAGCAGTAAACACTGAACATGCCAGGAGTAGGTGTTTGAAGTGCCTTGCAGGCTTCTGTTCTCAGTAGCTCAAACTGGTGTATTTCACAGTATGTGGACAAACACACAGAAGACAGACATTTAGCATACATGAATGTTTCCCTTCATCTCACATAGCATTCAGTGGAGTAAGATTTCTGCGTTTTGTGTCGGAGAAATTGACATTGCAAAGATGGAAACATTCTATGCACATAATAGTAAAGGAATCGTTGTAAATAATTAGTTGGAAGATATGTGCAGGACAAATGTCAGAATAGTTTGAATGTATAGTTTTCTCAGAGCTCTCAGGTAAGCTGACCAGATAGGTGTGCCTGAATGTAGAGGTTGGCCAGTTGGCTGGCAGGCCATCGATCCAGTGTCTGTTGAGCAAACTGTGAATGAGAGCGTTTGATGTGGGTCAGTGGTCAGGGATGAGCCTGTGTGTGTGTGTGTGTGTGTGTGTGTGTGTGTGTGTGTGTGTGTGTGTGTGTGTGTGTGTGTGTGTGCAGCTAACATCCTTTTGCATATGTGCTGCCCTGGGTCAGTGATCACAGAGGGAGCATCTGCAAGTTGGGACTTTTTTCTCTCAATTCTACTGTTCAGGCCTGAAAGAGATGCTGCACCCACCAGCTGACACTGCTCCAGAGTCTCCTGCTTTATCTCCCTCTTTATCTCTCTTTCTTTCATACACACACAGACAGACAGTGACACAAAACCACACATGCACACCAGCTTTGTTTGACTGTGCATTTGTACAAACTTTATAGAGAGCATCTTTGTAAAAGATTCATTAACTCAATTGTGCACGTCTGAATATGTGTCTACGTGTGTGTGTGTGTGTGTGTGTGTGTGTGTGTGTGTGTGTGTGTGTGAGTGTGTGTGTGTGTGTGTTTGTGTTGCAGAGTAATATGATCAGCTATTGAAGGTGGGGAAGGGTGGAGGATGGAAACTGCAACCCTTCCTGTCAGACTTAACAGAAAGGAAGAATAGCAGGGATGCTCTGTGTGTGTGTGTGTGTGTGTGTGTGTGTGTGTGTGTGTGTGTGTGTGTGTGTGTGTGTGTGTGTGTGTGTGTGTGTGTGTGTAACTGGTATGTGGGGCCTGGCCAGCAGAGAAAGAGCCCAGGGTTCTTATCTGACCTCTCCCACAATGACCTTTCACCCCTCAAGACAAGCCCTTTGTGTTCACTGAGCCTGAGCCCATGGGTGAACGTGTGTGCAGTGACTATGTGTGTGCATTCACATAGGTTTGTGTGTGTGGGTGTATGAGAAGTATAGGCCACATCAAAGTCTTACTTAAACATTGTTATCTGGATTCCCCTTTGACCTTTGGGTCATGAGACATCCCTGAAATAAAAACATCTCTTCCCTCACCACAGCAAGTGTTTATGTGGTTTTACATACATTAGCAAGGAGCTGACAGCATCTAAGGACCTGATAAACCATGCATAAACCAGTACATCATATCTTTTTCAAACTTTTCTTCAATACAATTCAATTGATTGCAAATGATAAATTCTAACAAACAGTTTAACTCGTGTCCAATTACTCTAATTAAAACAGATGGATTTGTTTCCTCCTTTTAGATCATCTGGAGACAGCAATGTCCTCAAAATCCTTTTTTTAAAGAACACTTTAGAAGTGTTACAATACTGGTGAAAAGGTTGTATTGTTGAAGTGCCATCTGCAGATTGCACGGGGGCTCAAAAGGATCCTACTACAGTGTGAGGTTGGCGTCTCTTTTAGGGAGGTTGTGGGAAGGTGGTCCAAGGGGTCATAAAACACCACAATAGTGTCTCTCTCCCCAGGGGGAAAGACAGAGAGAGACCTAGAACAAGAGGAGGGGGTGGATGAAAGGATCTCCCACTTCCATGCAAAGGAGAGTTGAAGGAGGGGGATATATGAGGAGAAAAGATCAACAAAGCTCAACATTTCTGTCTCAGCTCTTATTTGTTTACTTTTTTTTTTTTTTAAAGCGCTTTTATACTTTATGGATCCCAAAGGGGATATCACAACTTTTCACTCAGCTTTTATGAGACATGCTGCACACACACACACACACACACACACACACACACACACACACACACACACACACACACACACACACACACACACACACACAGGTCCAAAATATACACAAGCACAGGAACCAATAGACAAGCATTTATGGAGATATGTCAGAGTGAAAGGGCAGTTGGGGGTGAGGTGCCTTGCTAAAGGTCACCTCAGCAGAGCAGGGACTTGAACCGGCACCCTTGTTCCTTAGCTATTGTGCCTCAGGTTCTTCAGGTTTTTCAGATTTATTTCACACAGATATTTTTAAAACACTACAAGGGCAAAAGTGCAGCTCAAGATTATATGCAAATGTGTCTGAAAAATACTAGTCACAGAACAAAGCTCCTTTGTCAGTGCAGGCCTGCTACTTTAGGCATGTTGATTAAGATACTAGTATTACAATCACTGTAACCTGCATCATTACCTAAAGTAATGTGTTTTTGATTTTATACTGATTTGTTTAATTTTGAGCACTAAAAACATTTTCTTTGCAAATCAGCTCCAATTTCTAGAAGAAATCTCCATAAACAGCCTTTGTTCATTAGTTCAAATCTGCACCTATACACTACTGATCTCCATTTGGTCCAAAGATTGGGATTCTGGTTACAATTCAATAAAAAGAGGAACACACCTCTCTACTTTCATCTCTTTTTTGCTTCTGTCCCTCCCTGTCTCCTCTGTTTCTGGTTGTAAAAGATCAGGGTGCTCTTTGGGAGAAGGTGTGATTACTTCCTCTCAGAGCCGGCTGTGTTATGACAGGGCTTTTTGTCTCCTCTCCTCTGTCATTCCACAAAGTGGTGCAAGGCTTTAAAAGTCTGCAGCGCTTCTTTACATATGAAAGTGTTAAAGCAGAAGGTGGCCCGTTTAAGGTGTGTGTGTGTGTGTGTGTGTGTGTGTGTGTGTGTGTGTGTGTGTGTGTGTGTGTGTGTGTGTGAGAGAGTGAAGAAGACAATGTGTGTGTGTGTTTGTGTGTGTGTGTGTGTGTGTGTGTGTGTGTGTGTGTGTGTGTGTGTGTGTGTGTGTGTGGGCAGTGGGCTTTGACTATTTACATCCTTGTGTGGAACTATTTTGGATAAGTCTGAATCTCAACCATAGCTGGCACAATCTGCAAAGCTGAAGGTTCAGTTCAGTCCTGTTCCGTCAGCTTTATTTATCCCAGAAAGACAATTCAGTTTCATACTTGTAGCATGTTTCAAGGCAAAAGCAGATTCCCTAAACATCAGTAAATAAATTCCACAATCATTGATACCAAAGGTCCAATGTATGCCAAATGTATGCCATGCTAGCTTTATCAATGCTGGTATTTGAAATGTAGGGGCAAAGAGTCATGTCTGTTCAGTTTTACACAATACAATCTTTCACAGTGTATATTTACTTTTGGTGTAAAATGAACAAATTTAAGAATTTCTTAAGTCTTGTTAGTTCCTGTTTGGATGTTTTCTTTTAAAATTTAGAGGATTGTCAAAGGATTGCAACCCAGACTCCATAAACGTTTTCCTTTTCCTATTCAAAGTAAACTGCAAATGTGAATGTGTTTGCTGTAGCAACAGGAGATGCAATACATGAGTTTGTATTCCATCATCTGATCATCTGAAATCATCTGAAAGTAATGCTGGTATTTGACTGGCAGGGATGCTTTTTATAAATGCTCAGTCTAACAGAAAGCTGCAGTCCTTCTAACATGAGGAGTAAGCTTTGAGGCTGTAATCTGACATGTTAGCCTCTTCATTTATCTAAGCTGCCGGTTGCTCACTGGTCAATGAAGCATGGGACGGTGAATCCGGGTTTGTTTTGTGTGTGTGTGTGTGTGTGTGTGTGTGTGTGTGTGTGTGTGTGTGTGTGTGTGTGTGTGTGTGTGTGTGTGTGTGTGTGTGTGTGTGTGTGGTGTGTGTGTAGCAACAAGCAGATGGTGAGGTTTAGGGGAGCAGGATTAAGTTGGTGTCACTGTCAACACTCTAACTTTGTTATTTCCCTCCGTTGACCCTGTTTGTTTCATCTTTCGATCCTAAAAAACATATTACGCCCTGAAATCTTAACTAGTGATGGAAACAAATTCATTTATCATCTTATCAAGTGCAAGGGGACTCTGAATGTATTTTCGATTTTTCCAAATTAAACTAACAGATCAGTGAAGATTTCTCTTACGTGTACACTTAAACATGAAAATTAGAAAATAAAACTTTTCTATGTATGGTGTTATGTAAACTTTAACCATAACAACATTATTCAGTGCGCATAAACAAAAGTATCTGCAAAGAATTACTGCTTTCTTTCTTCTTGGAGCATTTCTCATCTGTTGGAGAGCAAATGAAGGAGGCGAGCCAATGAATAAACCATAGAGAGAGATGGTTGGAAAGGGAAAGTAGAAAAACAGAGACATGGAGGAGAGTCTAGGTCAGGGTGCCCTGACTCTGTCAGTGCATCTGATTTAATGGCATGCTGCCTGGACTGAGGCCATCCACTAGTTACTACTGTGTTAGTGTGCAGGTCTGTGTGTGTCTGTGTGAGAAGTTGTGTTTCTTGACTCCAGAGTTTGCGTGTGTTGATGCAGATGTTTTTATATGCTTGTGTGTGTGTTTTGCTAAGGCTTGGCAGCTTTAAGGAGCACATTATTCTCAATGTCAGACTCTTTCAACAGATGTAAACAGAAGAATTTCAAAAGACTGCGTAGTCATGTATAACTGGGATAAATTACGTTTTTTTGGGGGGGGGTTTTTCTGCTGCTTATTCTGTCAGGACTTTGATACTCAATCTTACATGATAATGGCACGGCAGGTTAATCTGAACCTACACAATCAGAATCAGTATTTTAGTGGATGTATGTAATCACAACAATTTACTGTCAGCTTGCAAAGGTCTTTTTTTCTGTCCAACACAATATTGTTGTGTTTTTGCAGGACACCAATGGGGAACTCGTATGCTGGCCAGCTACGGACCACACGCTTTGAGGAGGTTCTCCATAACTCCATTGAGGCGTCTCTGAGGTCCAACACTGTAGTGCCTCGTCCTGTGTTCTCACAGCTGTATCTGGAGACAGAGCAGCCGTTGACACATGATGGTGGGTTTTTGTGGATGCAAAGAAGAAGAAGAAGGAGCATAATAAAGAGTTCTTGGCACTTCTGTAGCATCTGCCTGTCACTCTTGTCCAGAATTATATTTTTTATGTGTATGTCCCCGACAGGCCGTGCAGAGAATGATGATGAGGATGATGAAGATGGGTCAGAATCTAACAGTCCTCCTATACCCTATCAGATGAAGCCCCCACCTGAGGGATGCTGCACCACAGATGGTTTGTTCATGAACACATATAAAAGCTCTCAAAATCTTTCATGCGTTTAGTGGTCAGGTTTAAAAGAGGATGCTGCAACCAATGATCACATGTGAAATACAGTGTTTTATCCTCTCTTTGCTTCCCCCACAGGCTTCTGTCAGGCAGGCCGAGACCTGCGCCTGTCTACACTGGCATCAGATCCCTTTGATGTGCCCACTGGGTTCATGTTGGTTGGGGTGAAGTCCCCCTCCCTCCCTGAGAGCCTGCTGGTCTGTGCCGTGGACCACCGCTTCCTGCCAGATGAACGTGGTCACAATGCACTGCTGGGTGAGAGACTGTAGACTTGAAGGAGCACACACATGTCATTAGTGTTTGTTAAAAAGTGAAAAACTTTCAAAATGACAATTTAGGCCTCTTTCAAAGAATAAGCCTTGAAAGTTGTTCTCATTTGTGTCTTGAGTAGACATGAGTTAGGACATGATAAGCCAAGCTAGGCATCAAGACAGGAGGTGAAAATATATCTTCTGTATGTGCTCCCTCCAGGTTTTTCAGGGAATTGCATGGGCTGTGGAGAGAAAGGCTTTCGTTATTTCACAGAGTTCTCCAACCACATAAATCTGAAGCTCAGCACGCAGCCCAAAAAACAAAAGCACTTGAAGTACCTTCTCTACAGAAACAACCAGGGCCTGCTGGTCCAAGGAGCTCCCGTCTTCTGGAGGGGACACGGTAAGAGATGTACATGTATTGTATTTGGCAACTGAGGTCACACTTCAATTTAAATCTGGGCCCAATTTTGTTCTGAAAGCATTTTAGTATAACTGAGAAACATGTGGCCTAGAGTTTCAATTGTTGTCCAGTTGTTCTTCATCTCAAGCATCCAGTTGATTGTTGAGTAAGTGAAGGCATACGCTGAGGATCTGCTTTTGGTTATCGCTCTTTTGAATTGCATTTTGCATGCAAACAGCTGGACTAGTAGTGAATCCTTAAGGGCATTTGAAAGGTGACACGACAGAGTGTACAAAGACGCCACAGCTTTGCGGCAACACATCAAATGAAAATAATGTGCAATGATTTTCCTGAGTAAAAGTCTGGTAGATGTAGCGTTCTATCTAAGCTGGTCTCTCAAGGTCCTGTTGTTCCTGTTGTTCCTGTTGTTCGTGAGGGAAAGCTATGGGAGAACTATGGGAATATCAGTGTTAGACACTAATGTACCTCTAAGGTAATCCCTTTAGATTTGAAGTGTGAAAATGTTTTTTTTTAAGGTTTTATTCACATGTTTACAAAGTTAAGTCATTTCCCTGGGTTGTGCCATGCAGCAATAACAAATTATTTGCAAACCCTGTGCTTAATAGAATCTTAAATCCTTCTGTAGTCGGGATGTACTGACGCTGATATTGGTCCAATACTAACCACAATAGTTAGAGATGTAATGACAACGGGGGCTTTCCTGAGCCGAGTAATTCTATTAAATGCTATAGCTTCTTTCATGTTTATGATCATTTTGCTCTGAGGAATAATGAGGGAGCTTCTTCATCTACTTTGAGAGATAGAGTTTAAGCTTTGTGGAATTTGAAGTGACTTGTAATCTACCTTTTTAATATATATATATCCCTAACCGGCATATTGTTCTCCTCTGATGTAGTTGTTGTGTTTTATTCTGGCATTTTACCTCATGCTATTGTTGCTGCATTTAACGGTATACACCTGAATGATGATTCTTGATACTGACCTACTGTAGTTGCTGTTGCAGGGGTATTTCTTGTTTTGATTAGAACAATCTGTACATTTGTTTTATATATTTGTTATATTTTATGTGTCAGTTATTCAAATAATTCAAAGCCTGGCAGTCAGAGCAGATTTAGTTTGTTTCTAGAAACAGCTTTACTGAGTTATTTGTATAACTTTGTTTAACAGGTTCTACGACTCAGTAAACCAGGTAGTTCATTTATTATTCAGAATGGCCTCTCTCATTTCTCCAGAGCCCACACATATGAGGTCATATGAATGCCCACACACATACATGTACACAACAAAAACTTATAACAATAACTGAGCCACTGCAACTACATCACAGTGTATCAGATTAGTTATTTTTGTGTGAATGTTTGGGTTTCAGAATGCAGGATTAGACGGATTGCATCCACCCTTGCAGAAGGTCATGTGACATCGGATGGACAGCCACCAAACATTAACCCGACTCACCCATCACACACAGGTAACACACCAAACAGATATATGGAGACGGTTGAAGATGACATCTCAGTGGTCAAGATGAAACCTTTATTACTCTCATTGTCAATTGTTGTCGTGTTGTTTTTTTGTTTTCTCATTCTTACAGCGCAAAAATGATTAAATGATGTCTGGTTGTAATGTAGTTGTATTTATTCATTTTTTTCTTTTTTGTAAACAGCAGGAGCACATGTGGACCCACCCGTTCTGCCACAAATAGCTGACGTTCCCCCCTCGCCGGCAAATGGCAATCATGCTGTTCCCTCCTCCATCACACAGCCACCTTTAAATCAGTCAGGGCCGGGAAGACCCTCAGCTACAGGTACACCCTACAGTACACACTATCATCCTCCTCATATATGGACAACACAGGAATTGTCTTTTTTCAGATTGAAACATTTTGAAGTTACTTCTTTTAAGTTGTGCTTAAATTCTTATCACAACACCAATGTGTGTGACACAACCTTGAGGAAGGTATTTCCTGTACATGTTGATATGTACAATTGATTATTTATTGAGTAATCCTCTTGAACTGTCAATGAATACAATTTGAATGTTGACTGACATAGCTAATACTTGTGTTAACTATTCAAAAAGTAAATTAACAGTTTTTGACTCAAACTAAATGTTGTAAATTCTTGTTAATTTTGCGAAGCGTCCTCATTGCAAAAAATTCAAATTTGAAACTTGAGCCTCTTCACATTTTTTTTAATCAAACTATACATATGGAGCTATTTTATATCTACGTTTGTAGCTTTTGTAAGTGTTACATATTATCTAACACATTTTTAATTATATTTTTTGCTGTAACCTCCTTTCTGACCATTAGCTGGCTTCTTGAGTTCATGCTAACGTGGTCAGTTTGTGTCTGTTGTCAATAAGCCCCTCCCCTGGGTGTCTTCACACCTCTGAAAGGGAGAACTCCTACCGCAAGTAGCCCAGTGTGTGTGTGTGTGTGTGTGTGTGCGCGTGTGTGTTATTCATCCCTGCTGCAAGAGCCTGCCAGCTGCATTGTGGGTTGGGGGTTGTCCTTTGTCTTTCTGTCTCTCTCCCTCCCTTTTCTCTTGTCTGTCACCTTTATTAAACTGGGTTGTAAAATGCTCTCTCTGTCTCGTCTTTTTCCCTGTCTTCTCACAGGATGAAAAGCTTCCTTCCTGTTAATGTTGTTTTTTTCATGGCCCTATTAACAAGTGGACCTTTTATGTGTCTCCTTATGAGCGCACTTTAACACAGCATTGAGGGGAAAAGGAAGAGTCGGGTTAATGTGTGACCTAAAAACACAGCTGCCTTCCAATAATGTTTTACCAGAAGTCCATCATAAAACATGTAGTGTAGCTTCTGTTGATTTTGGGGTTCTTAAAACTCGATTATAATTCAAAGAAATGAATTGTAGAAAAGTGCTGTAACTAAGCTCAGCCATCATCACGTCTTTGTATATTGATATTGATTCTGCGATGGGGTAATATTAGTTTCCCAGTCTGTGAATACACTTTGCATTTCGGTATTGTGGAAGCACGGCATAGTGGGAGCTCCATATACTCACACAGTCAGACATGCTCCTCCACACAGTGCTGGACTCCAGCCTGGCACAGCTGATCCCATCTTGCCTCTGTAACGCCTCTGTTACTACCTCTAAAGACGGTACAGAGCGGGGATCACTTAGTCCCCCTAATACGCCTCTGCAACATTTAGATTGAACATGAAACGTCACGTATTTCATTTTGAAACACCTGTCTGAATACACCGTTGTAAATACATCAGTCTGAATACACCAAGTGAAACTACTATAGTTAAAATCAACAAAATGAACAGCAGTGATTCATTTAAGAGAATCTCTTAACTGGGAAAAAGCCGGCAAATCATCACATAGTAGCAGTGTTTATAGATAAAATATTAGTGTACCAATGATTTACCATTATTTTTCAAATGTATTTATTCGTATTACTAGTGGTTCGAGGGATGAGAGGGTGTCTGGGCAAAATGCATTTCATTGCTGACTTACTTCTAATCTTATTTTCTATTCTGCAGGTCCACCTGCAAATGCTGGACCTCCAAAAAAGAGGCACAAGGGCTGGTCCCCTGAGTCCTCTGCCAACAGTCTGCCAGAGAGCGCTGTGAAGACACCTCCATCTTCATCCACCTCAACAACAATACCAGTTTCTTCTGTTATAAGTAGTGGAGCCAGGCCAGGTACAAAGGGGGGAATAAGAGTAATCATGTTGTTAAAGTTATTTATTCAGTGTAACATGTTTACACAAGACAGTAGAGTTACCTGAAGAGTACTGTTTTTACTTTTAAACGTAAATATGTTCATGTGCTTTCTCCAGAGACAGCCGTTCCACTGAGCTCACCGCAGGGTTCCTCAACCCCAATTTCTCCCCAGAGCTGTCTGTAACTATCCCTGATCAGCTGCTACACACCTGCAGACTGCAACCTGTCATCTTTAAAGGTCAGCTCTATCATCATTCTATCAGTTATTTATGTTGATAGAATACACCTCCAAGTTTCTCAAGCTTATTCATGCTCTTGACAGGGTTGGGTAACATTTTGAAACCCTCTACCAAGCAGGTGAACAGATAGAGTTTTCAGTAACCACCTACCAGATGGTCAATTAGCTCCCTATTTCTCTCAGGTTAGAGGTCAGCCAACACCCCAGTCTGTTTCTCAGCCTGTTTGCCTTCCGTCATCCCCTCCACCCTTTCAATCCTTTGTATCACCTGTCAAGTCGTCCACCTTTCCTCCCACACCTCTTAGCCCTGAAACACTTCCTATGTTCGTTGTTGTGTTCATTTTCATTACCTCACATGTTTGGTGCCGCCATCCAATAAACATATTACAAGCAATGAGCTCAAACACAGGTTATTAGCAAATATATGAATAATTTGCATCTAATGAAAGAGGAGCTGATAGTCTTAAAGACTCAGACTATGATGTCTGTGTTCTTTTTCTTTTTTGTTGTTTTTAAAGGCTACATTTAACATGTACATCTATTTTAAATTGTTCTGCTCCATCATTTTTTTGAGTGTAAAACCATTTTGCCATCTAGCCATCAGTAAGGCAAGCACCTTTTCCAACCCTTTATTACCTGATATTATTTGGCACATCCTATGTCCCAAAGATGAAGTGATAGAACTTGGATTCAAGTTTCTTAACCATGTATAACGGAAATAAAAATATGTGGAAAGGATGTGGGGATTTGCAAAGAATCCATAATGAAAATGGCTGAAAGTAATCTTAGCCACCTCTCCATGTTCATCCTTGTTTCTGCCTGCCTCCCACTGACACAGGTCACGGCCCTCTCCCTCAGTTAACTGGCAATGTCAGTGAAGTGCTCGTCAGTTCTTTGCTCCAGAGCTGTTATCTGAGCTCCCAGACGCTCCCCAGAGTCTACCAGCACTACGGACCATCACCCATCCAGCCGTTGTCAACTGAGATGCAGATTCTACTCACGGTGTACTACCTCGTTCAGCTAGGTCAGTGAAAATCCTTTTTCCAAAATACATGCTGTGATTACACACAGTTCAGTGGGACTGAAATTCAGTTAATATTAATTTTCTTTCCACAATACTATTGCTATGCCTTATAATGGCCACCAGGTGGCAGAAAAGAAACAAACATCAAGTTCTTTTGAATTGAGTTTTAGTGACTTTCTTTTTTTGTTTTACATATTTCATATCATTTCTTTATCCTCCCAATAAAACCATCCAAGGTCCAGACCAGGTGCCCCTCATTGAGGACTTGGAGCAGATTTTCATGAGGTCATGGAGGGAGTCCCACCTCAGCGAGATCAGACAGTACCAGCAGCCTCAAACAGCTGCCACCCAAGGGAGACTATATGGCATAGAGGTGAGACAGGGTGCCTCACAGGTGTCTTACAGTCTTGTAGGTATTTCTTCTAAGGGAATAAAAGAACTAAAGAAATAATTTTTTTGAAAAGTTTAATATTTAGATTCAATGCTCTAAACTTTCCCAATTTTTTTCTTTTGTATCCATCTTATAATGCTATCCTTTACCTGTACTCTATGCATATGGTAATTCACAATTAATGAAAAACCTGCTCTTCTTTTTCTACCATTTTACCAGACCCTGTCCACCCTGCCTGGCTTCCCACAGCATCTCTCATTACCGCCCCAGAGCCAGCAACCTCTGACCCCTAGCCAGCTTCCTTGGCTGGCCCAGCTGGCTGCGTCATCCTGTGGAGAAGGCGTGGTGGTTGTAGGCGAGCAGGTTGGATCTTTGGCTCAAGGCATCCAGCAAACGTTCAGCAGGCTGAAGGAAGGACGGCTCGAAAACACCAACTATGTAGTAATTATTGTCACTGCACCAGGACAGGAAACACAATCCTGTGTGATTGTCACAGGTAGGGGTTGTGTTTTTTATTTCCTTTTGTATGCGAATGTAATAAAGTTTCTTGAAAATGAATCTAGAAGCATATATGCAATTTTATTGGTGTGTTTTTTGGTGTACATTTTGCAGGTAAACACCAGTGTCGGGCTTTGGCAGAGAGCATGTACTCTCCCAGTGAGGGACTAAAAGAAATAAACCAGCAACTTTCCACTGGTGTTGCCCAGGAACTCATCCACTACTGCAACTGCCTCGGACAAGGTTTGTCTGACTGTCTGCTTTCAATTACACGCTGAAAGGCTGCTAATGTGTATATTTATAATAATTTACCAACATAAAGTGCATCTTTCTGTTTATCAGATGGTGATTTGGACTCCCTGCTGGACAGTGCCACCGTGGACAGTAACGAGCAGTCTCCCATGTCCAGTAGTCAGGAGTCAGCTGAAGATAAGAGTCTAAAATCCAGGCACAGTCCAAAAGATGTTCAAAGACCAAAAGAGTCACAAACACAGGGTTCAAAAGACTCACCGAGCACTAAAGAGGGAGCTTCAAGTCCCAAAGACACCTGTTCAGGTGAGACACAGTGTGAAAGTGATCTTTGAAAAAGTGTGTGTCTGACATGATTGACTGTAGCTCAGGCTGGGATTTGGTTTTTAATAACTTTTGTCTTCTTATAGACTCACAGAGAGCCATTGATTTTCTGTTGATCATGGAAAAACTGTTAAGATTACACTAAGAATGTGTTTTCATATGCCCTCCTCCTTTTGCCAGCAAGTGTGCACTCTTTATACTAGCTCCATTATAGTATTTTTTTAAGAGTTTGTTGATATGAATTTGTGGCTTGTGTGTGTAGAATACTCTGTAGATTGGCGTGAGGTTCGTCCCATCCAGCTTGCAGTTGCCAGAAAGCTCCTGTCCCATGTTTGTGCGATAGCCGACTCCAGCACTCAGAACCTGGACCTCGGCTCGTTTGACAGGGTCAGCTTCCTCATCCTAGTCCCGCCCTCTGAGGTCACATTTCAGCAGACAGTTCTTCACCTCTGGAGCTCTGGTTTGTAGTATGACTCGTTTCTTGTCAGCAATTGTTTCTATCCATTATTGTCTTTAATGAAGAGTGATTAGAAACATATTTGGTTTTATGTTTGCACCTCTTACATGATCTGTTTTTATATTAAATTGTACAACAATTGTTTTTTCTTTGTTTAACTCAGGTGTCCTTCAGGAGCGGGGGGGTTTAGACCAGGAGTGTTTGTCTCAACAGGAGGCTGAGCGTTATGTGGTCAAGATGGATCAGAGCGCTCAGACACGAATTGACAACCTCATTCAGGAAGCACATAGGAACTCCTACACGCTTTACATCCTGGTCCATGACCATGCCCACCGGGACATTAACATGTGTGTGTGAGAAAAAGAAAGAGGAAAAAGAAATCAAATGTGATGCAAAATAATTAGTGTGTTCACTTTGTATGTTACACCAGTGAAATATTGTGGTCTAATGAGAGCAGTGGCAGAGAAGTAAAGTGTGTTTGATCTTTCTTTCTACTTTGTCTTTATCTGTTTCTCTCATTCAGTGAATCCTGCAGTAGCTCAGACAGTAGTTTGGGTCTGGTGGACCAGTTGTTAAACTCCAGACAGGTCCGAGATGCTCCAAACATCCTTATCCTCCACGTCACTTCTTTCCCCTTCGCCCTGCAGACGCAGTATACTCGCATCAGCCCTTACAACGAGATCCACTGGCCCTCTGCGTTCAGTAATGTAAGACCGTACACACTTTGTATTAAACTTACACTCATTGCTATTGAAATGAAGTTCACACTCGATTCAATTGCTTGTATCTGTGTGTAGGATGTGGACTTGTACCATGAGAGGACGAGGTACTTTGGTGTGTCAGAGCTTTTAGAGTCAACGCGTTCAGGCAGCAGCCTGCCTCTGATGCGTTGTGATTCCTCCTTTGAAAGTATGGCATCTGCTCTGGAAGAGAGGTAACTCTAATGCACACATGCTTAATCCTTGCTTCTAAATCAAGTTTGCATTTTTTGCAAGCTTACAGAGAAATGAGAGCTGCATATCTCTTTCCCCCAGGTTCCCAAAGCTGCACAGTGCTGTGATCCGGACTACAGTATTGATCCAACACTACTGTGTGGCTCTGATGGCTGTATCTGGCAGAATCAGCGGCTCCCACAATCTCCACAAACACACGTCTGTAGAGACCCTAGAGATTGTACAATCACTGCTCACTGCTGCCCAGCAATGTCCCGCCCACCATGGCCACATGGTCCTGCTGCGGATCCCCTCGCTGGCTCTGGCAGCGTGGGCCCACAGACGGCTGTCCAGGGTTAGGAGGCAGCTTGGTCTGGAGGAGAGTTTTGAAATCATCATGGGGAATCCAAACCAAGCTCTGACTATTGGACAGAACTTCACTGACCAGATCAAGGTGGGATAGAGGTGTATTCTAGCATGGAGTACTGGATAGACATAGATAGACTGTGTGTATGAAATAGATGTATGCGTCATGACATTACCCATTAGTAAACCCCTTTTTTGAAGCCTTGATTTTAGTATTTTTCTGCCACCCTCTTGGTTTTTGCTTGAGGTGACCATATTATGATGGCAGAGTGGATATGCATTGTTGTCAATTTCATCTTGCCATGCCCTATAATAAACATGACTTTTTGCTAGTTTCATTTGGAAAAGGACCATTATTCATAAAATAAAGAATGCTGTATTGAGGAAGATTTAACCCTAGCAAATCACAGACTCACAAGTTTTTTTTAACAAGCTTATGAATCAGATAAGAAGCAGGATCATTATCTCATCGGTTTTCTTACTATCCTACTTCCTTTTCCAACCAGGGAGTCTTCCCCTGCTGGATATTAGAAAGAATGCGGGTCTTTTGCATTTCTGCATATATTTCTCTATTGGAACCAAGAGGCTCAGTCCAATTTGTGCTTATAGTTTGTGAGGATACATTGTTTTTAAGATAGATGCGCTAACAAGTAGATGACAATAATGACAGTGAAAACTTTGGGGTTTCTGAGCTTGCGTTTGTGTTTATATCCTGCAGACATGGCTGAAGATCCAGGAGGCTGACTGGGTTCCTCGGACCTACCTAGAACTGGAGGCCCTCCCCTGCATACTTATCTTGTCAGGAGCTGAGCCTCTGGGAGAATCCCTGCCCAGGTACACACAGTAGCCCCTTTTATATTGCCTGTCCAAGATGGCACTGTTACACCTCTGTTACCCCTCGCCATCAATATAAATACCACAGAGATGAAGTGGGGGGACAAAATAAGTAGTTCACTAATCTGGCATCAGAGGTAGTAGCAGAGGTGTAAAAAAATGAAAAAACTGTGTCACTTTAAAAATATTTGGGCTGGCAGAACAGCTCTGTGTCTGTGTGCGTGTGTGTATCTGATTATTATTTGTTACCAACATCTGTGTACTCTCGTTTTATAACCAATTGTTAACCCCTGATATGTGAAAACAGGTTTGATGTGTAGCAACAGTGAATTCAAAAGAATAATATTATTTTTTCTTCATTTTTTCTAATCCATTGTGTTAACAGATCACTGAAGTACTGTGATCTCAGAGTGATAAGCTGCTCCTACCTCCAGAGGACCACACTTGAACAAGAGCTAGGACTGGCTGCTTATCTAGTGAAGGCAGAGTCCCGACCTCCACACAACCCAGGACCAGGAAGTGACCAGCTGGAGAGTGATGCAGAGAAACTCAGCAGTACTGACAATGAGGAGGAGGAGGGACAAGAGAATGGTGAAGTTATATGCAATTTAACTTTTTTATGTGCTTATGAAATGTAATGTAATATTTAGTATTGCAATTTAGATTGATATCTCAACTAATTTGGAACCTAATTAATTGTTTTTTTGTTTGTTTTTTCCTCCTGCCTTATCTAGGGGACTCCCCTCTGTCATCCAGTCAGCAGCTTCGGTCAGGCCCAGACAGTGGAGGTTCAGATCCCTTCCCTGCACAAAGCACCAGCTCTCCAAATGTTCAGAAAAGGACCCCTGATACCATAAAGTCTCCCTCACCATCACAGACTCAAAATCAACCCCAGCCCCTGTCTCAATCTCTTCTGTGTCCTCAACCTGCGCTACACCACCAAACCCTCCCTCAAGTGCAGGGTCACTCCCAGCCCCAATTTCAGAGTCAAAATCAGTCACTATCTCAACCAAATTCCCAACATTACAATCAAACATCTTCCCAGCACCAGTCGCTCTCCAACATGCAAGTACCTCATACTCAGCCACAAATACTTCCCCCTGCACAGTCTCGCCGCCAACACTCCAAGTCCACCTCCTCTGGCTCCTTGTCCCCCCGAGCCTCCTCTCCTCATCTGAGCTGCTCCTGGGCTCGAGGAGTGAGTCGACCGCCCTCTGTGCTCCTCCCTCGTGCCCTCTACGATATCATCACAGCTAGCGACAGCAGCGGGCTTCCACGATGTACTACATTCCTGCCACACATGTCCGTCGCATGGGCCAGCAGCTTTAGGTAAAATATGACTGTTACTCTTTTTTTACACACCACTACTTTAAGACTGATGGTACTGATACAAAAGCTGAGTAATCATAAACCAAGCACTACTCTATCTGTGGGACGTTATCACTGTTATGAACTTTGATGAACTGCTGGTTACCATAATTTGAAAAATAACGGTAAGTATAATCAGTAAAGGTAGATCCGCCCTTTTTGATCATTCTAATACAAACTTATATGTCTACAAACATGACGGTCTGATGGCCTCCTTCATCTACATTTAAGGCAAATAAGGCAGTCCAACATTGTGATATATCTTAAGTTAAAAAATGTTTCATTGGCTTATTTAGTTACTTTTTTTTATAGGAAATTACTTCATTACTCCTTCATTGTCAAAATGAGTTTTGAGTCTTGTTTTGAAGATATGTTACAAATGTGTAGAAAGCATAGTTATATAAAGGTTTGTATGTGAATGTTACAGGTCTCACTTGGAGAAATCCAGCTGTTCACTTTTCTTCTGTGTGCAGGCCCTTGCTGAGTAAGATGATGACGTGCACAGAGCAGTCACTGTACTATCGCCAGTGGACCGTGCCTCGCTCCTACCACATGGACTGCAGCAACCGCACTGAAGGACGAAGTGACAACTTTCACCCTCGCAGACTGCTGCTCAGTGGACCTCCACAGGTACCTGCTGACCTATTTTATTTCCTTTGTTCAAACTAAAGCTCATTCTTTGCTGTTCATTTTCATGTACTTTTCATGTTCTTTTGTATTTTCCGTGGGTCAGGTGGGTAAGACAGGAGCGTACCTACACTTCTTAGGTACTTTGTCTCGGATGCTGATCAGGCTGATGGAGGTGGATATCTACGATGAAGAAGACATCAACTACAGTGAGTATACTCCCAGTATTAGTCACCAATTACCTCCTACATTAGAGTAATAATGGTGGCTAGCCTTATCGCACAACTTCTGCTCACTTTTGATTTTTTTCCAGTTTTCCTTACCTTTTCTATATTTCAATGCAATGCTTTTGCTAAGATCATATGATTGTTTCTATGATTTGCTGGGTCAATCCAGTTTTAATTTTGACTATCAATATTTTTAGTACTTGTATGTAATGCACACATTTTTAAATGTGTTGTGTGTCTAGGTGCTCAGGCAGAGGGAGTGCAGTACCACCTACCCAACTCTCGCTGGCCCAACCCAGATATCATGAAGACTATACACTTCAACTACACCATCCATGATCCCAAATATGATGACATCAGCTCTGTCTATTGCCCTGAATACAAACCCAGTGCTAAGGGTAGGTGCGCGCACACACACACACACACACAGACAATATCAGTATAAAAGCACTATATTGACACAACATTCATCTTTATGTCTGCTGCTTTTAAAAACAAATTCTCAGAAGCTACCTGTAAATGTGCTATTCTCCTAATCCATCCTCGCTCCTGTTGTCTTTTCAAGGAAACCCGATGCGCCAGGAGGATGTGTACATTAGACGGCGGACATCTAGGATCAAGCTGTCTAAATATGCAGCCTACAACACCTACCACCACTGTGAACAGTGTCACCAGTACCTGGGCTTCAATCCAAGATACCAGGTCAGCAGAACACAACAACACAACATGAAAAGTGACACTCTCACTTCTTTTGAATGATAAATGTCAACATGTACAGTATGTTGCATCTCTTTTCCATTCTTATATCCAGATGTATGAGTCAACACTGCATGCCTTCACATTCACCCATCTACTGCTCGGGGAAGAGATCCAACTCTACTTCATCATCCCAAAGTCTAAAGAGCACTACTTCAGCTTCAGCAATCCTGGAGGCCAGCTGGAGAGCATGAGGCTGCCTCTCACCTCTGACTGGGTAAGTCCCTTCTTTGTTGAAGCTTAGCTATGAACCCTGAAATATTAGCGTTTCCTTTTTTTGCCAGATATGTGCAGAGTAAAAACAACAACTGGAAAAATTGTATGAAAAATGTATGCCGTACACATGTAGTTCGATTGGTACTGTGCACAACAGCCTCTAGCGAGGACTTGAAAATGTCTTGTCGGTGATAAACTTGTTTGTACATTTTAGATTACTTAAACAAAGGGGGAAAATAAAAGATCTTTCAAGAGAACTAAACGCACAGCTACATTTCTTAACCCCACACAAACGGCTTACTGCTTGAAACTGTTTTATTATCCAACATTCACTTTCAGTGAAGTCTAATGGTAGCTTAGACTGAAGATCATTGCCAACAGTTTGAATGTCAGCTGTTTGTGAGGGTTATTTACAACACAATGAAAGTGAATGTGCCGAGCTGTCCTGTTTAAAACTTGGTCAAAGTCGGAGTTGTAGCAAATCCTTTTCAAGTAAATGCACTTATCTCAACACGTTACCCTTGCCTTTAAATATATATGCAGATCAATGCAGCATGCTTGCACTCCACTAGGTGGTGCTACATGTTAGACTATGGCTAAGAGGCCACTAGTGGAGATCCAGGTCTTGCCTGTTACTGGGTTGAAGTTAAAGCTTAAAAAATCCCTTTTGGTGGTACTCAGATGGCCTAGTGGTTAGTTTGTGTGCCTTGTGTACAGAGACTTCAGTCCTCAAAAGCTGGATACTCAGGTTTGAATCCAACCTGTGGCTCCTATACAGCCTGTCAATACCCACTAAGTAAGAGGGAGGACATTTTGTTAATCGAGTGCTTTTAAACACCTTTTTTTACAACTTCTGACCAGAAAATGTATGAATCTATCTTTATTCTCTGGTTAACTTTTTTTCATACTGATCATTAGAGACCAACACGTCCCAAGATCCCTAATCCAGTACACAGATCATAGCATCTAGAAATTAACAACTCATGAGATATTGTGATTGCAGTAGAAATGAGTATTCAGTTTGTAATGTAAAAACTGAATGACAGTAATATCTTACTTTTTACTCTCTGCCTGTTTCAGATTCTCTTTTATTCTCTTATGTATGTAAGATATTTGACACATTTTGTCAGGGGTTAAACTTAAAAGTATGTTTTCTTTTATACTTTTCCAGAGCCCAGACTGCATCAAGAGTCCAATCTTCACCCCGACCACTGGCCGTCATGAGCATGGGCTCTTTAACCTGTACCATGCTATGGACGGAGCCTCTCATCTACACATCCTGGTGGTCAAAGAATACGAGATGGCTGTGTATAAGAAATACTGGCCCAACCACATCATGCTGGTCCTGCCCACTGTCTTCAATGGAGCTGGAATAGGTATGTCATTACTGCTGTTAAATATGTAGAGAATCCTTAATTTCATACATTTTTAATAAAGGCAAATTAAGCAATTACTAAAATGTGATTGTCTGTTTACTACTAGATAACTCATTCTCTTTCTACTTCAGGTGCTGCTCATTTCCTGATTAAAGAGCTCTCATATCACAACTTAGAGCTGGAGCGCAGTCGACGTTTGGAGGGAGGGGGCCCAGCAGGTGATGTCTGGCCTTTCATCATACTGGCTGATGACTCCTGTGTTATGTGGAACGCAGTGGATCTGGACACTCGAAGGTACATACAGGCATGTTGTTTAAACGAGTAATCGTGTTGGACAATAAATCTGTTGTTTCTCGTGAAACTAAAATGTTTTGATATAATTGTTTATGAGTTGCTGCTGTTTGTTGTTGTTAGTGGTGCAGTGGAGCAGGCTGTGTCACTGAAGCAGGTCCTACAGCACATGGAGGCATGTCCAGACCTGGTCCAATATGGACTCTGCGGGATCAGGAAGTGGAGCAGCCGTGGACTCACAGGTTAGAGTCATGATGTCACATACCTTTAAAAAACGGCAAATATTTGGACAAAATTGCAATATTTTCAAATAATATACACATTTACTTGATGTATTTTCTCCCAAGAGTCAAAAGTAAATTCTTATGGCAATTCTCATCCTTAAGAATTACAATTAATTACAAATAAATAAATGAACATGTAACTCTATGAACTTCACTATTAGAAGGATGCACAGGACACCTCTAGAAAATGACCAGCATCAATTTAAGGCGTATCAGGGTTCTTTTCTTAAGTGAATTAAAAAGTTGAAATATATGTTTTTTTTTAATCCAGGCAATCCAAGGAGAGAGCCGTTCTCCAGGGGTCACCTTCACGACTTCCTCCTACTCAATGTCGACCGCAGTCAGAACGTGCAGTATGACCAGAACCGCTTCACCTGTCACGATGTAGACTTCACCCTGAGGCTGCACAGTGCAGGACTGCTCGTCTGCCGGTTCAATAGCTTCAGCGTCATGAAGAAGCAGATCGCCATCGGAGGATACAGGACATTCATCATCAAGACCAAGGTAGAAGCTCAACACACATAAAGACAAAACCAAATGTTACTCAGGAGCAGAGCAGAGAAACAGATTTAACTTCAATAAGACAAAAAGCAATGCAGTTGTTTTCGTGCCAGGCTAAAAAAAAAGTGCAAATATTAATCAAAAAGAAAATATGTCGACCAGATGTTGTCAGAGAGCACATAATTGTATCTTTTAACCTGATTGCTTTTGGATTAGAAATCCGTCAGTTAACATGATTTGAATCTGTGTGTGCATGTAATGGTAAGTCATCAATATTAAGTTACAAAATCACATGTTGGTAACATTTATTAACGTCAATTTGAAATTTCTCCAGATGACAGATGTTCCCACCTCAGTTGGGCCATCGCAGTACGTTTGTGCCCCAGACAGCAAGCACCTTTTCTTGGCTACACCTGCTCAGTTGCTCCTGGAGAAATACCTCCAACACACCAGCCAGAAGCTGTTTCCCCTCAGCACCAAGAACTACGCACACCCTGTACTGTCTGTGGACTGCTACCTCAACCTGGGGCCTGAGGTAGACAGCACACACACACACACACACACACACACACACACACACACACACACACACACACACAATGACACACATGGAAACATACATTTCGCCCTTAATAAGGACATTAATAAAAACATAAAGAGATGGACATTGTGAAGTTTTGCCTATAAATAAAGGTCTTACTCTTCTCTCCTCTTGCAGGTGACGGTGTGTTTTGTGAGTTCCAGACCTCACTCTGTCAACATCAGCACCACAGGGCTACTTTTCAGCGGCCTCCTCCTCTGTTTTGCTGACTCCTTTGTGACTGCTGGGTTCCTCAAGAAGTTCACCTTCCTCCAAGGTAATAAGGCAGATACAGGGTAGCGTTGGCCCAGATGCAATGACGCATTTTTGGGTAGCGGTACTTTATTGAGAGCCTACAAGTTGTAAATGGCCTCTTTGATTTCATTTGAAAACTTATCTGTGCTTCATGTCAGACGATTAAAATAATAAAAAACATGGCCACATGGGGGGAAGAGCACGCACAGCACACATTAGCCCAAAGTTTCTGCTTGACTTCCAGCTGGGGATCTTTGTTCCATAGCATACCCCCTTAAAGTGTCATTAATACATGAGGTTGAAAGAGGTTGATTTCCACAGCATATTTAAAGTCTGTGTCCCTCTTCCTCCTGTTTGCTTCCCTGTAGGTGCGACTCTGTGTGTCATTGGTGCAGATCGTAGCTCCTTGAGGCAAACGGTGGGCAGGCTGGAGCTAGAGGAGGAGTGGAGGTTCAGGCTCAGTGACGAATTCCAGACTGCCAACGCCAAAGAGGACCGACCACTCTTCTTTTTGACTGGAAAACATATATGACTGAAACACTAATAAAAAGTTGACTACAAAGAATTGGATAAGGACTGATATCAGTTCAACTACCAAAGAAGAAATGTACCAGAGTGTTTTTTCGAGCATGACAGTAGGCACTGACCCTACACTTAACGTTCACCTGTTTCTGTGCAGAGACTCTGTTCAGAGTGGAGTCCACAGCGTCGACCAAAAACTCAGTAGAGGGATGTTGTGTCTTATCTAGGATGGGATTGCTCTGGGATCTGCCAGGAGGAACTGAAAAACATTTCTCTAGAGAGGCATGACTGGAAATTCTTGATGCCACAGCAACCGAGCCCTGGATAAGTTGAAGACAGACAAAGGATTGACCCGTGAGACTCACTTGAAAAGGAGTGTTTTGGAAATAAAACTTTATGATTATTGAATGCACTAACACCAACACACAAAAAGGATTTGGAGGGATGAGGTCCTCTTCTTGGCTGCAAACGTAAAGACTGACAGCTGTGTCCAGTGAGGTCATGGTCTTCAAAAATATGAACATGTTTTTGCCAAGAAATCAAGAGGTAATCATTTTGTGTCATGTGTTTTTCTTTGACTTTTATTAGGCCATGTGAGTTAGGAGAATAATGTACAGGAAACATCAAAACATTTCAGAAGAAATTGTTATTTACCTTGAGGGTCGTCCATAAATCATCCAATATGTCATGACCACGATAGCTTTGTAAGAGAATATTTTTTGATTGAATAGAATTGTTACTTATTCCTCTATAACAAACAAAGAAATTGTACTGTGTTGATAAAGTTGATTCAAATTATTTTGATAGATACATACACTATCTTTAATAATAATAATAACACTATATTTAAAGGAATAGGAAAAATATCCTATCAAACAGGCTCGCTCGACTTAGTTATTTTAAGCTTCTACTTTTCTATTTCTCATCTTTTCTTTGCATGTTAACCTATGTGGAAGTTTTACAGCAGTGTAACAGGGTTTTGAACACTTTATGATGCACACGATATGAGAAGCTTTATTAAAGAGTGGATACAATCATCTATGCTATGGTAGCCATTTTTTTTTGGCTGTTAGTGTGTTTTTCGTGTCATTTTTTTAAATGAGTATTATCTTGAATATATTTTCTCCTATTTGCATAATGTTAAAGTTATTAAATGTGTGAATTAGAGGAAAAAGGATTGTACGTAGAATGATTTAGTGTTATGCTCTGTAGTTTGTACGAGGTAGGTTGTATTTGTAACTCTTCAAGAAACAGGAGTCCACTGCATGTTGGCAGTATTTACACTTTTGTATGCCTTTAATTGTGTATATAAATGTACATATTTTTTTTTACATTTGTTTTGTATGTTCCTTTAATGATTCAATCATATTCATTCTCAATACCCAGATTAAACATTTTTACTTTACAGTTTATAGTCTAGCATGGATCTTTTTTTGCACACTTGTTGTCAATCACTTCAAATAAAAAACATGGCAGAAGCACATATTTATTTGCTAATCTTTAAGATCTTATGTTTACCTCACTCAGACTGCCAGTGTTTACTTCACTTTGTATGACTTACATATGCGATATAAAAAACACTACATTTCTTAATTGCCAGAGCTTCTTCAGTCTGCGTCATAAAAAAATGTAGACTGGATGAAACAATCTGAAAGGTACACAAAAAAAATATTGTCCCCATATTTCCTGCAGTACCTGTACTAGTTTTCAGTAGATATCTGACATTCAAGCGGAGCAAACAAAGTCTAAATGGCTGTTAGCACGAGTATCACAGGGGGAGAAAGTCAAGTGGCAAACATTACGCTTCGATGACAGAACACGCTGCTGCTCTCAGATGCACCCTGTGTCCTCACGTGGAGGTTCAGTGAGTGCATTTGTGTGTTGGGCAAGGTGATTTCAAAACTTGTGGGTTACATACAACTTTTTTTTCTTTTTACTTTTTTTCCCAACAATCTGCCAGAAAAACGCATAGGTCATTCAAAATGTTACAGCGTGTTGAAAGTAATTAATTTGCATAGAGAATGTATGTCTCCTGGACTGTGTGTGTGTGTGTGTGTGTGTGTGTGTGTGTGTGTGTGTGTGTGTTGTGTGTTTATGGGTGTGTGTGTGTGTGGGGGGACTGCAGTTTCAAGCAGTGGGTACAGTTCAGCCACTCTGGACCCTCTCACATTTCCTCTAAGAAGTCCATTCCCAGAACGTGATAAATTTAGTTTAAACCGTTCACTCAAACAGTCTCACTGATTGAAGAGTCAAAGGACTCAACCAGAACCACCAAAAGCTTTCACACCATCTTGAACAGATGCTTATTTAAATTAGTAGTGTACGCTCTCAGAGTTAGGCACAGTGCATTTAACAAGAAAAGATCTCAAACTGTGTTGAACTAAAATATCAAGATTTGAGAGAAAGCTGACCAGGAAGAAGTGACAGGAACAGATTTTTGACATCCACCTCGAGTACTGACCACCTCCTGTTTCAGTCTTGACTGCTGCAACTTTTTTTTTTAAATATATCTACTTGGACAAGTAAGAAGGACCCCCACAGATTATCCTGCAATGTTCTGAAACTTTTCACAACAAGAGTCTGCTCAGCAGCTCAGGATTGTGAACAATGCGAGATGAAGCGACCCACGTGGAGGATGGAGAGCAAGACTTCAGCAGCCACAGTGAAGATGACAGTCCCAATTACAGCTGGTCCTTGGTAACAATTTTTTAAATATATTGTTTTTTTAAATATAAGCAAATAAGAAAAAGTTGTCTTTAAAAAAAAGTCTTTAAAGCAGCAGTTATTCACAGTAGAGAAGCTGACCAGCTTTCTCAATACTTTGCATTTAGCTTTTTGTCTGTTGTAAACATTCAGGACAAACTTCTCATTCCTGGTCTTTATCGTTAAGCTACATAGAAAGTAGACCAGTGGGTCCAACATTAACATTTAACTTTTGAATTAAACAAGTTAAAACAAGAATGAAAACAAAAAAAAAATCGTTTTAGGTACTGAAAAAATATATATTTAGGAAGTGTTGCTATTACCAATTAACAGAATCATGGGCGATGAAGTGAGGCGTGAGGAAAGAGGGACCACTTGGCCAGTCAGAAGAGAGCTTGTGTCTTTAAAAACACAATGATCAGCTAACTTGCTCATCCTGTGTCCTTTTGTTCTATGACCATGCACATGTTCTCAGTGTTGATGCAGGTTTCTGCAGTCAGAGCATGTGAGCTTTTTTCTGTTAGTGTGCAGTGCAACCATGTGCTCTATCAACAGCTCATATCGCCACGCATGACCTCAAGCCCACTCAGGTACTTATAAAGGCATATTACACCACAGTCAGTGCACCTATTACATAATAGCCCAACCATGCAGAGGCCTGTGAGTGGCTATGTGGGCTCAGGCAGCACCTCCACATTCCCTCTTCCTCCTTTAGATCATATCGGACTGAAGTTTATCTTTAGCTGAGGTTCAGTAGACATTATTTGTCTTGCTGTTTACTCTCTGTGAATGTTGGTGTGTATGCTCCTTTCATATTCAGATCTTTAAAGCATTTATAGTCCTGATTTTCTCCTATTCAATACATTTACCTAAGATCCTCTAACACACATTCTGATGTTCATACATCATGCTTCATCCTTTATGCTGCCATCAATAACTTTATCTATTAAGGGACGAAATACCAGAGTACAAAAAGTCCCCAAGTCCAGTCTTCAAATGTAAAATTGTTAAAAGACATTTTAACAGAATGCATTAAAAGAATCAAGTTTGTATCAATACAAACATGCATAGTTTGGAAGCCTTTCGGGTTCACAGCCTCTGTTAAATGCCACCCTATCTTGAAAATTCCAGTCTGTTGTATCTTACAAAACATTACCCCTATAGGCAATATGCATGGCATGCACAAAAAGAGTATGATGCAATAAACCATGGAACCTGACAGTGACTGCTCATTATCTAAGAGAGGCTTTGCTAGTTCTGCCCTCTCCTCTAAGTCAGCCTGTGGTCGCACTGACTGCATTCTCTGAAGGTGAATTTGTTGGTTTGGTTTGTCCTGTTGGAACACTTGGGGTTAGTGGTAGCAGTAAGAAAATCTATTATTGGTCATACCTGGTCCTTGGAAGCAAACTAATCAGATATTTCTAAAGCCAAGCAGCATGTCTGCTATAGGACACAGGGGCGGGTTGAACAATACAGTTGAAATGTGCTCAGGCAACCCTCTGATTGGCTCGTGAAGCCCATCCCCCCAAAACACCCCTGTCGCCGTGGTGATGAAATGAATGTATTCTTGACCTCAGAGAGAGTTCCTGGGAGAGATCAGGCTTTCCCTGTCCCTGCAAATCACATCTTCTCTCTCTCTCTCTCTCTCTCTCTCTCTCTCTCTCTCACATGTTTGCTATAAAGCAACACCTCAGGCTGATAGTTGGAGAGATAGAGAGCAGTTTACAGCCAGCACATACACACACACACACACACACACACATATATATATTGTACACATACTGCTCATGCATGCAGAGAGCAAACATTAACCCACCACATAAACAAACAGAGCACATGGTCACATGTACTGTAGTGAATGACATTCCTGAAATTACACACAACCTAAGCCTGTGTTTACAGTTTCATTTTCTTCACACTTGAACACGCTTCTGTAAATTTAATGATAACTCTGTTAAATCCAACAGAGAATAAATAATTTGAACTTTGAGGAACAGTCCTTTGGGCTTTCTTGCCAAAAGCAACAAGAGAAAATTTACTCCGCTGTCTGTTGGTTTTCTAGCTACGGCATGTTAGCTTAACTTAGCCTAAATACTAAAACGAGGGAAACAGTTTCCCTTACTTAAATTGTTTACAGGTGAGCTTTGGTAGGTAGACTTTATTACTTTTGGAAAGGGCAAGAGTGCTGTTTTCTTTTTACTCTTAATGCTAAGCTAACTGTTTGCTTAGCTTAGCTTCATTTTAACTTCAACATACACATTACAGTAGTATCAATCTCTGGAAATAAACTCAAATACATTTCAGTTTCTGAAAATAAAAAGTGAAGAGTAAAAGGCATAAACCAAAGCCTGAGTAAATCCACCTAATCAAACAATCTTCCTGCACAGTGGAGTAAATAAACCAGTTCTTCTCCTCTGTTGCCCTTCAAACTTAAAGGAACATTATTATTCTGCACACTCCCTCGCCTACTTTTCAATCTCCATATTCTCTCTGTCTGTCACGCCCCTCTCCCCTCTCCCTTCCCTCCCCCCTCCCCCCTCCCCTCGTTGGCTTCTTGTTGCTCCCTGATGAATGACTCAGTTCTTGGAAGTCCCAACACGTGTTTCTCTGTTCCCTGTCCCGCTGCCTAGTGCTGATAGTGTGTCTGAGAGTGTGTGTTTCTATCAGAAACTATGAGGAAGTGAGTAATCACATGGTACTGAGTTACACAGCACAATTATGTGCACATGCTGATTAACAGCAGAATGATTGACATGTTTTGGTGGAAGTGTTATGCATACAAACACAAGAAAACACATTCTCTTGCTCTCTGTATGCTAATATTCCTTGAGAGACGCCTTTTCTATTCCTCTTTCATTGCTCATGTGTTGAGAAAACCTAATTTACACTCTGTGGGTCCCAGTGTTGTATCACAACTTTCTAATAAAGCAGCAACAGTTGGATATGAGTGTGACTCGGAGGTCCAGTTCTTAGAAACATTGAGTAACAACAAAAGCCATGAGACCCTGGTCAGGGGAGACTCTGCGGGGAGGCAACTTTTGTGTTTGTTTCTTTAAAGTGGGAACTCTGTGTCCAGACTTGACTCTGAGGTCAGCCAATATCTCCTTATATAACCTTGCTATAATCTGATTACAGACATAAGGAACACACTGCAGTTAGGAAAAACAATCAAATGGGTATCATCATTTTCTGCCATGGTCAGCCGCAATTCTTTCGTTTCTTAAATTAGGAAAATGCCTTTTTTTTCCTTGCTTGTAACTGTTATGTTATTCTCATCCTGAGGATAATTTGATAAGTAGTCTTGCGTTTGATCTATAAATAGAAGTAGGCTAGTAGTAGAAAAAAATAACATACTTCTTGAAACATTCTTTACAGCAAATATGTATTTGAACATTTACACATTTCATCGAGCAGCTGTCAGCATCTGGAAGTGTTAGGCCTGAAATGCCATCACTGTTTTTATTCAACTTTACAATCAAAAGCTAAAGTCAGCAAGCAGCTAGCTTAAATGATTGTATGGTAACCTCAGAATCAAGAAAATACTTTTTACACTCACTGCTTCTGTGCAATGCCATACTGATGTACACATTATACTACAGTTACTAATTGGTGAGCTTCAGATGTGGTCGTATGCAGATTTGGGTATTTACAGACAATACAAAACAATACAAAGCAAGCTGTTCATCCCTGCTTGCAGTCATCATGCTAAGCTTAGCTAGCTTCCATTATCAATACAGGCACAAGAATGGCATTAAATCTTCTCATGCAACACTTTGCAAAGGGAACATTTTTCGCTATTATCTTAACAGAGATCAGTTAGTGTTGCAGTTTAATGCTTTTCAACATCAGAACAGTTCAATGTGACAGTTTTACATTGCTATGGTTTGTATAATATTAAGTAGGTCCTTTTGGAATCAAAATGCACCAAAGAAAATGAATACACTGACAATGTCTTGGTCTGGCATTGAGTGTCAGAGCAGGTGGGTAGATTTACATTCTGAAAACTGAGAAGCATGGCACAAATGCAGAGGCCTTGGAGCCTCCTGAATGTCACTGCTATTCCTGTCTGCTCAGCTCCATATTACACATGTATTTCTTGGGAATATGAACCTGTTTACTCGTGCTCTTCGGTCATGCAGGAGAAATATATGCCAAAACCTTTGCTGTTCTGTATTCAGTTGTGCTAAATCGCCAACATCAAGTGAATTTATCCATTCAAGTAATTACGTTTGTTGGTTCCACACATTATTTTTTTTACTCATACAATGACAACAGATAGGAGGCATTTTCAGACCATTCACATTTATTGGAATGTGATGATTTAATTAAAACTTCTCAGTAGAACACTTCAGTAAACCTCAATCACAGGCAAATTTCCTACTGGGACAATAAAGTGAATCTTATCTTATCTTTAAATGAAACATCAGAGAAGCTGTTTAACCTGCAGCTATATACCTGCATCATACATAAATAAATCCAGAGCCACTTTTACTAAACATGACCTATATAATCCTTGAAGGATTACAAGTCAATCATAAAAACTTTAGTGTGAAAAGTTTCAAGTTGTTTAGGGAAATCAAAGTTTTTAAACAAGCAGTTAAAGCGTTGTATCATTACTGCTGATACCATTTAAAACATTCATTTAAATCAATATATTTTTAATATTCAAATTTGGTCAAGATGCCCTGCAGCTCGTATTCCCCCCAGAAGGTCAGAGGTCGAATAGTCAATTTTAAGGGGTTGTTCTGGTAAGTTTAAACTTATTCAAAAAAGAAGATAAGTTTCATTCTTAATGAGCATAAACAGAGAAGACATTACATGCAGCCAAAAGTGTTCACTGTAGGGTCCATGTATGATTTAAAAAGCTACTATAGAAGATTTTATAATAGGCTAATTAGGCTATTTGATGGAGCCATTAATTACCATACACATCATTACAAAAGGCTTTATAACCTAGGTCGAAGTGATAGTAAAAGCACGGAGCCACGAAAGTACAATCATAAACAAAACTCACTTTTAAGTGGGAAGATTTCAGTCAACAGTGTGACGTCAGCGCTGACTCAGCCAATCGGGTGTCTCTCTCCCTGCAGTCCGGTGGTGGTGGGAGGAATAATTCAACCGTGGTTTAAATAACGAAGCACCCTTCAGAGGATTCAAGATCAGATGTGAGGAATCTACCGACAATGTCTGAATTGAGGATTTGACACTTAGAGGACTTAACTGTACACAGGACGGTTGGTGTGAAAACAAAAAAAATTGGATGGCGGAAAAATCCCGGAGGGAAAAGCGAAATCAATAAATAATGTAAGTAGGAAGGCTGGATTGTGCAGTGACCTACTGTTGGCTAAATATAACAGATCCCAACATAGCCTACTGCAACATTCAAGTAATATTATGTTGATATTGAGGCTTCTTCCTTCATGCTTGTTGTTGCGTGTTGTGGTTTGCGGCTGTTTGAATGAAGGCAGAGCTGCGGCGCACACCGCAGAGCCTCACCCCGTGTGCAGATGTTTACACACAGGCCACACAGAATACTACGAGCAAATCAACAACCTCACATTGTTTTTATTTCACATTACCTTTCGTATTTATTAAGTCCTATTTCCTATCCAGCATTGACATAGATTTAGATGTTTCTCATTTATAAATAATATGGTAATAGACGATAGCCTATTAAAAATATAGTTTTAATGTTAATCAGAATAAGATAGGCTACTGAAAATGAGCTATGTCCTTGTAACCATACAGCTGTATCGGTCAATAATCACAGAGTGTCAGACTGCTGCTTTTGTCACATAAAGTTTAATTGGATAATCCTTCACATCATCATCTGTCTAGTCTGTTAACCCCTCAACCTGTCCCTCACCTCTGTCTGCCTCTCTGTTTGTATCTTCGGGTCTCACTTTATGTGCTGCACTGAGAATGAAATTGAAGGTTTATTTTCACTGAGTTTTACTAAAGAAGCATCTGTGGAATTTGCTGGTTCTCACCATAGACTCCAGGATTCACACTTGACTCTGGCTCAGTGTTGCTGACAATGAAACAGCATTTTTTTTTCTTTTTAAAGAATAAGCGTCCTTTAACATCATCGTGTTGTTTATTTAGCTATCATTTGCAGCATTGGCGTTGAATGACAATGAATGACCCAGAGTCGACCCAGGAGTCAGGGTCGGTTATATTACATAATGGAGACATTGTGATTGGCTGTTAAACTGAAGTTTCTCAGAAGAGTGGGCAAGGCTTTGTGAGTGCATGAAATGGTCCTCTCTGTTTGCACGTGGTCTGTGTTGACAATGCGGTCAGGTCAGTAATAAGTGGAGAATGAGTGCATGAGTTTGTTTGTGAGAAGAAGAAAAAAAAACAGGAGGTAAGTTAAACTAAAGGGTCAAATAATGATGTAAGTATGTAAATTAGCAGTCAACTCAGAGGTTAAAATGTAATTTCAACCAAATGACATTAATATGTTCTAACATCAGCAGTGTTCAGTTAGACATAACTTTTTATATCCTTTCACTCAGGTTTTGAGGTGTCTTGGTTTCCACAAGTCAAATACTCTTTCACTTGAAACAATGTCACTTAAAACACTCTGCTATGTTGTAATTAGAATATAGGAGTTTGTCCTCAGCAAAGTTTTATCAATTTGATGTATGACTTTACTTAGAAAACCGATATATTTGTCGTTTGACTGATTGACTTGTAAAACACAGTCCAATGTATCAGGCACCACTGTTAGTTTAATGCACATGTGACATTTTGTGTAAACATGATTTAAGCAGTGGTATCAGGTGGGCAGTCTGGACACAATGACACTGTTGTTGTTGTTGCCGTTGTTGTTGCGTACTGTGTTGGTGTAGATGACCGGTTAGAACAAGTCTCACATGGGTGTGATGCCGGGTCATTAGAGCGGAGGCACCTGAATTCTTGCTTCATCATCTTCTACTTTAGAGGTTCTTTTGTGCCCTGCCTAAAAATGAAGCCATCTGTTTGGCAGGCTGTGTGCGTGTGTGTGTGTGTGTGTGTGTGTGTGTGTATGTGTATGTGTGCATGTTTGTGTACCAATATCTGAGTCAGCCGAAAACAGGTGGAGATGTTATAGGACATTTTGTGTCGCAGACAGGGCAGTCGTTTCTCATATTTCATGTTTCCTGTTATCTGCGTCCTTTATATCTTTTGTCTCATCATCAGTTTCTCCCCTGATATTCTGTTCTTTCCTTACCTTTGAATGGGTTTCAATCCTAGTGCAAGACAAATTCCAAATCCCCTCTCTATTGTCAAATCCAGTAGTTTGTAAAGTATATTGTCACACATGTTTGGTGTTTTAGGGTACATAGAGAGAAAGATGGAGTACCTGTGTACCACATACTCTGACTGATGCTGCAGTTGCTTCAATGAGAAAGGCATCTCTAGGGGCTCTGAGGCCAGTATAGCCTTCTCATATAGTCTATGTTCTTTTATTTGCATAAAACCATTAAATATCAACTATTCTTTATCAAGAAGTTGTTATGAATTCATTTTCCCATTCTGTCTTTCTGCCCATGCAATCAAATCACCATTATGCACATCAGTAAATGTTTAGAGGCTGTTTGTATCAGAGAGACTGGCAGAGCATCACATGATTACTCTCAGCTCTACTCCTATGGGATGGATTTGCTTTACAAAGGGGAAAAATCACCTTTGGGTATCTCATTTGATTTTTGATATCTTCATACAACATAAGCAACGAAACTAACTGATTAACAGCCATAAACACACCCAATGCTCAGCACACCTCATACTCAGAGAAGATCTAATAGTGCCACTTTTATGATTTCAAAAACCTGCTTGTTGTCTGAGATGGCAAAGTTGTGGGCACCTATTGATTTCAGTGAATTGATATTGTGGTTTAAAAATGAAAGAAAGACAGCATGGCCTTGCTTTTAAACAAACTGTCTCATTTGTAAGTAGGTAGGTTCATCAAATGTGATTTTCCTCCTTGTGTGTGATGTTCTGTACATAGGAAGATCCTACTAGAAAAAAACAAAAAGAACAAAAAACAAAAAGTTAAATGTTTAGGAGTAAGTAATAAACAACTGTCCTCCTCTCCTCTCCTGTGTGTTTCCAGATACAGACCATGAACTATGTGGGTCAGCTGGCGGGTCAGGTGTTTGTGCAGGTCAAGGAGCTGTACAGGGGACTCAACCCTGCAACACTGTCTGGATGTATAGATGTCATTGTGGTACGGCAGCCCGATGGCTCCCTGCAGTGCTCCCCCTTCCACGTCCGCTTTGGCAAGATGGGTGTCCTGCGGTCCCGTGAGAAAGTGGTGAGATTATAGGGTGTCACAGTCCCCATACATTCACTCTTTTTATTGCTCTATAATCCCTGTCATGAGTTTTTGTATGAAGGTGATTTGACAGTTTAGAGAATGCTGCTCACTGACAACAGCAGAAAACCAAAGGCAAAGTCATGATGAAGTGAGATGATGCTAAAAATCATTGATAGTAGAGGTGGAAAGAGTAGCTGTTCAAAAATGTTAAAAAAAGAGACTTTGACAAGTGAAAAATTTGCATTCAAATTTTTTATACATATTTTTCCCCTTTGAGGTTAAATTTCAATACAAAATGACACACAAAAATACTTTCACAGACATTCCTGCCCATTTTTTATTTTAAATCCGTATGTTTATATTTGTTGAAGGACAATCCATGTTTAACTTGTTAAAAAATCTGAATTGTGTGCTTCAGGTGGACATAGAGATTAATGGAGAGCCGGTGAGATTGCATATGAAGCTTGGGGAAAATGGTGAAGCCTTTTTCGTTGAAGAGACTGAGAACACTCTGGTGAGTAAGGAGTCATTACTCAGAGTTTGTGAACACTTGCAAATATAGGACAGAACTTACTCGAAGGTCATGCAGGACCAATGAATCCTCATGTCAGCGAGTGCTTGATGTGTTCATTTTTGCCATCTTGAATCGTTCTGAAAGATTTCACCAGTCTCTACAAATATGTGACGTGATAATAGTTTTCATGCTGAGACAAGCCCAGAGGATACAGAAACGTGCCCCTCTTCAATGGTAGTCTAAAATGCAACATGAGACTAACACGATCAAGTTCTGCTGGAGGAGCCTGCTGTAAAATCTTTTGACAGTTAATTGCCTGTTATTACAGTACAGTAACAGTGTGATGCTTGGCAACATTCAAAAATATGGTGATCCTAAAAAAACAACCTTTTCTATGAAGTCAATTAGTCTACATTCAAGTTATAGACAAGTGATGTCAGACAGATAGCATCGGATATTTGTTTGTAAATTAGATGTTATTATTTAGGTCTGACGTTAATTTGAGAAGATGACATTTGAAACAGAAAATTCAGTTTGAAAGATCATAAAAATAAATATAGGCTGGAGATTGCAACTCTGTAGTAGTAAAAATGACTCGTACTACAAATAGATACAACAACACTTAAATATTTCCCAGAATCTGTATGCTTAGACTATATGTATGCATTTGCTGTAACACAAGGCATTCTGAATAAGTATCTGTCATGTGATTTTTATTTTTTAGTTCTTTGAGATGTGCATCCAGCAAACTGCAGAACAGAAAAGAAAAAAAAGGACATCATTTAGGCAAATTTTGCCCAGTGAATGAAACTCCAAAAAATGAAGTGCAGAGAGGCAGTATGATTAATCCCACGGCTTTATTCTGGAGTCTTATTGTGACACTGTCATGTCAATGTAAATAGTACTTTAGTTATGTATGAGCTGGTAGGAGTTGGAATAAAGTACTTCATACCATTCAATCTGCTCCTGTAGAAGCTATCTTCCAAATGTGAAGAGTCATTTGCTGTTTAAAAAAGTATGGAAGTCCTGCTTAAAGATCTTGTAATACTGGATCATGTCACATGGAAGTTGTTCAGCACAAAGGGCAAAGAGCAGAAAATGATCTGACCTGAGAACATTTCCTGTTGTTTTGACTACAGATTCTGAAATGTGATAGCTATGATTTCATGGGAAGTTAGAGGAGTGATAGAGGGGGACGAGGGAAGTTTGCTTAGGAGAACGACAAGAATGAGTGGCAGATGGATTAAGAGTTGATTTTGTTTCCAAGTCAGGAATTAAGAGGGAATATCCTAATTTTACTCATTACTCTAATTCCTAATCTGAAGGATTACATTGGGCTATTTTTGCTTTCATTATTCAACCTCTGTCTTCCTCAGTTTTGGGAACCTTTTCAGATCAAAAGCTTGCCTGTCCTCTTTAGAGCAGATCCTAAAACAATATGTTTATGGGAAATAAATAATTCGAAAGGCTTAATCAAGTTCAAACAAAAACTCTGATTCTGTTTTACTCATGACTGTCTTTTATGCCTTGTTTCAAATCTTCTCCTTGACCTAACTGTTCCTCTGCAGAGTGGAAGACCACCACGGGGCTATTTATAGCTCTGCCAAATTCATCTTCATCTACAGTCTGTCGCACACAGGCTGCAAACAGAAATTGGCTGGCACTGTGTGCTGCCTGTACAGACATGAACATAGAAAGATGGTCACACAGACGTACATGGTGAAGGAGGAGTAGGACCAGTAAAGCATACAGACAGATAGACAAAAAGCTAGACACTTAGTTTACAGCAGTAAAGCCCAGCGTGGGTTCCTCACAAATAAACACATAAAATGATGAAACAACAGATACTGTAGCTTGAGGATTGACATACAGTGGTCTGTTTAGTTTGAAGATTGTTTCTCTTCCCTAAGGGTTTTTTTTATGCCACATTGATGTGATTGTAGAAAAAGATTAACAACAGCGTTTTAAGTCAGTATTTGGCACTGAGCCAGGTCTTCTGTGCCTCTCTTAGCCTTTTTTTTCTCTCCTGCACTGTTCTCATGGCTGTAATGTTAAATATGAGGATTGGTTGGGACTTGCTTGGAGGGATATAATATGCAAATGCAACATTGAGGAATTGACAAAGCAGAAAATAACCTGCAGGCCATAAAAGAACAGGAATTTCTGAAGTGTGGTTAGATAAAAAACAAACATGGTGTAATTCATTTTAATGTGGTTATGATGAAGTGCTTTCTAAGAAGAAAAAAAACAGCAACATAAGATTCCTGGTTTATCTCATCTTTTGCTAAAAATAATTTTCAGTTTAGGGTTTAGCTGTGAGTAGATAAGCAGTGACCTGCCAGTGTGAGCTCTGTCCCCTTCTCTACCTGTAAGATGAATGGGGCTGTGTTGGATTGTGTAAGGACATGCGCAGTGCATGTTCAGCGTGTACTCTTAAAATCATCTCTTCATCTTCTTTCTGTCTCTGTGTGTTTCTCTCTGCAATATTTCTCCTTCTGAGTCTTCATACAGAGACTGACAGGCTGATCTGTGTGATTTTGCTAATCTGATTTCAAGCCTAAATTCTCACCAGATTAAACACACACACACACACACACACACACACACACACACACACACACACACACACACACACACACACACACACACACAGTTTAGTTGGAAGTTAATGACAGATTTTGAACGTTTGTTTTTGTAATTGCACTCTTGACATCATTGAAAATTATTTTTCAAAGTTACAGTAAATAAAAGTTGAGGACCTCACATGATCATGCCATGTTCCTCCCCTGACAGGAAGTAGTTCCGTCCTACCTCGCCACCTCTCCCATCATGTCCATCGGGGAGAAGTTAATGGAGTCCCAGCTGGGCCGGGGCAGTGCTCGTCACCATGGTAGGACCTGTTGTAAAAATGTATTTTGGAAATGTTGCGTGTGTACTTTTTTTTTTTTTTACAAACTGTTGTCATACTATTCTCTCTTATCACATAGACACAATCCCATGCAGCTCACTCCCTGTCCTGAACTGGGACCACAGCAAAGTGACAGTGGCATTTCCAAGAAGAGGAGGAGGAGGAGGAGGAAGGCACGGCAAGATGCAGGAGGTGGAGGAGGAGGGAGAAGAGAGGAGAGCGGGGAAGAGTTCTCAGATGAAGAAGATATGTTTACTATCGACTTGAGCTCAGATGAGGAGAAAGAGGGGGACGGCAGCAGGTGTGTGCCAGATTGATTGTTTAATTTTGTGTATCAGATTGAAATTAGATTTTTGCTTTCAGAAATGAAGGAATAAGTAAAAATACCTGAGTAAATATTGGTTCTGCAAAATGAATTTCCCTCCCACTAGCCTCACTTGTACCGTCTTTTGCCCCAAGTATCAAACATTAGGATACCAACTTGCAGAATGTAATGTTAACATGCTGAACACTGTATATATTGTATGTAGCATCCACTTTGAGATCATGTCAGCATGTCTACTTAGAAAGCCCTGAACACCATCACCGAGCATCTAGCATGGCTATAGATGAACTTTGTTCTGTTTTTTTTGCTTTGGTTATAATATGGTAAGGATTAGGCTTGTAGAGTTCAGGAAATCATTCAATCAAGTTCTTTAAAAGCAAATCTGTTTTTGGGACACTCTCCAGGGATATGTCCTATTCCCACAGTGTTCCCTCACTTTAAAAATAATAGCTCACAGTGCATCCTTACTGCAGGAGTTCAGAGCCTCCTTTAGGAAGTATGCCCACATGGCCGAGTGGGAAAATTCCTTAAACCCTGAAAGACAGGGAAGAATGTGTGTCTGCCTTAGGTCAAGCTGCTGTGCTTATTTATAGGATGGTTATGACGTGTGGTTACAGTCAAACAGGCTGCAAAGGTCTCGTAAGGGTTTTATTCAACGTAAGGTGGAGATCAACAGACTGTCATTGGTTTATTTAAAGCACTTGAGAACATTTTTATGAGAATGAATAAATCACCTACAGAGAATTTAATATGGTATGTGCACACAGTTTGAGAAATAATTAGTCTGTGTTCATGACTTTTTTTCTTGCATGTGTGTGTTTAACAGACCTGTATTTGGGGATCAGGGGTCCACAGCCAACCCTCACGCCCGCCCCGGCACTGATTGGATCCATTCACAGAGGTATTATTTTGATATAGAGATAAATCTGCTAGGATGAACTAGTTTTCTACTTATTGAAATGTCTTGTAAACTCTTCTTATCCTCCATTCAGTTCTGTTTTATTCTGTTCAAATTGTGCTTTGCATTTTATCTTATGATAACTAGATAATAATCACATTCACCGACTCTCTCCATTTGCCTCTCCACCCCTCCTGCTTAATGTCTTTTCTGTGTCTTTTTCTCTTCCTGTAGTAAAGGGATTCAGGAGACTCTCTCCATCCCTCCACAGTGTGGTCTGTCCTTCTCTTGTCCTCAGCAGACCTCTCACTTCTCTTCCCATGTTAGGTATTACCTTCAATTTGAGCATCTCTGAATCACTGAAAAATGCAACTATTTGAAGGAATCAGTCGCAATATCTGAAATGATTAGAATGTTTTTATTGTGATTTCAGCTCCATGCGTTTAGACTTCATGTTGTTGTTAAGCCTTTTCTCATGTTCTTATTCCATTACGTTCAAGTGTATTGTAGATATGTAAAACTAATTTGTGGTATTTGGGTGTTGAATATGGATTACTAACTTATCTAAATCAAGATTCTGTCACATCCCAGCATTCCTGATGAGTCACGGTCATCAACTCCGAAGAGCGACTCAGAGCTAAACAATCAGAACAAAGATAACCCTGAGATGCTTTGGACCTGGGGGGAACTGCCACAGGCTGCCCAGGTAGGTTATAAACACAAACGTGTTACATATTGTAGCATAAGCAGGGTAGTGGAATTTAGAGTTGTATTAAGAAGTGAATGATTGTAAGTCTTTCTGACAACAACACAAAAAACAACTGAAAGATCTGATCTCTGTCTGCTTCTTTATTACAGCCAGCCTTCCTCACTTCCCATCTAAAGCAGGACCCTGTTACAGCAGTCTCCATCCCGGTGTCTGCCTGCACTCACTTCAGAGCCATTAATGACACTGGACCTCCCTCCCTCAATCTCTATGCTACTGAGTCAGGAGAGACGGCTGCTCACAGTGAGGACAAGGACAGTATGACCGGGGACAGGGTCGGAGGAGAGCAAGGTAGTCACATTGAGGACAGATCAACAAATCAACAGCCTTATCAGAGTGGTGACTATAGTAAGTGTAGTATTGCAGAATCCTTGAAGAAAGTCTAAAGTGAACCTAATATGTATCCTATTGACCCATGACTTTGTTTTTATCATAATCGATTTAATCTGTAGGAAGAGCAGTGGAAAGTGTTGGACCATTGTGTGCAGAGATGGAGGGGTTAACAGCCAGTTCAGCATCTCCTAGGATGCTCCTTGATCATCTTGATGAGGGGGGTAACAGAGGAAGCCCCAACAGAAGAACAGATTCACCATCCAAAAAGAAAGGTATCATTGCTTTACCTCAATGTAAAGGCTTTTTCTTGAATTAGTTTATGTATGCCCTGTGATTGTATTTGAATAATATTCTTTACATTGTGTTTTTTTTCCAACTGGGGTGATTTGCATGTTTGACCACACCCACCATCATAATAAGATCTATGCCTATTAGTGTGTAAATCTATTTTTATATGCGTGGCCCCCATTTTACAAAACTATCACATGACTGGGATCATTTGGTCGAAACATTTTGGTTATTAAAACTTTTTTGGCACTAAGTAAGTGTGCGGGCATGTCCTTCTTTTCTTGCTGCTGTTATTTAAAAGATCTGTACCTGTGTGATGTGCATATAACCACCCCCTATCTGCATGATTTTGTCTCTCTTTAGAAAAGAGAAGCCAACACTTGGGTGCTGATGGCATGTACCTGGATGATATAACAGAGCTGGAGCCTGAAGTTGCTGCTCTCTACTTCCCTAAAAGGTTCATTATAGAACATATACACTACATATGCCAAACATGATTGTGTATGCCTTTACATGAGAGTACAATAGAGGGCTTTTATTGGCTGTAATTTACTGTGTGGTGGCGATCACGGAGGCCCCTCAGAATAATTGAACAGAATTGAAGACACTTTCATTGTAATATTTTGCCCACACTTTGTTCATGTGAAAATGTTAGATTTTCCATATTAGCTGCTACTTCTGAGATTATTTGGACATTTTAGACTTGCATTTCTTTGATGATATCATAAAACTGTCCAACATCATCACAACAGTGGTTCATTTCTGTGATGGGGTCTCTCTCTCTCTCTCTCTCTCTCTCAGTGATGGAGGCAGCAGCTCTATGAAGATGGACTCAGAGATGATGATGATGGGAGTGCGGAGTGCTAACCAATCCCCACAGTCAGTAGGCAGCAGTGGGATGGACAGTGGTGTAGACAGTTTGTCCGACCAAATGGGGGACCTGGCTCATGTTGCTATCTCTTTGTGCGGAGGACTCTCAGACAACAGAGAGATCACAAGAGGTAGGAGCAGGACAGTAAACAACAAAGGGACTAATATGATCAAATGAAACAAGTTTGAAACACGCATGAGAAATTATGTTTTAATACTACTTTCTGAATCTGTGTGTCACTGTTTTTTTTTACTTGTGCTTGTTTCATGCAACAGAAGAGTTCCAGGAAAAGGCAATTTCATACCAGCAGTTTTCTGAAAACCCTTCAATGATCGATGACCCTAACCTGGTTGTCAAGATAGGAAACAAGTATGTACTGCCAAACTTTATTCATTATGTTTGATACACATTTAGAGAAACTTGAGAAAGCGTTCTCTTACAATAAAATTCTAAGCTAGTTTTTCTTCTACTGCCTGAAAACATGAAGACACAATCTTTTGTTTACAGTTTTTTGGTTTATCTGTATTAAGAATTTTAGCAAATCATCTTCAGATGTATGCTGTGCTATATCTCAAAGGTATATTAACATCTCAGACAGTAATGATCTGATCATTTAATCTAACCTACAGCAGAAAACAAACAAGTGTCCTAGCTGTCTTAAGAATCAAATAGCTCAGCTGTGTTGTGTGAGACAGAAGTGTGAGGTGTAGAGAAGTGCTTATAGCGCCCTCTGTCATCTGTTGTAGGTACTACAACTGGAATACAGCAGCTCCAGTCATGTTGGCCATGCAGGTCTACCAGAAACCTCTGCCGCAGGTAAGACCACCACAGTGATAAACAAAAGTATAATCTCATTTGTTGTCAGTTTATTGTAAGGTTTACACATCTGCATGAGCAGGTGACTAATACAAATCTTGAATCTTTATGTTTTTTTCCCTAACATCAGTGGTGGAAAAGGGCTCTGATTTATTAAAGCTAAAACAGCCAGTGCTAATTGGCAAAGTGTCTTCAAAGTACGGAAAGTTAAACAGAGTGGCCCCTCATAGTTTGATGTTATAATGTATCATATAACCAAATAAATATTATCAATGCTATGTGGGCAGCATTTCATAATATAATTTAATAACCTTTTTTATGTTTGTATCAAAAATCCCAATCATCAGAAAGTGTATCTGACAGTGTCAGGTAAAAGCAGTAAAATGTACAATTCTTGTCTCTGAAAGAACACGGAGTAGTCTGTAATATGATACATTTTGTAGTATTGTTGAGATACACTATATCATAAGACTGTCGTTTTTAAATAATATGTTCAATGCTCAGTATCATTAGAGTCATTTTGTGTGGTGGCACACCTAGCCTTAAATAAAGTAGCAAATTGAAAACAACATTATGATTCAGAAGTATGTTTCGTTGTAGAAATCATAATAGCTTTATCATGATTTGACATGACTTTCATTTGAGTATGTTTTAAATATATATTTGTTAGGTGGTGTTTTCTGTCTGTTAGTGTTCTGCTGTACCCCTGCATCACTTTCTCCTGTGCACTCCCAGAAAATGACTGACTTTGATCTGATGTTTCACTCTGGTTTAGTGTTCATCATGAGAGTCCTCCGAATAATTCATTAAAAATAATACAAGATAATGTGTGTTTAAATATTTTTGTGACACTCTTGTCATTGATATCCCCCCAAAAAACGGCATACAATAAACATTTTTTTGACAGCATTGTCACTGATGCTCAGTGACAGATATGTTTGTGAACATGGAGAAACTCTTTGGTCTTAGACCACAGTGAAATATGGCTTTACATCTCTTTTCCTAACACTTTAATAATGTCTTTATCCCCCTCCTTATTGTTTCCTTTACACTTTCTCCTCCCTACATCCATTCCATGTTTGCGTGTACTAAGTGTTGGTGTTTGAGTTATGTGTTTTCTGCTTTTGGCCTCTTCTCATACTGCCTCCCTGGTCTTTTCGGCTCCAACCCTGCCCAGCCTGTATGACATTTTAATGCTTTTCTTGGACATTGCTCACCTGGCATGTCTGTCATTTCGTTGTGGTGTGTCTTTTTACAAATGTCCCACAGTTTTCATACTACTATCCTGTCTATGTATTCGAAAGGCTCTTCCTTTTAGTTTTTCTTTTTTTTATCTTTTGCTCTTTCATATCTTGCCATTACACTTTCACTTGAGTCCTTGTAATTCAGCGTGGTGTGAATGTGCCCTGTTATGTTTTGCCTTTTGTATTCTTATTTTTCTGTTCATTTCTCACTTTTATACTTGCGTTCCCTACCTCAATTTGATTTGAGTTTATTTCATCAGCTTTGAGTTACATTTCAGTCAGTTTTGAGTTGTATGTGAATGGTTGTCTCCAGGCCTCAGTGGAGAACATCATGAAGGAAAAGATGCCAAAGAAAGGAGGACGCTGGTGGTTCTCATGGAGGAGCAGGAACAGCGACTCCAAATCAGTAAGTGCAAAGAAATGCACATTTCTGTTGATTTTTAATTTAAATAAACATTATTATCTTCTTCGATTATAAGTGATGCTCTGTTTATTGACGTGACCCCTAACCTTGTACACAACAGGAATCAGTGGAGGCCGGAGACAGAGAAGAAAGCTCAATCCCCATGCCTTCAGTGAACAGGTAACTTTAGACCAACATCTGCCTTTATTTATATGTCACAGCCCTTCAGTCATATGCCAACATATACTTCTCCTGAACCAAACTGTTTGTCTTTGATTAACCAGAGTGAAAGATGAATCATCCTCAAGTGATGAGGATCACAGATCGTCCAATCAGGCGTCAGGGTCCTGCCTGGCTGATCCCCTCACGAGTTCAAGCAGTGTTTATTATAAGAAGACTCTTCGGCTCACCTCAGAGCAGCTGGTACGTGTATCTACCGCTTTATTCCCCTTAATGGGAATAGACACTTTTGGAGTATCCAAAGCCCAGTGCCCACATATTGCACATAAGGTTGCTTATTGCAACATGAATACATTGGGTTCCCTTCGGCCAGACTCAGGCTATATATATTCTTAAATAATAATCAACAATAGAAACATGTGGTGTTATGGATTATATTCTCTGTTACTGCAGAAAACACAGAGATAAAAGATGATTGGCAAGATTAAATGTATCTTTATTAAATGCATCTCTGAAAGCTATGTATAATGAACTTCATTTTGCTTCATGTTACAAATGTTAGGCTACATTTTGCTACAGTAGAGGAATAGCCCTTAAAATGTTGTGTGTGTGGTCGTGTTTGCAGGCCAGTCTGCAGCTAAAGGAGGGTCCTAATGAGGTGGTGTTCAGTGTGACCACGCAGTATCAGGGCACCTGCCGTTGCAATGGCACTATCTATCTTTGGAGCTGGGATGACAAGATTGTGATCTCAGATATAGATGGGACAATCACCAGGTATGACAAAAGCAAAGTCTTCCTTTCACGTCTATAAGCCAATAGGTGAAATTTCCCTGCAACGACAAAGCAGCTCATGATAGAGAGCAGTATATATTTTCACCACTAGGTGTCAGAGTTTACCTTCAGTGTAAAGATAAAATCCATCTGTACTGACTGTGGGGTGTTCCTCCAGGTCAGACACACTGGGTCACATCCTTCCAACTCTGGGCAAAGACTGGACACACCAGGGTATCGCACGTCTCTACCACAAAGTCAGCCAGTAAGTGCTATTCTGTTCAGGATACAGATGTAAAGCAGCTCTCATAGTCCAAACTTAACATTATTTTGTTTTCTTCACTGTTTGATTTTCTTTTTGAAGTTGGGTCATTATTCTAAACCTTTCTTGTTTAAACCAGTGTGCATGACTAAGTTGAAGCTCTCTTTCTGTCATAGAAATGGATATAAATTCATGTACTGCTCAGCAAGGGCTATAGGCATGGCTGATATGACGCGAGGCTACCTGCACTGGGTCAATGAGAGAGGAACCATGCTGCCAATGGGCCCTGTGCTGCTCAGCCCCAGCAGCCTTTTCTCTGCCTTGCACAGGTCGGACACACAAGATTTACTGAAGTGCCTCATTTTAATAATAGGAATTCAAAAACAGTCATCATAACTAAACTAGAAACATTTCACAATCCTGAATAACAGTATTCATGAATGTTAGTCATTCACATCTGCCCAGCAGCTGACAAATATAATGAATCACAGTTTTTTATGGCATTATTGACCTTTTATGTCGTTGCACTGTGAAAGAAATCTCTAAACATGTTGATTTTTTCTTTTGTAAATATTAGAACTATACTTTGAGGGAGCCTGGGAACAGATAGCAAAAAAAAAATCATTAAAACTGTGATGTTTTGTAGGGAGGTGATTGAGAAGAAACCAGAGAAGTTCAAGATCCAGTGTCTCACAGACATAAAGAACCTTTTCTACCCGAACACTGAACCTTTCTACGCTGCTTTTGGCAACAGAGCGACGGTGAGACTTCCGCAACAAACACGCATGTTCTTATTCAGTAACAAATGGCCTTGTACTGTGATATGTGATGTGATAAAGAGTCATTATCTGCATACATTTTGTGAAATAATATCTTCTGTCAGTATTGTCATGATTGTATAATATTGTTCATCTTGTTTTTGTTGGTAACGCTGAGTGTGATTGTGATTTCAGGATGTGTATTCCTATAAGGAGGTGGGCGTCCCTCTGAACAGGATTTTCACTGTCAATCCCAAGGGGGAGCTGACCCAGGAGCACGCCAAAACCAACATCTCCTCGTAAGCTTTATTCTGGGTTTCACATGCTTTTGATTGATGTAGTCTGACTCTGGACACAGCTGTATAAAGATGTTTGATTGTCTTAATTCCTTTTTGTGCAGTTCAATTCAATTATCTTTGTTTCTTTGTGTCCCTCTTAGCTTTGGTGGTCTGTGCGAGGTGGTCGATCATGTTTTCCCTGTCCTCCCCCGTGCTTACACCTTTGATCAATGCAACTATTGGAGCGACCAGCTTCCTGATGGCACCAGCCGGGATGAAGATCCACAGCCTCTCGAAACAAGCTGAAGAAAAGCCCATCAGATCCAGCACTGAGGACGCAGCTTTTCTCCACAACGCAGTCAGGCACGATGCGGTGGTCAGTGGTTTTGTGATACACTGGTACGCCTGGTGCCCAGATCAAGACTAAATATGCTGATTATTTCACATTTAAAAACTAACACTAGAGATCTGTCGGAAACAGCCATCAAGCCAACCTTTACTCTTTACTATGGAGCTTTGGGGCTCATCCAAGTTTTAGAGATGTCATTTAAGATTAGTTTTTGAGACTACTGAATCAAAGAAAACAAATGTGTTTCAGTGTCTCACCTTCACATCATGCCATCATTCAATAGTTACATCACAAGCAGCAGATATGGGGGTCACTGAAAATAGAGCTGCTGGATCAGAAAAATCTTTTTTACAGAGAAATCTCAGATGAATCTCAGCAGCAGCTGCTTCAGGTCGAGCAACAGGGATTTTACTGACACAAACACATAGACACAAGGTATTCCATAAAAAGTACACCACAAGAATAATTTGCCTCGCTTCATGCTTTTCACCTTCCCAAGAGATCTTTCAACCACATCATTTATTGTTTACTTGTGGATAGAAAGCTTGCATACAAAATGCACAAGGAGTGAAAAATCATTTTCATTCTTACACCACTATGACTTTAAGATACTGGTGTACCGATATGGGTTTATACCCACTGTTCACCTGTTACCTTTATTTGTCTTTATTATTATTTCAGACATGCCTGTCTTTAAATGATCCACTAACCTACGTTGAGGTTAGCATCAAGGGAAGTTCATGAAAACATCAAGCCTAATAGGTGAATGAACTAAGGAATGATTTACTTAACAAGTCAAAGTCTCATTTCAAATCAGCCTGTTGTTTCATCATGTATCTTTATCTTTTTTTTCTGTTACAAGCAGTACTTTCAGCTAATAGTAGAGACTCTTGGTTAAGGTGTTAGCAGACACAGGGATGTTTCTGTTGTATTCTTCAGGTACAGCAGATACAGCACAAAACTGTTATAACAGAAGCATCACTTCACATCACATTGCACCTAAACCATTCAGAACTTGCAAAAATAGCACAGAAAATGTATCCAGTCATCCTCTGTGCCCAATGTGTGGGGTCCTCTGACCGTGCTACTGTGAAAAAATGTGACCCTTGCACATTTTCTTACCAGGGTACAGTGACAATACTCAAGGTAAATGCAGTACAATGCAATTAACTTCTATGTTCAGTCTGTTTTTTTTTAATTAACTCCAGTGATATGCGAATGTAGTGTATAAATCACTCAGTGTTTGTTGTTTTAATGACTAATGCTCATCAATGCAATAACTGTATAGCTCTTACAGGACATACAGTCATTTCTTTTCTGTTTTGGCATGTGGTGTCCACACACAGAAATATACTTTTACAGCACTTATCAGTTCTGCCTTGGACACTTGCGTGCATTCAGACAAAAGAAATCTCTACACAAACAGTTTTATGGTTGTTGTTTGTATATATTTTTCATTATCAGTTATCTCATGTTTTTTATAAATTTAAAATCTACTGTACTGCATTTCTGTGAGATGGAAACCTGTTTATTTTAACCACATGTATCACTTTTAATAGGGAAACCACTATAAATAATAATTCACATCCTGTTTTTTTTTAAACCATATGAAGTCAACTTAAAAAAAAAAAAACTCCGCTCATCTTCTGAGGGGTTTCCAGTATTTAAAAAACAATGTTACTGGTGCTCATTCTAATGCACTTAAACCAGCGGCCTCCTATCTTACTTTGAAGTGGCAGTTCCACAACTTGACCACTAAAGCAGGAGGTAAAGTTGCAGTGATTTAGAGAAGCCAGAGGATGGATTACCTATTATCAACCCTTGCATTTTGTTGAATTCCTTTCGAAGTGGTATGTTTGATGACACTTGTAACTCTTGCAACAAACAGACAGTGAATGAACGCACATGTTCATCTAAATGCAAAAGTAAATCATCGTGAGCAACTTTGAATACAAGACTGTTTCAGGAAAAGGAACAAAAACTACAAGAAAAAATGAAACAAACAACATGTTTAAGTAAATCACATGAGTTCAGTAAGAATGTATGAGAATAATTGAACTCTGATATGAATATATCCCATATTGATCAAATCAGAAAAGCTGAATACTTTAAATGCGCCTTCTAATTGGTTGTGACTGAGTCTGTTCTACTGTTATATACTCTTTGTGCATAGGATAGATATGTCTGAATCTGTTCTGTGATATACTTTGCCTAAAGGAAAAACAATAGTTTTAAATGCAAATCAGGTTGATTCCTGATTTGCATTTAAAACTATTGACGCGAACAAGCTTTGAGTGAGTCTAATGTAGTGAGGAAAAATACAACGGACGCATGCTGTTGTAATGTGCAGGTGCAGATTAATGTGGATGTTATGATCACTGTCCAGTCACTACATCTGTGTAAGGAAGAACCTCCCTTTAACAAAGGAGAAAAAAAAGGAGATTTAAGAAACAATGGCTTCCAAATTTCACATAAAAAGAATAATTTCCCAACATTAGGAGATGAATCTGTCATTCTGACTTCATAGCCTTGGCCTCATTTCTTGGTATTTTAAGTATATCATATAGCACATGTTGGAATATTTCAGTCCAAAAGCACATTTTGATCTGTGTGAAGACAGTACAGAGTTCAAGAAGATCTTTTGAACTATAAAATATGGAAGTCAAAAGTAAGATGCATTCTCCTTTTAATGAACACCATACTCATCTGATTATTTTGTGTAATCATCTTTTAGATGTTTAGCTCCTAATTCTTTCTATGAAAGATTTATTTAAGCTCTGGACCAGTTATCCAGTCTGTCTGTGGGTTGTCATGGATGTGGAGCCTTCCCTCCCATGTAAAGCAGCAGCCTACAGAACAGTGTGCAGTGTAAGCTATTATGAACAACATGGTGTGAATGAAATTGTACATTGGACACATTTTTCAATAAAATCAAAGATGATTGCTACTTGTTACCTCAGACTCTTCTTCAGCCATTGTTGTTTGTGTCTTGCACCCACCATTTCACACATACAGACGTATCTGAACAGAAATAAAATGTGGTCCTATGTTGCTGTCTTCTCATTTTTAATTTGTATTCATGGTCTCATTTTACTCTCTGAGGTTAGGGAAAAGTTTATCACTGCAGAACTAACCAATTCCTAACCATTGCATAATTTAATCCAATTTACTTTTATTGGCATGAGAGAGAGAACTGTATTTTACTGTGTTTGTGTACCACAATATTTAAAGCTCCTGTGATTAGTTTTAAGTGACATACAAAAGCAAAACAAGCCTGCTGTATGACTGATGATTTAAAAAAAAAAAAAAAAAAAATTCAGGGGAGCCTATAACCTAGCAGTTAGTGGGCGCGCCCCCATGTACTTTACAGAGGCTGGAGGAGGAAGCCCTCGAGAGCAAGTGGCCTGAGTTCAAATATGACCTGTGGCTCTCTCTCTTCCAGGTCTCTGACTCTATCCACTGTCCTATCTCTAAAACAAAGGCATAAATAGCCCCAAAATAAATCTTGTAAAACATAACCAGGCCTCCATGTAGGTTTTAGACGAAGTGAGTTGTTTCAAACCACTTTTTTTACATTTCCACAGTATAGATTCAAACTGAGTGATACGTTTGAGTGTTGGAAAACAACCTACATGTACAAGATAACACCAGTAAAGAAGATAGAGGTATTGCCTCATCCATAGTGGGCGCTAAACTTGATACAAACCAAAGGTTTCCTACAAGATCTTTAAATATATATAAATTTAAACAATCCAATTGTGTGTATGTGTGAGTGTGATTGAGTGGGTGTGTGTGTGTCTACGGAGGGGACATTAACAGTACTGGATAGTCATTGTTCATAGAACAATTTTTCTTCTTGCCCAGTGGCGGGTCAAGTTTCCCTGTGAGCTCTATGTCCACCTTTGGCTCTCCGGATTCCAGAAACACCTCAACAGACATCTTTACATGCAGAGTGGAGGCTCTTTACAAAGTTCCCTCCAGATTTCTCTTTACCCTATTTCTTGCCCTCTGTGTCAGCTCTCTCTTTACAAGGATGGTTCGGTACAACACGTGCAATATTGTCGATGGCCCATGTTACCCTCACTTTGGAACAATACCAAGGGAAGGACTTCACTTCCCTAAATTGAAGCAGAAAGTCACTCACCAACCGGAGGAAGTTACCCAACAAAGAACCATTGCCTCAGACTTAGAAGTGCTGACTTTTATCCCCATTGCCTCACACTCAGCTGCCTCCAGCCCCCAGTGTCTGACTTTTTTCCCCCTTTTTTTATGTAAGATTTAACATGATTGAGAATGATACACTGACCACTTACAACATTAAAGTAGAAGAGTACGACATCAAATATCCTGAGAGTCATTCTTGATATTATATGCATTTGCACTACTGTACAACTGTATGTTGTTTTGTGATTACTTTTTAACACTTATAAGGACATTCAGTTGTATTCAAGCATTTTTAGACTGTTGTCTGGCCCCTCGTATACTTAAGTAAAGGATCTGAATACTTGTCCCTGCCTGGGAGAAGTAGTGCCTGAATGCTATGTTGTTTTTTCAACCAGAATGCATTTGACTCTGCTTGTCTATTCACTTGAAGATAGAATATATAGGTAGGCCATGTCATATTGTCAATTTGTATTTTTAGATCTTTCCTTCTTTGAAAAGTCGCTAGTGAAAACGACTCAAACTAAAAGAAAAGGGGAGTACATATCCATTATTGTGGGGGTCATCCATACCCTGTGAACAAGGAGAAGGATTTTATGTTACACTTCTGGACACAACAGGGAGGGGGAAATGGAGTCTACCCTTTACTGTTTTGTTTAAATTATAGCAGCTGTTTCATATTCAACAGCTAAGCCCAACCTTTCTTCATCTGTTTCTGCTGTCTTCTTTCCCTCTTGTCCACTTTCTTCTCACGCTCCTTTTCTTTTTTTCTCTGCCCTTTTAATGTCAGCTCTTGATGGCGCAACACAGAACCATGCTACTCTAAGGCAAGCCAATACAATTGTCAGTGATCCACCACATGTTCTACATACAGACTACGAGTTTCTGCCCTCTGGTTAGAGGTTCAGAGTTCCCCTTGTGGACCGAACAGGTTTAAAAATGTATTCATCCCTGTGTCTCTAAGGCTTTTGAATAGTGACAAATAAGACAGGATAGGCACTGGACTATAACTGTCTTCTGTGTTTTTGCACTGGTATTCTAAGAACCTGATGCAATTTATGTTCTTGTTTTTTATTCTGGACATTATTTAATTATGTTTCCTGTTTTTTGTTTAATGTGAATGAATATCAATGGTTGTCTTGTTATGGCTGCAGCATGGGTGAGGAGGCCAAGAAAAAGACTCTAACTTTGTAGGACAATAAAACTAATCTTGAATCTTGACTCTTGAACACAAAAGCACACAGCTGTGTCAATTTTGGTTGAAACAGGAACTCTTACCTCTCTCTCTCAAAATATTTCATCACATTCCTTCTACTTCTCCATTTCACCCACCCCTTGCAACCCTGTGTGCATGGAACTAGCTCACCACATACACTCACACATATACACTCATACTCCCTCCTCCCCTCCACTGTTTTTTTTTTTGCTAGAGTGAAGGAAAGTTTGACTCTCCTTTAAGAGTCCACCATTTTGGACAGTTAAATCCAGAATGTGTGTTATTGGCTCTTTGTTTTTTTAAAAGAGCTTCATGGCTAATTTGGACTATTATGTAAAGCTTCTTTTAATCCAACATCTGAGCCTAATGTAACAATCACAGATATGAACTCCTTTGAGGAATAGATGTAAACATTCATCGGAATAGGAGACAAAAGCTATAGACAACTAATAGGACAGACATGTTGAATACGTCCCTTAACTTGTAGTTAATGATTCTGCCAGGCTCATCAATTACTAACAGTCAGTTTTTGGACAGTAACTTTTACATCAGTAGACTACAAGTCATTTAACATTTTTGATCTACTAAGAGAAAAAAGAGGGAAATTTAGTAGGCCTAAAGAAAATAAAAAACAAAAATAAAATGTCCTAATGTCTAGTGGGATCATTGAACAATTAATACTTGCTCTCAAGAGTTATCCTGCTTACATCATAACCGGGTTTAAGTTGTGTTTCAAATGAACTGATCGTCCACAAATCGCCCTTCAGGCTGTTCCAGATGTTGCCCGTGATGTCAGTCATTTCAAAAGGAAACACTACAGGACTACACAAGGTCTGCCCCTCCTTTTGTTTTCTTAAATGTATTACTTTTGAATAGTTCTGAAGAAAATAAGCCTTTATTATAATTACATGACAGCAGTCATTTGAAAATCATCGTGTTACTTCTCAGCAGTGTTTTTTTTTATTTACTTTAGCGGAGTGGAGAAGAAAAACAAGTGTCTCAAAAAATAAGCGAGAGTCATCTTTTGATTCTTCTCTGGTGATGATTTACATGATTTGATCGACATAGCCTCATAGCCTAATCTAATGTCGGACTTTTAAAGTCCCAAATCGTCTGAAGTTGCTTGTCTGTGATGTTACGTTTGTAAATCCGTGTTTTCACACTAATTCTTAGAGTAGGCTATCACATTTTGACCTTGTTTCAACAAATAGTAGGCTATATTTTCCTGTAAACTACTGTGAACAGTTAGCCTACATTTAAATGAAGTGTTATGAAGTGAAGAATAACTATTAGTGTGTTAACACAGAGCTACGTCTGTTGATGTCTCAGCCATTGGCTCGCTGCCAGGACTAACTGTACAGTAAGGTTTTAACCCTGTAATGTAGGCTACAAGTGACCAGTGCGATATTGATGTTACTTTATATCTTTGCAGGTTTTGCTATTTTTTTTATTTTTTTTACTAAATATTGTAATCATTTCTCTATTCTGTTGTTGTTAACAACGCATCCTATTAAGATTTTTGCACAAAAACCAAGAGAAATAATTGAATGTAAAAAGCGTCCAAAATGACAATTAAAGCATTCTCAATTAATTGTTGTGAAATTTATGATTTACACGTCATTCAGAAAAAATATCAACATCATGTTCTAGACATCATTCTGTACATTTGTATGCTGAAATATAGTGGTTACATAGATACCAACAAGGCATGTCTAAAAGTGTAAAAGCTGCCTTCTGGTGGCCTACACATCCACCTCATGACCTGCTGGTGTGAGTATGATTTTCCACACTGGGTTTTCAAGCTACAGCTACATAAATCTGTTCAGAAGTCATGCAAGGCAACTATCACTCTCACACCCCTTTTGATAATTGGCTTGAACATTTCAACTGCTGTCCTTTGGGCCCATGACCAATAATATCATCAAACTCTTGTACTTGTCTGTGGATCATTTTTCAAAGGTATGGTGGGCAACTCTTACACACTAGGTTTCTCATTGGAAACATTGGGCCATTATAGAGTGCATTGTGTTACATTATGTTTGAATGGTCAGATTTCCCTCTAAAGCTATTAGTTTAAATCAAGTACGGTTATGAATAATCTTTGTTAAAAAGAAGAAAATGTTCTTTTGAATTTTATTCTGAAGAGTCATATAGATGTATATAGATATACATGTCTCATGACATCCCTCACACTGATTAACACTATAGTGAATCTATATTGAAAATGAATACGGGTCAGTTTTAACCCATATTGAGCATGAATAGGTTTTGAATGTTGTGTATCAGAGGGTTCGGATAATCAGTTAGGACCTTTCATCATTACATTTAGGGGATTCCTGCTCTTTCATCTATTTGAGGTTTTATGTTTTAAATCCCTATAGTAGTCAACAAAGGCAACGACCTGTCACAGCAAAAAACAACATACATTAGGAAGAACAACAACAAAATTAATTAAAAAAAAAAGCAAATTCACAAACAATGCAATTCAATAGCACATGCAAAAGTAGAATTCAATAAAAACATGAATCCATTTGCAGGATTAGAGTACAGGTATAATAGGTATAAAAATGACTTGTAGCTTGAATTTCTTCATTGAAACATGCAAGTGAATGTCTCTGTTTGATATTTTAGGTCTCCTTCTGTCCTGTCTGTTCGCCCTTAAGATGTCTGTTGCGCTTTACTCTGCGAGTGGGAATAATGCAAGTCTTCACGGCACCACAGTGGGGGGAAGCAAACCTTTACATCGCTTCATCAAGGGACAACCCAAGATAATTGGCGTGAGACAGAAACACACACACACACACACACACACACACACATATTCAGTTATATGTATTATGGTATTTTCCAAGGTCACAAATAAGGGGCCTATTTCCAACCACATCAAATACTTTCATTTTTTTTCTCTTAGGTCATAGTGCTGATCCTGGGCTCATCTAACTTCATCCTTTCCTTTTCCACATTGCTCACCAACTCTCCTCATTTTAATCACATCTGGGGGGTCATCCCGCCCGGCATTGTGATTGGATTTCTGGTTAGTAGCACGACGAGGCAGTTAATAATCTAAAATATGCAGTGGAATATAAATTTTTGCTTTTGATTTGTATATATTAAATTGACGAATTAAAACTGAGAAACCTCCATTATTCAAAATTTCACTAGCAAGGAACACGCCACAACAATACGTGTTAGATATTTAATGATAGATCATGTGAATGATGAGCCAGATGAATGAATGTTAAGATGGGGATTATAATGGAAGAGGATGTTGTCAGTTGGCTGGTCTGGGAGGATGGACTGATGGGGCAGGACAGAGGGAGACTCTTGATGGGGGTTCCCTCTCGTGCATAATTCTAGCCCGAGCTGATCACGGCCCAGACTGTTCCCAGAATTAGACAAACAAGTGGATGGGATAAGGAAGGAGGGTGAATGGATGAGAGGAAGGGAAGGGAGGTTGGGTCGAAGAACTGAGACAAACTGGGTGGAGTGGGATGGCTCGATATAATTAGGCTTGTCAGGTGATTGAAGGTTTGGTTTGTCCTGCTCCCAAACCTGAGTTCATTTATTAACGTTATGTGTTAAGGGCTGATTACAATGTGTGCTTTTAGTAAATAATCACTTTAAAAAGTCTGTGTTTCTGCTGTCTTGGTGTTTGTTTCAGTGTTATTCAGCAAAGTGTTCACAAAACATCCACAGAGAGTAATAATTTAACATCTTCCTCCTCTTTCTCTTGTAGTTTAACACAACTGGGATTCTGTTTATTTTGACTGAACACAATCCAACCAAGAAAACAGTAAGTTCTGTTATAATGTTTTGTAGCAAAAGTGGTCACTTTTCCAAGAACTATTGTTATTTCTGAGGACCAAGAAAGCCATGCACATTAAATATTTTTATTTAAGCCCCACCCAGAAACATGTTTCAAAGTAACAGTTTGTGTGTTGTGTTTTTTCCCAACCTGAACTCCAATAAAAAATGTAAATTGAACAAGGTGTTGATTAAGCCATCCTTTACAATAAACACAAATATTGTCAGTATAAGATAAGATAAGATAAACTTTATTGATCCCCCGTGGGGGAAATTTTTGCATTACAGCAGCTCAAGAAAACAAGGGACGGGAATATAATTATTAAAAATAAAAATAGAAGTTAAAAATCAAACATATTTACATCAGTTAAATAAAAAAAATACAATAATGTAAAATTACACAGTAACTAAGAGATTGTTTCTAGAAAAACACACACAGTGTGTAGCATGAGGTGGTGATGCTGTTAAAGAGTCTGATTAAACAGTCTGATGGCAGATGGGATGAACGACCTGCGGTAGCGCTCTGTCTTGCAGGGTGGGTGTCTCAGTCTGCTGCTGAAGGAGCTGCTCAGGGCCCCCACAGTGTCATGTAGGGAGTGAGAGGGGTTGTCCATGATGGATGTCAGCTTCACTAACATCCTCCTCTCACCCACCTCCTCTACAGAGTGCAGAGGACAGTCCAAGACAGAACTGGCCCTCCTGACCAGTCTGTTCAGTCTCTTCCTGTCTCTCTCTGTGCTCCCTCCTCCCCAGCAGACCACTGCATAGAAAAGTGCAGACACCACCACAGTGTCAAAAAAGTCCGTAGCAGAGTCCTGCACACTCCAAAGGACCTCAGTCGTCTCAGCAGGTGAAGTCGACATTGACCCTTCTTGTACAGAATGTCGGTGTTGTGTGACCAGTCCAGTTTATTGTTGAGGTGAACACCCAGATATTTGTACGTCTCCACCCTCTCGATGTCCAAGCCCTCGATGTTCACCGGTGCAGTCCTGCGCAAGTCAATCACCATCTCCTTTGTCTTGCTGGCGTTGAGCTGAAGGTGGTTGAGCTCACTCCAGTCGACAAAGTCCATGATGACCTGCCTGTACTCCTGTTCGCTCCCCTTAGACACACACCCCACGATGGCTGTGTCAACGGAGAACTTCTGCAGGTGGCAGCTCCCAGAGTTGTAGCAGAAGTCCGGGGTGTACAGGGTGAAGAGAAAAGGGGAGAGAACTGTCCCCTGCGGAGCCCCTGTACTGCAGACCACTATGTCAGACTCACAGTCCTGAAGCCTCACGTACTGTGGTCTGTTGGTGAGGTAGTCCATTGTCCATGCAGCCAGGTGACAGTCTACTCCCGCCCTTTCTAGCTTCCCCCAGAGCTGGTCTGCACAGTCCTTCAGGAGTCTGGAGCTGATGCCGTCGGGACCTGTGGCCTTCCTTGCCTTGACCTTCCTCAGCTGACTTCTCACCTGATCAGCTGTTATGGAGAGGCCGTCGGTTGAGGAGGAAGAGGAGGAGGAGAGGGTTGTTGAGGGGGCGTCTGAGATGTTATTCAGTTCTCTCCAGACTCATCTTTGCCCGGCTGCTGGCTTTCCCCTCCTTGATTTTTTTTCTTGTGCTCCTTCTGCACCCTCCTCAGCTCCTCTCTATCTCCAGCTCTAAAAACCCTCTTCTTTTCTTTAAGCAGGGTTTTCAGCTCAGGGGTCACCCAGGGTTGGTGGTGGAGAAACACTGTACTTTTTTGGTGGGTACAGTGTTCTCAACACAAAAGTTTATGTAGTCTGTGATGCAGTAGGTTAAGCCGTCGATGTCCTCCCCATGTGGGCTGCACAGCACCTCCCAGTCAGTGGTGTTGAAGCAGTCCTGCAGCGCCTCAGTGGCCTCCTTAGACCACTTCTTCACATACCTGGTTGTGGGGGGTTGTTTTTTCACCATAGGTATGTAAATGGGCTGCAGTCTCACCATGTTGGGGTCTGAGCGCCCCAGTGGGGGAGGGGTGATGATCTGTATGCATCCTTGGTATTTGCATACAGTAAGTCCAAAGTTTTATTTTCCCTGGTATGGCAGTCAACATAGTGAGTGAAAGTAGGGAGAGTGGCAGACAGGGAAGCGTGGTTAAAGTCTTCTGAGATGAGAATAAGAGATATATAGTAAGGAGTTGACTTTAGTAAGGTTCTTTCTGTGTTTACATGATCTGTGTCTGTCTGTGCCTGCATGTAGGTAACCATTTCACTGGCTCTGAGTATTGTGACTGTACTTGGGATATGTTGGACTGTCCTGCACATCATCCCGAACTTAACACAGTACCATTACTACGTAGATGAATACAATGTAGATAATACCACAGATGAGGAGGAGGCTAAATGGACACCATATAACGAGGTAATTTATTTTCTTACTTTTATTTTCTTAGTTATTTTCAGTGTCATGTATAATATTTATTTAAAAAAACCATTTGTAGGTAATTATGAAGGTATTTATAAAAAGAAAGCTGTATGTAGAAAATTGAGTGAGTGATAAGAAGAGTCTTTATTTATCCCACAAGGGAGACCATTCTTGTGTTTACTGCAGCAAAGAAACAAACAAAGAACGAAGAATAACTCTCAGTGCACAAATACACATTAAATAGTTACCAAACTGTAATTGATGCCTGTGCATTGTTGCACATTCACGGAAAAATATTGACAGAAAATGATAATGCACACACAAAAATGTTTTTGTTTTTTTAACGTTATTGCACATGTACATGACAGTATGTGTATGTTAAAATGTCATAGATATCACTGGTTTCTTTGTTTGTTTTTCATGTGTTTTTTTGTTATATATGTGTGAACATGTGTTTTCCAGGCCATGGAACGATCATTTGAAGCGATCTTCTTGCTCTACACCTTGATGGGTGGAATTATTTTTGTTGTAATGTCAGTTATGGCTGGGGCTGCCCTACGTTCAACAAAGAGCCAGGTAAAAGACATCAAAACTCTCCCCAATGCTTTACAAACTGTTCTGAGAGCTGTACATGGTCCAGGAGCTCAGACATTGTCTCACAGTATCTGCTCCGCTTGAATTAAAGTGACATTTTAGTAAGGAGCTAACAAAGATTTGAACGGCTCTTTGTTCTCTTCTCTTTAGACCATGATAGTGATGACCACTCCAACAAGTGAAACACAAGTTGACCAACGAGGACAAGAGGACGGTCTAAATTGTGAAAGAATGAGCAACTAGAAGTAAACAGAACCATTCAATGAAATGTAAAAATGATTCCCAAGTATTAACTCCTTCTCACTATTTCTCACTTTTTAAGCATTACCACCAAAACCACTTAATATGTACTTAAATGCCACTTACTGTGTGCTAACTGTGCACACATGATGTTTACACTACTGCATCAGGGACAAAGGTTGGTGTAGAACAAATGCCTTCTGAGATAGTTGAAAATAAAGAGTACATATCTCAAAACCCAACAAATTTTTTTTTTTTTTTGTTGTGCCATTTTTCATTTAGGAACCATGTGGAATAAAATGTATATGATTTACATTTAAAGGTAATTGACAAGACATGATTTTGGGTTGCGACTGTTACCATGCCAACATGATTATTGACTTCCTTTTTTCTAGCTCATATTTGATAGAAATCTCCAAATGAACTTTGACCAGCTTGGTATCAAATTGTTGTCAGTGTGTACATATAACGTTTTTCCAGCAAGTCAAATATTGCATTTTAAAAAAAAAGAAAAAGAAGAAGCAGTCTGCTCAATCAGATTTGACCACTCATCCATTGCAATGTTATATAGGATGTGCTGTAGAATTTTCTGGACCACAATTGATCAATGAGATGACCAGTGTGCTGACAGAAGAGAAGTTGTTTGTTTATTAAAACTATTAAACATTAACCATCTCTGATATAATCGCAGCTAAAACTCTCAAAGAGTAACAAAAATAATGCTCATTGTGAGTATTTATTGTTTGAATGTAGAGTTGCATTATTACCAACAGGATACAAAAAGCCATGTCAGATATAAAATGTTTTATGAGGAGAGAGAGAGTTGTTTCTATTTAAAAACATCTGTTAGATGTTACATTCAGAATGTTGTTTTAACAAGTCCAACCATGAACAGTTTAACTGGTCTCTCGATATGATATGATTTATTTTCCTTTTTGTCCCGTCCAGAATTCTATCAGAACAAAACAGAACATGCACAAAGTCTTGTGGCTGCCCTTGATACTTTTTTTTCTTGTCATGGCAGCTCAAGTTTCAGCTGCAGGAATATGAAGTACACACTCTAGGGCTCACAAAGTGCTGCCAACATACAGAGGACAGCATATAATGTTCTCGGTCTGAGAGAACATACACTGAAATGTTAAACACCATGGCATGGCAGTTCCCTTGTGAAACCACAATCATAAAGTTTGCAGTTTTAGTTAAGAAATGTTATAAATCAACTGAACAATTGAACATGTCAGTCCTAAATGTAACGAGGGACAGGGGAAGGAACATTTTTAGATAATTTTCAATCTAAACATCAATGAAATACACATGAAGTTTATGCTTTTTTCCGTTGATTCAGACTATAATTATCAACAAAATGTTGCTTGCCTTTTAAGTAATTAAAGAATATATCAATATGTATAATATTGACAAGTGTTGTCAAGAAGATAAAAAAAACAAAAAATGTGTCTAAATCCATGAAAGAAGAAACACAATGACATGTAAATAAAATATTTTGTTATTCACTGTTTATTTTGAGTTTGTATCAGATATTTTTACAACACAAAAAAGTTGAATTGACCTCCCATAAAAAAGTTTGAACAGGGAATAGATGTGACGATTTTGAAACATTTCGTTTTATGTGTCTGTTAACACATTTATGATTTGCATTTTCTTTCACAAGATTCTTGTTAAAATGTTCAAAATGGATTGAAAGTACTAAGGGAAGTCGGGTATCATCACTTAAAGTTCAGTTACTATAAACTAACACTTTCAAATAAAGGTAGTCCTGTGTTCCATAATTAATACCAAAAACATGCTTATAAATGATTTAAATCACTAATGCACTTTTTTCTGTAAGCCCCTTTCTTCATATTTGGAGGGGCTGATTTCTATGGCACTGCAGTGTTATCAGGTTATTTCACATTGTTGGCATCCGGAAGACCAAGACACCCTTCAATGTAAAAACATTTCTCAGACTTTATCCCAAAATGCCCTAGTTGTCTTCCTTGCAAAAATATGGGAGAAATGTCCTTCAATATTTCTTTCCCAAAATCTGTCCATCAAAAACAGGACAATACATTTTGGTTTTGTGCCCTCTCTTCAGTGTCTCATGTTAGAGAAGCAGGCGGCTTTTGAAAGTCAGTCCCAAGGGCACAGCGCTGGTGAACTCGCATGTGTTCTGTGACACGGTACTGTCGTGAAAAGGTCATAGGGCAGCTGGGGCAAGGGAAGGGTCGAACACCAAGGTGGCTTCGTACATGTCTATTGAGAGAGCCTCTCTGGCTGAAGGAACGGTCGCAGAGATAACACTGGAAAAGGTGGCGAACAGGAGTCGACAGAGGAGACGATTTATTTGTTGGCATGATGCCTGAAACAATTGAAGGTATGGAGTCAGACAAGGTAGAGGCCATGGAGCCTTGAACAAATACTGGATCAGTGGGTGGTGTACAGACTGTCAAGTTTAAGGCATGGCTCCTAATCTCTACAGTCCTTTCCTCATGTAGAACCTCAGCGCCGAGACTGCTTCGGTCTTGTCCAACAGATTGTCTTTTTGCAACATTTACATCTCGAACCCAAGATTTAGTCTCAGCCCTGTCAAAACTCTCATCCCCAAGATTTGTCCTAGTTGCCGTCTTTCTCTCATCAACCACCTGTATAGGTGGCACTTCATCCCATTGCTCTCTATCATTATTCTCAAACACACTTGTAAATGTGTCTTTCTGGTCACATGCAACCCAGTTCTCCCCTACCACAGATCTGTGTTTGTAGGACACTAGCAATTCAGCAGGTTTGGTGCTAATATCCAGCAGTAGAACCCTCTCTGTCATCCCACTGGCAAAGTGCTGCCTCAGAGTCTTGTAATCAGGATTGGCAAATGTACCAACTTCCTTGTCATCTCTGGACTGGTCAGATGGGTGAGGGCTGGAGTATAAACTATCAGAGTCGCTGTGTGATATTTGAGTGTCTTCTTGAGGTAGGCAGTGATAATGAAGCTGTGCATGGTATGACTGCCCCACAATACTTGATGTTGGTTCAGAAGTGCTGTTGTCCACAGGAATTTGGCTTGACATATTTTCAAGTTCCAGAGATGTGGAGCTCTCAAAGGCAGAAAGACTCACAGAGACGTTACCCAAACTTAATTCTGGTGTGGTGGGGACAGACGGGCAAACAACACAGTTCATTTGGTCTGTCATGTTTCCATTGTCACAGTCATCTTTTGGGCTTGTCTCAGCTCTCTGCAAGGCTTGGTACCAATCAGTCTTAGGTCCACAGATGTTACTGTTGCTGTCCTGTGGAAACCGTTTTGAACATGTATGTTTCTCTTGCACTTCTCCCTCAGGACTAAAGTGTTCACATTGACAATCACATCCTGCGTCAGTTTCCAGCAAGTAGTGGGGAACCTTATCTTGCTGGTGATGTGAGTGAATGGACGGCCCCTTTGCTGTTGTTGCCATTGGGATATCGTGGCTATCGGAACAATCAAGACGCTTATGTTTGAGGGGGAAATCTTCAAAACTGAGATGAGGCCAATATTTTAACTCTCTGATTGGACTCCTGCCAAGCCTTTTCTGTGGTACTAAATTGCCTCTAAGATCTTTTAATTGATTCTGAAATGAATCACAATAAGCATTGTTGTCAATCGGGTTAACAATGTGGGGGAATGCATTGCCACTATTCTGTCTTGTAAAATTATCTGTGTTGCTGCAGTTTGATTTGCAACATACATCTTGGTTTTGAGCCCCATTAAAATCTTTGCGGCTGATGGTAGTTCCCTCAACAATGTTGTCAATGTCTGTGCTTTCCGACTGAGAGCAGGCGTTGACTGAAGCCTTGGGTATTGAAGGGTAAGGAGGCATTGTAGACAATTCTGCCTGCTGGGGCATAGAAGCTGTGCTGCTGTGACAGATGACAGAAACTGCCTTACAGCATGGATGTGGTGATGAGGAAGATGAGGAGGATGAGGAGGCACACTGTGAGGGAGAAACATTGTCCTTAAGATGGAGGTTGAGAGACATGAAAGGGGAGAGGGGCCAATCTGATTTTCGTCTTCTTCTATTCTTTTCATTTGCTCCCCTTTAAAATTGCTTTTTACTTCTAAACATGATTGCTGAGTATTTTCTTCCCTTGTAGTTTCTTCCTCTTGCTGCTCTGCTGTGCAAGTTGAGAACAAGTCTCTCCTGTCCGCAACTGTCCTCACCACCTTCTTCGTTGTGTTCTCCTGACAAGTCTCTGAATATGCAATGACAACTGAGCGAGACTTTAGCACCTCTGTAAACACCCCATGAGTTTCAATATCCTGAGATGTCAGGTGACTTACTTGTGTGCAGTTACCTGAATTTGCACTACTTCCAGTGTTTCCAGATAAACAACAAATGGTGCTTGCATTTCTTGAAGGGCTGTTATCCTTTCTGCTACAAGAGTTTGTACCATTTTCTTTGCTACTTCTGCATGGGTATATTTCATTGCATGTGTCCACATTAGCTGCACATGTATGATCCTTTCTGTGCATTGAGTTTTCACTACAAGTGTGAGACAAAGGCGGATGCTTACTAAAGCTGTTCACATTGGTACTAACAGCATCCTTCAAGTCCTTATAAGGATGATAGTCTGCTCCACTGCAACCATCTGATTTATCTGCAGCATCAACCTTAGTCTGCTGCAAAGCCGTCAGGGTGTCCTGCAGTTCATCCATCTGCAGGTAGGTGGCAGCAGTGAGCAGATTATAATATTCTTCCTTGCTCTGAGTATATTGCATAGATCCAGTGTAAATATAATCCAAAAGCATTGGCAGTACAGAGTCAGACAGACATGGATCCTGTAGTTCAACCAGAGCACCAGTTGAGGACAAGATTGATGCCAACACTGGACTAGAAGCTGATAGCACACATCTGGGGGAGCAGGAAAAGAAATCAGCTAGATTTTAGAGCTTAAGACATCATGTTTACAGAAAACAATAAAAAAAATGCAGATATTTTGCCAGAGGATACTTTGTGTTATTTCCTGTTTGATGTTGCTCACCTGTGGGCAGGGAAGACGCGGCCAGGGTTCAGTCTCTGTATGACCACGCAGTCACAAAGCTGAGCTCGTTCTCTTTGGAGGTTCAGATGTGCCAACAGTTGTACTGCATAACTGCTGACTTGCTGGACAAAATCTGCCATCTGAATGAAAAAAGCTCAGTCAATAGCAGTTTAACTGAAAGGCAGGTTTAAACAGAAGCATGACACTGACTGTTTTTCAGTGGTTTTTCTGATGCATTTAAAGCCTCTACATGCACCATAAGTGTTTAGAATGAGCATGAAAAAGAATGCCACTGCCCATATGAGGCATCTTATATTAGCACGAGTAGCTTCTCTTTCATGGTACAAATTATTTGATTCATGTAGAGTAATTGACTGAAAAGGCTTATCAATTTCATATAGAACTTTAGTACGTTAATCACTTTAGCTAGACAGTAAATGTATATGTATGATATTCAAAAAACAGGCCAATATACAAATAAAAAAGCCTTGACCGAGTTGATAAATAAACTGACTTGACTTTACTCATAAAATAATGACTGTTTCAACATGCACATAAGAAAAAATATATCCTATAAATATTATCTTACCTCTGTTTTATAGAAAATCTATAAACCCCTCAAATCCTGTTGGCTTCACTGTGACGTCTCCTAGCACGGCTTGCTTGCAGTGAAATGGGGAAAAGAACCTCAATGAAGTCTATATAGTCACAGTCTACTATCTACGCACACTGTCTCATGCGGAAAACAATCACACGCTTTTCGTATTGGGGGCCTGGTGTGACGTGAAACGACAGGTGCTTATAAGGAACCCTGGCATCCAACGTCAGACTTTCCATGGCCTGTTTTGGAGTGGGAACTGAGACCTGCCCACAGAGGATCCACACAAGACTACAGACATAAAGCAAATAGAGACAATATTTCCATTCACTTTTCAAAGGATATTATTAAGGGAGGCATTTTTTTACTCACACAAACATGCATGGATAACATACATAGGTTCTCGTTGCAGAAGAAACACACAGACCACGTGGCTCATCCATATTTATAGCATACTAACATAGTCGAAATTCTCAAAAAGAAGCTCCTTCTTTACAAAACAATCTTTCTCCTGCACCTGTTGGGAGCTCATGGGTTGATAAAGCTAAGTAACTTGGGGCAGCAGTACCTCAGCTTATAGGTGGGTTGCTGATTCAATCCGGTATGGAACAAGTGCAGAATTGAGACTGGATGCTGGAGAGATATTTAAATTTCCCTTGCCTGGCAATGTCTAGGTCTTCTTGAACAAAGTACCAAAAAAAACAACTGCTAAGGTGCTCTTTAGTGTGCCGCCCCTCATCCTGATATCCTCCTTTAGTGCATCCTGTTTGTGCGTGTGTTTCTGACCTATATGTGTATGTAAAATGTTCAATAACATAACTCTTCTCCTTCTTATTGAATCAAATGTACGTTGGTCATAAAGAGCTGTTATTAAGCATCATTAGGTACAGTGTGCCACCCATGAGTCTACACTGTAGTCCTATACTGCACTGTTAAGAGTTTCTCACAAGCATTCTACATGCTCTAAAGAAATGAGGGCTGTAAATCTCAACATTTCTGTCTGTTCTATTTCTACAAATGGGAGCTTGCCTGGTGTTACTGACTACGAGACGCCCCCTGTCTGACGCTTTGTTGACAACTCCATACTGAGCTATTTCTCCACCCTCACACACCATGTGCTTGTCACGCCTCACAATCTCGACAGCACTGTGACAGCTGCCCACAGCGGTACAATTGCATTGGAAACTCTGCAATGGAAATACCACTGCTACACACACTAGCACATAATGAACCATTTCAAAGGACTCTTTTGGATAGAGGAATCATGCTCCAAGACAGAAATGATTGCATAGCTTCATTTTGAGGTATACAAAAAGTAAAACATATTTATGCTACATATCTTTTTTTATTTTCTCCAAAATATGTTTATAAAGCATTTGATAGTTAACGTTTGTGCAGGGGGCATACTATCCCTTAAAAAATGTAACTTGTTCATTTAAAACTGCAGACAAAATGCATTTATTTGGATGTGGATTGTTGGATGTGTATAATACACAAATGAATAGAGCTGAATAACAGTATCAATAATAGTATCCTTGTCTCTACTAAGCTTCTCCAAATAAATGAGTGGGTTATATGGGAACAACCCTAAAAAAATGAATTCTGTCCAGAAGATCACTAAGACATACTCCCCTGTCTCTCTCACTGTTTCTCACCCGTCTGTCACATTGTTTTCCTCAAATTTTGACTTCACACAAAAACAATCCAAGAAAACAAACTATGAATTATTATCAATTGTGCTTTAACTTAAGCAGTCATGACACTCACGTACAGACATTTAGACACACACACAAAGTAGCATGTGCTGGAAAGATGTACGTGTATAGTATTTCCATTCACTGGGTGCTTGGCGACATAGCTCACGTATTGTACTGGCTGCATGCAAATTAGGGAGGGTCTCACTGAGCACCATGCAGCTGTAGCTGCTGGAAATATATCATGTAGTATAACTGAATCACTAAAGCATATAAAAGATAAGCTGAAAAACTTACAGAAAAAGGAAATAGATTATTTGCCATTTAAATATTTACAACTAACACTACCTATTGATAGAGATGATATACTTGATCAAGTGTACTAAAGCTGTTATTGAGTTGTTTAGACACTTTTTTTTTATTTGAGCTGAAAGTCGAAATATTTCTTGCAAAGCTTTGAGGTGTGTTTGTGTCATAAAATCCTGCTGCAGTATGAATTCTTCTGCACACTTTTTGAAAACTTTTCATCAGCCCTATCAACACTTTTGGACACAACTGACCCAGTTTCTGCTTCATGTTCCATGTTCCATGCACTGTCCCCTCAGGAATTGCAACCAAACCATGATATGAAGCTGAAAAGCTCAAGCTTTGCCAATAATAACAATTTGACACAGTCCTGCTTAGTAAAGTTACTTGAACGAGGCACTGATGAACAGATAAAAAAGTGTCATCTGAATTCTGGATTCAATGGAGGGGATACGACTAAAGGGAATCGTTTACACGAAGTTCAACTGGTTTGTTAGAAAGATATTAAGGTTATGCTGTCAAAAGTTATAGATACTAAATTAAAAAGTAAGAAAAGCCAAGCTTAACATCTGGCCTTAATTGAGGCCGCTGGTGGCGCAATGGTCAGTGCGCCTTGTATGGAAGTTGTAGTCCTCCAAGCGGGCGGTTCAAATCCGACCTGTGGCTCCTTTCCTGCATGTCATTCCCCACTCTCTGTCTCCCTGATTTTCAACTCTATCCACTGTCCTATCTCTCAAATAAAGGCAAATTATTTTCTTAAAATAAATAACTATTTCTTTACATCATTGGCCTAATCAACATCATCAAAACACACGGCTGTACTTTGAATTTCAAAAGTGCATGAGCAGACACTTGGGGTTATATCTGCTGACACTTAGGGTTATATTTACTCTTTAATTTTTTAGACAACTGAAGCCAGAAATTCTCTGGCGCAGTCACAGCAAACATCAAAACGACTGCAATGCTTCAGGCGCACAGCCTGGAGTTGTTGAGTACAGCCATAACTAATGTGCTGTACAACAGTCCAGTACATTCCAACACAATGCACAGTACACAGCCTCTCTTCTCAGGGAAGACTTTGGACTTTGTGTCCAAACACATCATAATTAGGATGCTCATTTGCTTTTAAATATACCACCATATATATATATATATAGAGAGAGAGAGAGAGAGAGAGAGAGAGAGAGAGAGAGAGAGAGAGAGAGAGAGATATTTAACCTGTAGTTGTAATTTTTGGGAAACGTTTACATGGATAAACCTGAATGAGAGTGTATAGCCCTCTAATGGTTGGTAGGCTGTAATTCTCATGATAGAAAAATATTTTGTGGATAAACCAGAGTGCTGGACAGACTGAAATTCTACACAAAGGGGGTCAGAGTTAGTCTGCACCAAAATGTAATGCCAATATATCATGCATATAGGATATGTTATCAGTAAAGTCATTGTTTTGACCAATACCTCATGCACACACATACACATCATGCCCAGCTTACAACATGATGTGCCAACCCTGCTTCTGCAACACAAACAGAACAAAGCTCCAGCTGTGTACTTCTTGTCCCAGTTCCATTTTTACACATGTAACATCATCTTCATCTTGCTCTCCTGTACTCACACTTCCAAAACATTGTAGTCATGATATCTGGTGACTGCTATTCTGAGCTCATGAGCATGACACTTTGAGCACTCATCCTTATATTAACACCTCTGGGAAGACATACGGGAGCAGGTCAGAAATATTAGGACTGCTGCCAACAGTAGTACCAGGCAGCATTCAAGAGTCACATAGCGTCTTGTTGGCCTTAAAGTTGTGAAGGTGCAATAACTGTTATAATTTCCAGCTAGAGACCTTGGTCCAAACCTCTTCTTCTCTAACAGCAGAAGTCTTCATTTTCTATCAGGGAAAGACAAAATGCAGAATTTGTGAATTTTAAGAAGAATGAGAGAAGATGAGTATGCCATTAGGATTGCTTTTATTAAAAACTCACAGCAGCTAATTTAACATTGATATCATCATTTGACTATGTAAAAGTTCATCAGAAGGAATTGAATTACTGAAATGTTTTCAATCAAAGCTTTAATTATTTAAAAGTTGAAAGGAGCATGTCTTCTGTTTTTTTTAAAATCTATAAAAAATATGAAGACATTAAGCCTCTCAGTGACAGAGATTTGCATTTTAATGAATTAGTTAATGTACAGATGTTGGAGCCGTAGTATGACAATTTATTTTGGTCCTTGTTTTTTCAGTGTTTAATATACTGTATGTGCTCTTACTTTTTTATCTTGAATTGTATACTTTCCTGAGGGGAAATTTTGATTTTACACTGTTATTGAGAGACATGCTACTCACACACACAGGTCCTGTTCTGATCCAGCAGAACTAAACTAAAAGGACCAACAGCAATGCTGAAGAAAAGTTAGAAGTTAAAATTAGTATAATGACTCTGAAAATAAATAGAGACCTTTTTCACGGTTTCCAGCCGTGAATACATTCATAAAGTAGAATTCTTGGATTAAAAAAGTCCATGTGCAGCAGAGCCTCTCAGACAGAGTCAGAGAACAAATCTCTCGACCAATCACATGCCTCATTCTCCCCATCAACAAGGTAACAAATAGATCCATCCAATGCTGCCTTTTCAAAAGTCTCAGTGTCAGAGCTTCCTGCATGCACCACACCTTTCTGTGAGGATTTGACAGTTTGATCCAACACAGAACTCTGACAATTCACTCCATGCCTCTGCTGCTCTTCAACAATCTTTCCGAAATCACTGCTGCTGCACTCAGTCTGACTTCTGTCTCGTAGCTTCACACTCAGCAGTTTTTTAACAGCAGGTGTAGGAGGGACAAAAAGTGCACTGTCGTCTTTATCACACACAGTCACATCAAAGTGCCTTGAGTCGCACGTGTGTTTCTGCCTTCTTGGAGTCCCTGTGTTTGGAGCCCCTCTCTGGACACTCTGGGGTTCCTGAGCAAGAAGATGATTTTGATCTTTCCAAAATCTCCTTTTTGAGTTCAACCTGTGTCTGTTTAATTTTGTCCTCCACATCAAGTTTTCTTTGGCGGACTCTTTACAACACCAGGGCCGCTGATTCAAACGGACACATTTTGAATTGGAAGATGGGATTTTGGCTGTTTTCTTACCGTACAGTTGGGGCAGATTTCTGGAACAAGAAGAAGAATCTGGACTGTGAATTTGAGAAGTGGACTCATCAAATGTCGAGGTTATGTATGAGCAGTCAGGTGACCTTGTCAAAGCAGTTGATTTCACAATGGGGGTGGACTGAGAGGGAGGGACAAAGTGAAGATCGAACATGCCAGATGGAGTTAAATTGTCTTCATAAGTGCATTTGTTACTTGTCACTTTTTGCTTGTCAGGGGTTAATTGTGATGAGTTGGTCATTTCCCTCCTTGGGTGTTGTTTGTTTGGCACGGAAAGCAAGACACAAGCTTCTGTGGTTGTCCTGACAGTTTCTACTTGTGTTTTTATCGTGTTTGTGCTCATATCGATCATCAGTGAGCTACTGAATAGGTCTGCAGAACAATCGTAAGTGTGTATTTGAAGTTGCTCTTCTTCTGTGCTTTCAAAAGAGGCAGAAAAAGACTTCTCATCCACCCGGTTACATTTGTTTTTGGTCTGACTCCTATTAAAAAATCCAGCTGGTTTCTTACATACCAGGTCAGGTAAATCACGTCCGTCAGCTTCATTCGGTGCTGCTGTATCTTTGTTACCCAAAAATATCTGTGAGTGACTGTTTTTAATGTCTTTGAAACTTGAATGAACAGACTCTGATTCAGTCGAGAAGTTCTTGTCTTGTGATTTGTCTTGCAGGATGCTCCTTGAGATTTCTTTTCGGTTTTGAACATTCAGATCTGGCTTTGACTCACCAGCGATGATAAAGTCTTTGTTTTTGTCACCCAAAAAATGTGTTAGACTCTCAGAGAGTGGCAAGTCCTCCCAAGCCAAGGAGTCTGATAAATATGTTTGGGTTAGTTTTCTGGGAGACAACTTCTTCCCGGAGCTGTTGTTGTCAGTGGGAGAAAGACTGAACCAAGGTTCTGTGATGGAGGTGTCTCCAACAGCTTCATCAACACATGAGAATGAGTATTTGGCAAATGACTGAGTGCTGCACAAGCTGCGCTGTAACGGAAGAAGAGGTGAGACTCCTCTCTCCTCGGTGACTTCAGGGTTCTTTAGGTTGTCTGTCCGTGTATTATGATTTTGTGTTTTGCTTTTTTCTGTCTGTCTGCTTTTCACATCATCACTTTCCTGAATGCTGCAGCCTTCCTCCTGCTCTGCTGATGATGTAACCAGTCCCAGAGATTGCTGCCATGGAGGGGTGGGAGTAAGTGTGCAGTCTTGGAACTGGGATCTAGGATCAAGACAATACCCACAAAATATAACATGAAATCTTAGCAGATTTACACTGGAATTCACTGGAAACTTTATCGGTAACTTTTGAATCTCATCACCTTTGCAGTGGTTGACTTAGAAGACCTGATGTAGAAAGTGAAGCACTGTTAAAGCTGCTGGCTGGAGAATGATGAGGAAGCAGCAGGGGTGTTTCGGGGTTTCTGGAGGGTTTCTTAGATCAGCAGATCCCAGCTCAGATTCTGCGGCTTTCTGCAGAAGGATCCGAAAATAACTGACCACCGTGCAGCCCCCCAGGCCTAAAGCTTTGGGGAGAATCATCTGGCTGGCAATTAACTGGACTGTGTCTTCATTTCTGGAGCAATTTGTGACAGTCTGTCGTAACCACGGCTCACGTTCTGTTTCAGTCACCTGATGGATACAAACAGGTTCAATTCAATTTGTTAGTTATCTGGGTAGCATGCTGCATATTTATCGGCATTCACAAGAGCAGTTGTACCTTTATACCAAAGATGAAATGTCTGCCAATAAAACAATCTTTGACAGCCTTAACCAACAATGTACATCTGGTTGATGTTTCCACTGGTCCATCTGCGTGCTCCACCAACCTGCAACAGAAATATATGCAACATTTAACTTCAACAGCGAAGAAGGAAGCACAAATAATACGTTTACCTTTTTAAACATGCAACATTTAACAATGGGGACATTCAGTTAACATATATGACCTCTGACCTACACGAGAAATACTTTGGTAAAAGCTCATTTCCCAACCTCACCTCTGTAAACCAGATGCAGGAATGCCAAAAAATGCATTCAAGCTGGTCCCAAAAACTGTGACTCCAAAGATGCATTTGTCCCGGATCACCTTCAGCGAGAGACGATATCTGTGATCAACATTTCCCCTCAGACAGATGTAACCACACTTGGCACATCGACACCTGTGGAGGATAGGCAGAAAGATACAAATAACCTCAATGTTGGAATAGGTCAAATATTCTACTTATTCTGAGTTTCTCTAACTAGATTGATAACTTTTTTGTCTGGCAATTTGCGTTGTTACCTTTTAGCGTCCTGTAGTTCCACTTGAATCTTAGAGAAACAGTCTTTACAGCATGGATAAAACACACAGGCATCTTGCAGAGACAACACGACACAATCCACCAGAGCTGCTCTAACAGACATACGTCTCCGAGCTAGCAGCTAGCAGGGGCTAGCTGACAAACTCTTAAACCTCTCACAAAACGAACGAGGGTAGTATTAACTTCATCCATACAGCAGAAACTTCTATTTTCACTGACTACATGTTTTTCAGATATAAATCCTACTAAAGTGGTCATAGAAACATCTAAACGTTACTACGAAGTACGAACTGTTTCTTCTTCGCGTTGTTGTGATTAATTTGCGGTTGACAAACCAGCTCGCAGCTACTTTACTGCCCCCTTCTGGACTGAGTGTATAACAGGAGGAATGACAGCGACATTACAAATTGTTATTATGGAAACAATCGAACATACTTTTATTATCTTTCTTGAGAAGATACTAGATTTTTAATTAGTTTACATGGGATTAGAATGTAGAAAACGTATTTCTATTTATTCTATTGATTATTTCACTTTGACTTAAAATGTTCTCTTTTCACAACTTCAGAAGTTCAACACTTTTTTATTTTTTATATTCAGGTCTAATTACAGATTTTTTTCATCAATTTATGAACAGATTTTTAGTTGACATACTTCTCTCAACTCAATCAGTCTGTTTTAAAGGTTGTACATGTTTTTCCTGCTACGCTGATTTAAAGAATCAGCTGCACATCTTTGAATTTTAAATACATTTAAATTGTTAAATTGAATACCGCTTTGCCACTGTGTATAACTGCCTGTTATGTTTGTATATAAAAGTTTAAAGTAAAACTCCTTAAATGTTGCATGAAGCTGAGACACTGTTTGACTATATGAAGTCACAGCCATTCCTGCACCAAATGTGGTCATTAATAGTTGGCCTTGTGAAGAAAATACATGAGAATTGATGAAATGCTGTTTCTTTCACCAGCCAATCGGCTTCGCTGTTGCTACCCAGTGTTGTGTAATTACTTCCTCATTTCTTTTCTCTGGAACTGGTGATGCAATTCCATATAAATACGTAAGCATTGCTCAGCAGACTGTAGCTGTGGAACGAAACTCAGGTAGAGGTATTTGTTTATAAACAGGTAGAGGTATTTGTTTATAAACAGGTAGAGGTATTTATTTATAAACAGGTAGAGGGATTTGTTTGAATGGGTAAAAAAGATGTAACCGTGCATCTTTCTGTAGAAAACAGTTAAATCAGATATTTCTCATGTTTTAGCCTGTGGAGTATCCTGAGGTGTGTGTGAATTCAAAGAACGTAGGGTGGGTGGATACAGAAAATGCTTGTTTGTGAAATGAATTAGTTGTACCTTATTTAATTAAATGTATGTGTCCCTATACCATGTCTTATGAAACACACAACATAAACCAAAACAGCTTCTTATGATATGACTTTGTAAAAGATCCTCTGGAAAGACTAACAGATATGTCCTTCCTCCACTGTCTGTTGAAGCTGTGTGTGACTTGACAAGACTTTGTGTTGGGAGTGATATAACTGAAGCAGGTTGCTAAATGCAAAGCAGCTCCTTTATGACGCACAAAGTTACCTCTGCTTCTACCTGGTGGCCTAACACGAGTTTATTAATATGCAACCCCATAAAAAAAACGAAGGATCAGCAATCACCATTTTATTATCAATGACTCTCAAATGGAAGATGAACGATGACAGAAGTAATTGCAACACACCTTTATATAAATTCAGTGAATGTTTGACTTTACAGAGCTGTGCTGCCAGACACCTACAGCTACAGGAAAACTGCAGTGTCTTTCAGGAGTGTAGGAGCCAAAATGCTTATTTTTATTGATCCTTGTAAGAAACCCAACACAGCACTGTGAATTTGTATTTGAGAGTGACTCCTACACTGAACACTGGGTGAAGTCTTGAATTATGCTGTGCATGAAGTCAAGGCTCCAGGTAATTGGATTCAGTGTGTGTTTGGAAGCATATCATAGCGTGTCAGGCTGACTTGAATGTAACAAAACCCAAGTTACAATGAAAGTAATCAAGGTAAAATCAAACTACAAAAAACTTACCTTTACGTAAAAAATACGTAAAATGCGTCTCCAAGAGTTGCTGGGACAGAATGAAAACAATTTTCATCTTGCTTGCAGGTTAAAGCATTTTCCCTGAAGTGTTTGTCAGACTCAGAAGAAAACAGTGAGTTCAACTGACACACCTGCCATCTTAAGATGAGTAGGCTACAGCTAAGTTATGATGGGCTGTAAAGCACATCTTCACCTCTTTAACATTTTGTTTATTTACGCTGTTAAAAATACTTAATTGTATCGATGTAAAACCAAATATTGCCTATGGATTAATGAACCCGGACAATCCAATTTCACTAAACAATAGACCGCATAGAGCTGGATATATGATGCCTTCAAAAAGATTTAGAATAAAAAAATGGTAGATATAGGAAAGCGTAGAGCTGCCTCCTATAACATTTTACTTTCAAATCACTTCTCAAAACTCACCTCTTTAAACAAGCTTTTAATGTATGATTGTGATGTATTTTCTGTTCCTTTATTGTTGTTGTCTTTATGATTTGTGTGTAATGTTGCAATGTCTATTAGTCTGTCCTTACTGTGCTGTTCTTTCTGTTTTTAACTATTGTAAAGTGTCTAAATAAAATGCATCATTATTATTATTATTTCAATAAAAGCTGTCGTCGGCTAAAGTCTCTTTGTATTGTGCTCTGTGCTGGGACTGAAACGCCCTCTTCTTCTTCTTCGGAGTTAGTGGAGCGACATTTCCAGTAAACGTGAGCTTCCCATATCAGGAAGAGAGACTCTGAGGACGCAGTGAATTCTAGCTTCACTTTCACACACAATGGGTCAAGAGGACTGAGCTGGATTTTAGTTTTCGAAGGACCTAAGGCAAATGAATCGTTTCACCATGGGATTAAAAAGGTAATCTTGGTAATCCTGGATATCGTGGGACCATAATTGTAAATATTGAAGTAGCCTTTAACTTGTTGTTTTTCTGCTTTCAGTCGAGTTGGCGTTCGGAACACTTTTGTCCTGCTGATTTTAGGAAATATTGCGACTGTAATATCTCTTCATGGTACGTACAGTGGACACGTAGACAGCTTTGAAATCAATAAATGCAATAAATCATGTCCAAATCCATCTCATCTGTAAATTCTGTTTCCTGTAGGCCAAAGTCTTGACTGTACCAACGACTTCGAGGAGTTTATGTTTTGCAGCTTTGGAGGGGAAAACTGTACTGAATACAATATGACTCTAAAGTGGGACAAGTGGTACGGGTGAGTTGTTGTTTTTATATTTTTCAATTCAAAGCGTGTGGATAACAGAGTTAAAATAGTAGGCCTACGTTTTGGATTAGCCTTCTGAATTGTTCAGAAACCGTGAATTCACTTGAGTTTTCGACCACAAACAACATTAAACATTTAGATATATTATTTAACAATTCCAGTTGTGAATGAAATTATCTTAAATTTATATTCAAAAAAACTAAATACAACAAAGTTGACTAATATTTCTCTAATGTGAATACATTTTTTTTAGGAATGTTTTAGGACTAAATGTGTAGAAATGTTGCTGTTATTTGTAGTGTGCGCAACTTTATTCGGTGTCCCATAGATAACACAGTAGCCTACGTTTTGAATTATTATGGTTGTGAAATTAAACAAAGGCTTAATTCTAAAAAATATATATAAATTGTTCAGAAACCGTGAATTCACTTGAGTTGTCGACCACATCATATGTTTTATTGTTAATAAAGCCAAGGGACTCGGTCTGAGAAGCTAAAAATAAGTGTTATGATTTCTTGTGTCCCACAGGGAGAAGGGTTGCATTTTCAGCCAGTGCGACGTTGGACAGTGTTGTTGCTCCGTCCAGATGGATTACTTTGTAATAAACAATAAGCATACAGCAACAGTTTGGAAAAATGGCGAAAGCATAGAGACCAAAACCATCAGCGTCACAGACAGCAGTGAGTTGACTTGTTTTGAGTCAGAGTCCATCTGCATATGCCAGAATTAGACTGAACAGTCACAGTGTATTTAATTTACCTTTTTATTTTCTGCTTCTCTGCAGTAAAGCCAAAAACCCCAACAATAATTTCAGTTGATGAATCCAACGGGAACTATCAAGTTGTGTGGTTGACAAACACGGAGCAGGAGAGAAGTTTCACTCAGCACCTGACTGCTGAAGTGACTTACTATGAAAAAGGATGCACAGATAAGGTAGGAGAATAGTATTGTGCTCTGTCTAACACTGAAACTATTCATTCTTGCAGATTTAGACATAGACCTTTCTTTTTATGTCCAGTTACTGCTAGGTAAAATAAACTATGAGTGCCATGACTCTCCTTTTTCATTCATGTTTCTCCTTCCTAGGTTTCTGTAAAGGTCAACCAAACTGCTGATGGTGGAAGGAACTACTATGAAATTCAAGGCCGACTCTTGAACTCAAGCACAACTTATGTGGTCAGTGTGAAAAGCTTCATCGATTGGAGCGGAAAATACAGTGACAGTAGTAATGAGTGGGAATTTACAACCCGTGAGTGAATTCTTTACCTCTTCTATTATTAGCATTCTACTCTGCATATTTGTTTGAATCATAGCGAGGATGTGCCACTTATTTCCCGAACACATGCACATGTTTTATTGTCTGATAGGCCTTGAAGTGTCTGATGTAACTAGGACAGAGATAATATAAGTTTACAACGGGTGCGTCTTGTGATAGTATCTGAAGGAGATTTAGGAGTCCCCTCAGGTGGAATGTTTAAATTGAGGTATTGTATAGGAGTATTGCCACATGTGGTTGTGTAACGTGATGTTTTATGACCCATGACGAAAAGCGGATGTTTGGATGCATATAAGCAATTGTCTCTGTGTGTTCGAGAGAGATCATTATTGGCTTCTTGATCCTCCTGGTCAGACGTGACCAGTGATTCTGTTTCTTGCTTAAATAAAATTATACTCTTTGAAAGCAAGTCAGTCTCAACGGCGAATTTCTTCATCATCAAACATATCAACAACAAGGAAATCCACATCAATTTTGGCGTCACGGAACAGGATCAGTTGGGGCCTTCTGCAGGGGACCACAGCTTGTTTATTATTTCCATCACTTCGTAAGTGTTTTCTTTCTTTTTTCTGCACATATTGCGGAACTGTTTCTGTCGTCTATCGGCAATTTTGGCCGCACTGTCAAAGAACTGAAGTGCAATGATGTGTTGATGTTGGAGTAATTCTCCGTCTAAATTGGGGTTTATTGAGTTAAAAAGTAAATAAAATAAAGGGGAATAAAATAAAGAAGAGATAAATAAGAGAAGAAGAGATAAAAAGTTGAAAGGTAATGATAGCATAAGCGCAACTAGTAACGAGACCAGTTAGCTAAACACAAGGACAGGGCCCGTATCCTCTTAACAGTAAGTCATGTGTAAATTAGACACTGAAGTGAAAGTTGGCTTTAAGAAGTAGTCAAATTTGAGTAAAAATAAAACAAAGGGGATCCCTGGCCAGGGTATTTGGATAGATGATAAACGTATAATGTAGGTAAATAAAAGAGAAGAAATAAAGATGAGAAGTGTAAAGATGAGAAGTAAAAAGATGAAAAGTGAAGATAAGGAATAAAGATAAGAGTTTTGAGAAAAGTGGAAAAAAAGTGCTGAGTAAAGGAAAAAGTGTGCATTGAAGCATGCAGTGTGAAGTAATTTGTTAAAAGACAATTTGTTAAAAGTTTGACAGAAGTAAAAATTTGATAGAGGAAAATTATAAATGAGTCGACTTCAAAATCTGAACTGAAATGTGTGTGTGCTCGCTGAGGGGCGGCTGTTCTTGGAATGTGTGTGGCTGCTGGATGGTCTCTGTCTCTGTCTCTGTCTCTGTCTCTGTCTCTGTCTTGTCTCTTGTGTTGTGATTTGGATGGTTTTGAGAGGTCTGTGTGGTGTGAAGATGTGTATTTGATCCGGAAATGTTCTTGTATATGTGTGATTGATAAATAGAATAGATGTATTAATAAATAGGCATATATAGCAGGTGATTGGTTAAAAGGCGATTTAGTAACTTATAAGAGGGGACATTTTTGCTTCATCAGTGATAAAAAATATGAGCCTTTGTTTCAGAGGACTTTTACTTATCTGATCTTCATCAGTGTTAAAAACCTATGAGCCCTTTGTTTCAGGGGACTTTATATATTCAATTTGATAAAAATCTATGAGCCCCTCAGAGGATGTTTGTAATAAAGGACGTTTATACATAGCATAAGTGTATATAGTATCTGTTTTTAAGAAGTGGAGAGACCAGCGAGGATAGTCTGTGCCCATTCAGGTAGCAAGATTCGAGAAAAGAACAGAAAAATTCCTGATAAAGTTTAGAACTGCCGGCTGATTGGAGTGTGAACTTCTCTTTCTGTCTGTTTGTGCGTATGTGTGTGACCACATTATGCTGTGAATTTTGTCTGTTCAAAAGAACATATAGTTTGGTTTAAAATAGGTGGAGAGAATACATTTTCTATTTGGCTGTTGACTGGGAGGATACTGTGCTGATTTCTGTGTGTGCATAGACTCTGTGCACAGGGGTGGAGCAGTGATCTTAAAAGTGTGTGTGTTCTAGTGCTAGTATATTACCACCCTCTAGGAAATCAACACAATTCTGTTTCATTTTATGTCCAATAACTAAGTTTAGCTGAAACATCATATAACAAGACAAAGTTACAAAAGATAATTAGACACTAACTTTATGAACATCCATTGTGAGTAACCCAGTCAGCTCTAGAAACCAGATTCAAAACGGTTCTTTGTGATGCCATTATTTTGCTTTTCTTATTGCCCTACGCCTCAGTCTCTTTATTTCCGGTCTTCACATAAAATGTGCTTTTATTTAGAAAAACTGCAAAGGGGACTTCTGCTACATCGTAAAGTGATAAGTTTTCTTTTAATGACTCCACTAGTAAAAAGTGCACATTTCAGTGAAAGTATGGGTGCCACAACACCCACGGGTGAGATGCGCCTGTCTGTGCATTAAATGCACTAGGTTTGGACCATAGGGTTTGAAGAAACACATTTTTTTGTATTTAGGTTAAAGGATTCACTGAAGGACTTTAGCAGTGGCAGCAATCAGCAAAGTAGTGGAATCAGCACTGGCTCCTCTTGTCTCAGCTACGCTAACACAGAACCAGCTGACATCATAGCCGAAGTCCAGGATGCCCTCAGGAAAACTTTCGCCAACATCTGCCTAATATCACCTATGACCACCAGCCTTCTTACAGACTCTAACACAAACAACGGTCTGCTGTGTGGTCCACACAGCCCCTGTGATGTCAGAGCTGAAGACGGGAGCTCAGGATCGTCTGCATTTCTTAATCAAACCTATGGGCCAGAATTAGTATCTACCCAGTACACTACCCAGTATTGTGTAAGTACTTCCTCATTTCTGACATGTAGAGGAATTTGAGTGAATTGGTAAATAAGTTGTGTATCTTTCTGTAGAAAACAGTTCAGTCAGATATTTCTCATGTTTTAGCCTGTGGAGTATCCTGAGGTGTGTGTGAATTCAAAGAACGTAGGGTGGGTGGATACAGAAAATGCTTGTTTGTGAAATGAATTAGTTGTACCTTATTTAATTAAATGTATGTGTCCCTATACCATGTCTTATGAAACACACAACATAAACCAAAACAGCTTCTTATGATATGACTTTGTAAAAGATCCTCTGGAAAGACTAACAAATATGTCCTTCTGTGTGTGACTTGACAAGACTTTGTGTTGGGAGTGATATAACTGAAGCAGGTTGCTAAATGCAAAGCAGCTCCTGTATGACGCACAAAGTTACCTCTGCTTCCACCTGGTGGCCTAACACGAGTTTATTAATATGCAACCCCATAAAAAACCGAAGGACCACCAATCACCATTTTATTATCAATGACTCTCAAATGGAAGATGAACGATGACAGAAGTAATTGCAACACACCTTTATATAAATTCAGTGAATGTTTGACTTTACAGAGCTGTGCTGCCAGACACCTACAGCTACAGGAAAACTGCAGTGTCTTTCAGGAGTGTAGGAGCCAAAATGCTTATTTTTATTGATCCTTGTAAGAAACCCAACACAGCACTGTGAATTTGTATTTGAGAGTGACTCCTACACTGAACACTGGGTGAAGTCTTGAATTATGCTGTGCATGAAGTCAAGGCTCCAGGTAATTGGATTCAGTGTGTGTTTGGAAGCATATCATAGCGTGTCAGGCTGACTTGAATGTAACAAAACCCAAGTTACAATGAAAGTAATCAAGGTAAAATCAAACTACAAAAAACTTACCTTTACGTAAAAAATACGTAAAATGCGTCTCCAAGAGTTGCTGGGACAGAATGAAAACAATTTTCATCTTGCTTGCAGGTTAAAGCATTTTCCCTGAAGTGTTTGTCAGACTCAGAAGAAAACAGTGAGTTCAACTGACACACCTGCCATCTTAAGATGAGTAGGCTACAGCTAAGTTATGATGGGCTGTAAAGCACATCTTCACCTCTTTAACATTTTGTTTATTTACGCTGTTAAAAATACTTAATTGTATCGATGTAAAACCAAATATTGCCTATGGATTAATGAACCCGGACAATCCAATTTCACTAAACAATAGACCGCATAGAGCTGGATATATGATGCCTTCAAAAAGATTTAGAATAAAAAAATGGTAGATATAGGAAAGCGTAGAGCTGCCTCCTATAACATTTTACTTTCAAATCACTTCTCAAAACTCACCTCTTTAAACAAGCTTTTAATGTATGATTGTGATGTATTTTCTGTTCCTTTATTGTTGTTGTCTTTATGATTTGTGTGTAATGTTGCAATGTCTATTAGTCTGTCCTTACTGTGCTGTTCTTTCTGTTTTTAACTATTGTAAAGTGTCTAAATAAAATGCATCATTATTATTATTATTTCAATAAAAGCTGTCGTCGGCTAAAGTCTCTTTGTATTGTGCTCTGTGCTGGGACTGAAACGCCCTCTTCTTCTTCTTCGGAGTTAGTGGAGCGACATTTCCAGTAAACGTGAGCTTCCCATATCAGGAAGAGAGACTCTGAGGACGCAGTGAATTCTAGCTTCACTTTCACACACAATGGGTCAAGAGGACTGAGCTGGATTTTAGTTTTCGAAGGACCTAAGGCAAATGAATCGTTTCACCATGGGATTAAAAAGGTAATCTTGGTAATCCTGGATATCGTGGGACCATAATTGTAAATATTGAAGTAGCCTTTAACTTGTTGTTTTTCTGCTTTCAGTCGAGTTGGCGTTCGGAACACTTTTGTCCTGCTGATTTTAGGAAATATTGCGACTGTAATATCTCTTCATGGTACGTACAGTGGACACGTAGACAGCTTTGAAATCAATAAATGCAATAAATCATGTCCAAATCCATCTCATCTGTAAATTCTGTTTCCTGTAGGCCAAAGTCTTGACTGTACCAACGACTTCGAGGAGTTTATGTTTTGCAGCTTTGGAGGGGAAAACTGTACTGAATACAATATGACTCTAAAGTGGGACAAGTGGTACGGGTGAGTTGTTGTTTTTATATTTTTCAATTCAAAGCGTGTGGATACCAGAGTTAAAATAGTAGGCCTACGTTTTGGATTAGCCTTCTGAATTGTTCAGAAACCGTGAATTCACTTGAGTTTTCGACCACAAACAACATTAAACATTTAGATATATTATTTAACAATTCCAGTTGTGAATGAAATTATCTTAAATTTATATTCAAAAAAACTAAATACAACAAAGTTGACTAATATTTCTCTAATGTGAATACATTTTTTTTTAGGAATGTTTTAGGACTAAATGTGTAGAAATGTTGCTGTTATTTGTAGTGTGCGCAACTTTATTCGGTGTCCCATAGATAACACAGTAGCCTACGTTTTGAATTATTATGGTTGTGAAATTAAACAAAGGCTTAATTCTAAAAAAAAATATATAAATTGTTCAGAAACCGTGAATTCACTTGAGTTGTCGACCACATCATATGTTTTATTATTAATAAAGCCAAGGGACTCGGTCTGAGAAGCTAAAAATAAGTGTTATGATTTCTTGTGTCCCACAGGGAGAAGGGTTGCATTTTCAGCCAGTGCGACGTTGGACAGTGTTGTTGCTCCGTCCAGATGAATTACTTTGTAATAAACAATACGCATACAGCAACAGTTTGGAAAAATGGCGAAAGCATAGAGACCAAAACCATCAGCGTCACAGACAGCAGTGAGTTGACTTGTTTTGAGTCAGAGTCCATCTGCATATGCCAGAATTAGACTGAACAGTCACAGTGTATTTAATTTACCTTTTTATTTTCTGCTTCTCTGCAGTAAAGCCAAAAACCCCAACAATAATTTCAGTTGATGAATCCAACGGGAACTATCAAGTTGTGTGGTTGACAAACACGGAGCAGGAGAGAAGTTTCACTCAGCACCTGACTGCTGAAGTGACTTACTATGAAAAAGGATGCACAGATAAGGTAGGAGAATAGTATTGTGCTCTGTCTAACACTGAAACTATTCATTCTTGCAGATTTAGACATAGACCTTTCTTTTTATGTCCAGTTACTGCTAGGTAAAATAAACTATGAGTGCCATGACTCTCCTTTTTCATTCATGTTTCTCCTTCCTAGGTTTCTGTAAAGGTCAACCAAACTGCTGATGGTGGAAGGAACTACTATGAAATTCAAGGCCGACTCTTGAACTCAAGCACAACTTATGTGGTCAGTGTGAAAAGCTTCATCGATTGGAGCGGAAAATACAGTGACAGTAGTAATGAGTGGGAATTTACAACCCGTGAGTGAATTCTTTACCTCTTCTATTATTAGCATTCTACTCTGCATATTTGTTTGAATCATAGCGAGGATGTGCCACTTATTTCCCGAACACATGCACATGTTTTATTGTCTGATAGGCCTCTAAACTCATATAATCTATTAGCTAAAGTGGACTCTCCTCTCTATCATCTCCTGTCTTGCTTCACTATTATGGGCACACTCTTTCCGGTATCCTAAAAACCTCCCTCCTCACCCACTGTATTTGTAACTGAACCATTGTCCCGGTCTGTTCATCTTATTTCAGGAAAACCGTCTAAAATGTTTTTTAGTAATTCCTTTTGGTGAGGGTATAGATGTTGAATACAGGGTGTAATCATTTGATGCAGCCTTTCTTTGGGTCACTGTACTGTTTCTTATTTGTTGCAAAACTAAACTAACCTTCTACATGTTTCCTCACAGCTGTGTCCTCAAATACTCTGTTTTTGGCCATCGTCATCGGGCTCAGTGTGGCTGCAGTCCTCATCAGTGGAGTTATATATGGCTGTTATGTAAAGTAAGTCATGCCAATAAAAGTTATTTCTTCTTGTTCTGTGTAAGTGAACTATATGTAAGGCTTTTATCCTAAAAACTCTAAGTCAAGGTTGATGTTGTGAAATTGTCGTCATTGATTTCTGCTTTTGTTTCCAGGCTCAAAAATAAGTGGTTGGACACAGTTGCCAAATGTCCGAATCCGAAACTTCTTGATATGCATTCAAGCGAGCAAGAGGTGAGTCTAATGTGACATAAACTTGATGTTGTCCAGAAATCAGAAACCTGCAGCATAGGTTGTTATTTAACCTCTTACCGTCTTTGTGTCAGGTCTTGAAGCCTGTGCGGCCCATCATCTCCTCTGTCTGTGTTGAGCCTTTCTCAGATGACAGCAAAACGTGGTAAGCAACAACAAAACAACGTTTTTTGTAAAGGATTTCCATGTCATTGTAATGGAAGTTTAAAGAAACACATTTTTTTGTATTTAGGTTAAAGGATTCACTGAAGGACTTTAGCAGTGGCAGCAATCAGCAAAGTAGTGGAATCAGCACTGGCTCCTCTTGTCTCAGCTACGCTAACACAGAACCAGCTGACATCATAGCCGAAGTCCAGGATGCCCTCAGGAAAACTTTTGCCAACATCTGCCCAATATCACCTATGACCACCAGCCTTCTTACAGACTCTAACACAAACAGCGGTCTGCTGTGTGATCCACACAGCCCCTGTGATGTCAGAGCTGAAGACGGGAGCTCAGGATCGTCTGCATTTCTTAATCAAACCTACTCCCTCCTCATTCCCAACTGTCCTGCTCAGATTAAGACGGACATCTCTGATGTCCCGAAACAGAATGAAATGTTCTGTGAATCTGCATACTGTCCTAGTGAGGGTATCACTGTGATCTCTTACCAACAGGCACCAGCATGTCCACTCATCAACTTAACTCCAGAGGTTTCGTCCTTGTTGCCCCCAGACATGTCATATCAGCCTTGCAATGCAGATTCTGGGAGATTTTCATCCGCTGAAGACTCCGGTTCATCCGCCTTCTCTAGTGGAAGGGATACAGCTGCGTCGTGTGATCCTGGTTCCAGAGTTAAAGCTGCATGTGAGATCTTGGAAAATGAAAACCCTGAACAGGTCACTGTATGTGATGAAAATCCCTGCTACGGCTCCATGCTGCAGGCTCCCAGAGCTTTCCTCCAGTGATTGCGACTATCAGCCGTTTCAAAATCTAGTGGAGCAGCCGTGTATTTTGCTTTCAGAGAAGAGGAGTGATGAAAACGAGAAACATTTGGCCAAACAGCCACAAGAATTCTTCATAACGATGCCTCAAACACTCTTAAACCCAGTTGTAGCGTGTCCCACTTCCAATGGCCGGTGTCTATCTGAGCTGCAGAGACCTTTTCTGTCCCTGAGCTCAGCTGACCAGTTCTCACCAGTCATCACAGACAGCGGCTATCACTGTGTTTAGAGCTACATTTTATGCCCACAAAATGTATTTATTTTTGTTTGAGTATCAAACATTTTTCGGCAATGTAAAGCATGAAAGGGAGTGGCAACACTGTGAATGTTGTTCACATCTTTAGCATCACTCTGGTTTCCGCTTGATTGAACTTGAAAACAGTCGAAGACAAAGAGACCTCAACTCAAGGTCTTTTAAGAAGCTGTTCTTAATCTCATCAGGATCAGGATCTTTCTCGTCACAATGAGTTTTCACTGTTGTCATATAAATACACAACTTATGGTATAGTTTATTTTTATTCTCATCATCAGCATTTTTTTACATTTCCATGACATCATCAGTTTATGAACAGATTTTTAGTTGACATACTTCTCTCAACTCAATCAGTCTGTTTTAAAGGTTGTACATGTTTTTCCTGCTACGCTGATTTCAAGAATCAGCTGCACATCTTTGAATTTTAAATACATTTAAATTGTTAAATTGAATACCGCTTTGCCACTGTGTATAACTGCCTGTTATGTTTGTATATAAAAGTTTAAAGTAAAACTCCTTAAATGTTGCATGAAGCTGAGACACTGTTTGACTATATGAAGTCACAGCCATTCCTACACCAAATGTGGTCATTAATAGTTGGCCTTGTGAAGAAAATACATGAGAATTGATGAAATGCTGTTTCTTTCACCAGCCAATCGGCTTCGCTGTTGCTACCCAGTGTTGTGTAATTACTTCCTCATTTCTTTTCTCTGGAACTGGTGATGCAATTCCATATAAATACGTAAGCATTGCTCAGCAGACTGTAGCTGTGGAACGAAACTCAGGTAGAGGTATTTGTTTATAAACAGGTAGAGGTATTTGTTTATAAACAGGTAGAGGTATTTATTTATAAACAGGTAGAGGGATTTGTTTGAATGGGTAAAAAAGATGTAACCGTGCATCTTTCTGTAGAAAACAGTTAAATCAGATATTTCTCATGTTTTAGCCTGTGGAGTATCCTGAGGTGTGTGTGAATTCAAAGAACGTAGGGTGGGTGGATACAGAAAATGCTTGTTTGTGAAATGAATTAGTTGTACCTTATTTAATTAAATGTATGTGTCCCTATACCATGTCTTATGAAACACACAACATAAACCAAAACAGCTTCTTATGATATGACTTTGTAAAAGATCCTCTGGAAAGACTAACAGATATGTCCTTCCTCCACTGTCTGTTGAAGCTGTGTGTGACTTGACAAGACTTTGTGTTGGGAGTGATATAACTGAAGCAGGTTGCTAAATGCAAAGCAGCTCCTTTATGACGCACAAAGTTACCTCTGCTTCCACCTGGTGGCCTAACACGAGTTTATTAATATGCAACCCCATAAAAAAACCGAAGGACCACCAATCACCACTTTATTATCAATGACTCTCAAATGGAAGATGAACGATGACAGAAGTAATTGCAACACACCTTTATATAAATTCAGTGAATGTTTGACTTTACAGAGCTGTGCTGCCAGACACCTACAGCTACAGGAAAACTGCAGTGTCTTTCAGGAGTGTAGGAGCCAAAATGCTTATTTTTATTGATCCTTGTAAGAAACCCAACACAGCACTGTGAATTTGTATTTGAGAGTGACTCCTACACTGAACACTGGGTGAAGTCTTGAATTATGCTGTGCATGAAGTCAAGGCTCCAGGTAATTGGATTCAGTGTGTGTTTGGAAGCATATCATAGCGTGTCAGGCTGACTTGAATGTAACAAAACCCAAGTTACAATGAAAGTAATCAAGGTAAAATCAAACTACAAAAAACTTACCTTTACGTAAAAAATACGTAAAATGCGTCTCCAAGAGTTGCTGGGACAGAATGAAAACAATTTTCATCTTGCTTGCAGGTTAAAGCATTTTCCCTGAAGTGTTTGTCAGACTCAGAAGAAAACAGTGAGTTCAACTGACACACCTGCCATCTTAAGATGAGTAGGCTACAGCTAAGTTATGATGGGCTGTAAAGCACATCTTCACCTCTTTAACATTTTGTTTATTTACGCTGTTAAAAATACTTAATTGTATCGATGTAAAACCAAATATTGCCTATGGATTAATGAACCCGGACAATCCAATTTCACTAAACAATAGACCGCATAGAGCTGGATATATGATGCCTTCAAAAAGATTTAGAATAAAAAAATGGTAGATATAGGAAAGCGTAGAGCTGCCTCCTATAACATTTTACTTTCAAATCACTTCTCAAAACTCACCTCTTTAAACAAGCTTTTAATGTATGATTGTGATGTATTTTCTGTTCCTTTATTGTTGTTGTCTTTATGATTTGTGTGTAATGTTGCAATGTCTATTAGTCTGTCCTTACTGTGCTGTTCTTTCTGTTTTTAACTATTGTAAAGTGTCTAAATAAAATGCATCATTATTATTATTATTTCAATAAAAGCTGTCGTCGGCTAAAGTCTCTTTGTATTGTGCTCTGTGCTGGGACTGAAACGCCCTCTTCTTCTTCTTCGGAGTTAGTGGAGCGACATTTCCAGTAAACGTGAGCTTCCCATATCAGGAAGAGAGACTCTGAGGACGCAGTGAATTCTAGCTTCACTTTCACACACAATGGGTCAAGAGGACTGAGCTGGATTTTAGTTTTCGAAGGACCTAAGGCAAATGAATCGTTTCACCATGGGATTAAAAAGGTAATCTTGGTAATCCTGGATATCGTGGGACCATAATTGTAAATATTGAAGTAGCCTTTAACTTGTTGTTTTTCTGCTTTCAGTCGAGTTGGCGTTCGGAACACTTTTGTCCTGCTGATTTTAGGAAATATTGCGACTGTAATATCTCTTCATGGTACGTACAGTGGACACGTAGACAGCTTTGAAATCAATAAATGCAATAAATCATGTCCAAATCCATCTCATCTGTAAATTCTGTTTCCTGTAGGCCAAAGTCTTGACTGTACCAACGACTTCGAGAGTTATGTTTTGCAGTTTGGAGGGGAAAACTGTACTGAATACAATATGACTCTAAAGTGGGACAAGTGGTACGGGTGAGTTGTTGTTTTTATATTTTTCAATTCAAAGCGTGTGGATAACAGAGTTAAAATAGTAGGCCTACGTTTTGGATTAGCCTTCTGAATTGTTCAGAAACCGTGAATTCACTTGAGTTTTCGACCACAAACAACATTAAACATTTAGATATATTATTTAACAATTCCAGTTGTGAATGAAATTATCTTAAATTTATATTCAAAAAAACTAAATACAACAAAGTTGACTAATATTTCTCTAATGTGAATACATTTTTTTTAGGAATGTTTTAGGACTAAATGTGTAGAAATGTTGCTGTTATTTGTAGTGTGCGCAACTTTATTCGGTGTCCCATAGATAACACAGTAGCCTACGTTTTGAATTATTATGGTTGTGAAATTAAACAAAGGCTTAATTCTAAAAAATATATATAAATTGTTCAGAAACCGTGAATTCACTTGAGTTGTCGACCACATCATATGTTTTATTATTAATAAAGCCAAGGGACTCGGTCTGAGAAGCTAAAAATAAGTGTTATGATTTCTTGTGTCCCACAGGGAGAAGGGTTGCATTTTCAGCCAGTGCGACGTTGGACAGTGTTGTTGCTCCGTCCAGATGGATTACTTTGTAATAAACAATAAGCATACAGCAACAGTTTGGAAAAATGGCGAAAGCATAGAGACCAAAACCATCAGCGTCACAGACAGCAGTGAGTTGACTTGTTTTGAGTCAGAGTCCATCTGCATATGCCAGAATTAGATTGAACAGTCACAGTGTATTTAATTTACCTTTTTATTTTCTGCTTCTCTGCAGTAAAGCCAAAAACCCCAACAATAATTTCAGTTGATGAATCCAACGGGAACTATCAAGTTGTGTGGTTGACAAACACGGAGCAGGAGAGCATTTTAACTAAGAGCCTGACTGCTGAAGTGACTTACTATGAAAAAGGATGCACAGATAAGGTAGGAGAATAGTATTGTGCTCTGTCTAACACTGAAACTATTCATTCTTGCAGATTTAGACATAGACCTTTCTTTTTATGTCCAGTTACTGCTAGGTAAAATAAACTATGAGTGCCATGACTCTCCTTTTTCATTCATGTTTCTCCTTCCTAGGTTTCTGTAAAGGTCAGCCAAACTGCTGATGGTGGAAGGAACTACTATGAAATTCAAGGCCGACTCTTGAACTCAAGCACAACTTATGTGGTCAGTGTGAAAAGCTTCATCGATTGGAGCGGAAAATACAGTGACAGTAGTAATGAGTGGGAATTTACAACCCGTGAGTGAATTCTTTACCTCTTCTATTATTAGCATTCTACTCTGCATATTTGTTTGAATCATAGCGAGGATGTGCCACTTATTTCCCGAACACATGCACATGTTTTATTGTCTGATAGGCCTCTAAACTCATACAATCTATTAGCTAAAGTGGACTCTCCTCTCTATCATCTCCTGTCTTGCTTCACTATTATGGGCACACTCTTTCCGGTATCCTAAAAACCTCCCTCCTCACCCACTGTATATGTAACTGAACCATTGTCCCGGTCTGTTCATCTTATTTCAGGAAAACCATCTTAAATGTTTTTTAGTAATTCCTTTTGGTGAGGGTATAGATGTTGAATACAGGGTGTAGTCATTTGATGTAACCTTTCTTTGGGTCACTCTACTGTTTCTTATTTGTTGCAAAACTAAACTAACCTTCTACATGTTTCCTCACAGCTGTGTCCTCAAATACTCTGTTTTTGGCCATCGTCATCGGGCTCAGTGTGGCTGCAGTCCTCATCAGTGGAGTTATATATGGCTGTTATGCAAAGTAAGTCATGCCAATAAAAGTTATTTCTTCTTGTTCTGTGTAAGTGAACTATATGTAAGGCTTTTATCCTAAAAACTCTAAGTCAAGGTTGATGTTGTGAAATTGTCGTCATTGATTTCTGCTTTTGTTTCCAGGCTCAAAAATAAGTGGTTGGACACAGTTGCCAAATGTCCGAATCCGAAACTTCTTGATATGCATTCAAGCGAGCAAGAGGTGAGTCTAATGTGACATAAACTTGATGTTGTCCAGAAATCAGAAACCTGCAGCATAGGTTGTTATTTAACCTCTTACCGTCTTTGTGTCAGGTCTTGAAGCCTGTGCGGCCCATCATCTCCTCTGTCTGTGTTGAACCTTTCTCAGATGACAGCAAAACGTGGTAAGCAACAACAAAACAACGTTTTTTGTAAAGGATTTCCATGTCATTGTAATGGAAGTTTGAAGAAACACATTTTTTTGTATTTAGGTTAAAGGATTCACTGAAGGACTTTAGCAGTGGCAGCAATCAGCAAAGTAGTGGAATCAGCACTGGCTCCTCTTGTCTCAGCTACGCTAACACAGAACCAGCTGACATCATAGCCGAAGTCCAGGATGCCCTCAGGAAAACTTTTGCCAACATCTGCCCAATATCACCTATGACCACCAGCCTTCTTACAGACTCTAACACAAACAGCGGTCTGCTGTGTGATCCACACAGCCCCTGTGATGTCAGAGCTGAAGACGGGAGCTCAGGATCGTCTGCATTTCTTAATCAAACCTACTCCCTCCTCATTCCCAACTGTCCTGCTCAGATTAAGACGGACATCTCTGATGTCCCGAAACAGAATGAAATGTTCTGTGAATCTGCATACTGTCCTAGTGAGGGTATCACTGTGATCTCTTACCAACAGGCACCAGCATGTCCACTCATCAACTTAACTCCAGAGGTTTCGTCCTTGTTGCCCCCAGACATGTCATATCAGCCTTGCAATGCAGATTCTGGGAGATTTTCATCCGCTGAAGACTCCGGTTCATCCGCCTTCTCTAGTGGAAGGGATACAGCTGCGTCGTGTGATCCTGGTTCCAGAGTTAAAGCTGCATGTGAGATCTTGGAAAATGAAAACCCTGAACAGGTCACTGTATGTGATGAAAATCCCTGCTACGGCTCCATGCCTGCAGGCTCCCAGAGCTTTCCTCCAGTGGATTGCGACTATCAGCCGTTTCAAAATCTAGTGGAGCAGCCGTGTATTTTGCTTTCAGAGAAGAGGAGTGATGAAAACGAGAAACATTTGGCCAAACAGCCACAAGAATTCTTCATAACGATGCCTCAAACACTCTTAAACCCAGTTGTAGCGTGTCCCACTTCCAATGGCCGGTGTCTGTCTGAGCTGCAGAGACCTTTTCTGTCCCTGAGCTCAGCTGACCAGTTCTCACCAGTCATCACAGACAGCGGCTATCACTGTGTTTAGAGCTACATTTTATGCCCACAAAATGTATTTATTTTTGTTTGAGTATCAAACATTTTTCGGCAATGTAAAGCATGAAAGGGAGTGGCAACACTGTGAATGTTGTTCACATCTTTAGCATCACTCTGGTTTCCGCTTGATTGAACTTGAAAACAGTCGAAGACAAAGAGACCTCAACTCAAGGTCTTTTAAGAAGCTGTTCTTAATCTCATCAGGATCAGGATCTTTCTCGTCACAATGAGTTTTCACTGTTGTCATATAAATACACAACTTATGGTATAGTTTATTTTTATTCTCATCATCAGCATTTTTTTACATTTCCATGACATCATCAGTTTATGAACAGATTTTTAGTTGACATACTTCTCTCAACTCAATCAGTCTGTTTTAAAGGTTGTACATGTTTTTCCTGCTACGCTGATTTAAAGAATCAGCTGCACATCTTTGAATTTTAAATACATTTAAATTGTTAAATTGAATACCGCTTTGCCACTGTGTATAACTGCCTGTTATGTTTGTATATAAAAGTTTAAAGTAAAACTCCTTAAATGTTGCATGAAGCTGAGACACTGTTTGACTATATGAAGTCACAGCCATTCCTACACCAAATGTGGTCATTAATAGTTGGCGTTGTGAAGAAAATACATGAGAATTGATGAAATGCTGTTTCTTTCACCAGCCAATCGGCTTCGCTGTTGCTACCCAGTGTTGTGTAATTACTTCCTCATTTCTTTTCTCTGGAACTGGTGATGCAATTCCATATAAATACGTAAGCATTGCTCAGCAGACTGTAGCTGTGGAACGAAACTCAGGTAGAGGTATTTGTTTATAAACAGGTAGAGGTATTTGTTTATAAACAGGTAGAGGTATTTATTTATAAACAGGTAGAGGGATTTGTTTGAATGGGTAAAAAAGATGTAACCGTGCATCTTTCTGTAGAAAACAGTTAAATCAGATATTTCTCATGTTTTAGCCTGTGGAGTATCCTGAGGTGTGTGTGAATTCAAAGAACGTAGGGTGGGTGGATACAGAAAATGCTTGTTTGTGAAATGAATTAGTTATACCTTATTTAATTAAATGTATGTGTCCCTATACCATGTCTTATGAAACACACAACATAAACCAAAACAGCTTCTTATGATATGACTTTGTAAAAGATCCTCTGGAAAGACTAACAGATATGTCCTTCCTCCACTGTCTGTTGAAGCTGTGTGTGACTTGACAAGACTTTGTGTTGGGAGTGATATAACTGAAGCAGGTTGCATAAATGCTCCTTTATGTTAAAGTTACCTCTGCTTCTACCTCGTGGCCTAACATGAGTTGACCCATGCAACCAGCTAAGAGTGAAAATATTTATAATCAAAGCTAAATATTCGGATTTCTAAAAATTTAGCTTTAAAATTTAAAATGTTTAGATACAACATTAAACATTTAGATATATTATTTAACAATTCCAGTTGTTAATTAAATTATCTTAATTAATTTTGTATTCACAAAAACTAAATACAACAAAGTTGACTAATATTTCTCTAATGTGAATACATTTTTTTTAGGAATGTTTTAGGACTAAATGTGTAGAAATGTTGCTGTTATTTGTAGTGTGCGCAACTTTATTCGGTGTCCCATAGATAACACAGTAGCCTACGTTTTGAATTATTATGGTTGTGAAATTAAACAAAGGCCTAATTCTAAACAAATATGAATTGTTCAGAAACCGTGAATTCACTTGAGTTGTCGACCACATCATATGTTTTATTATTAATAAAGCCAAGGGACTCGGTCTGAGAAGCTAAAAATAAGTGTTATGATTTCTTGTGTCCCACAGGGAGAAGGGTTGCATTTTCAGCCAGTGCGACGTTGGACAGTGTTGTTGCTCCGTCCAGATGAATTACTTTGTAATAAACAATACGCATACAGCAACAGTTTGGAAAAATGGCGAAAGCATAGAGACCAAAACCATCAGCGTCACAGACAGCAGTGAGTTGACTTGTTTTGAGTCAGAGTCCATCTGCATATGCCAAATCTACCCAGTACACTACCCAGTATTGTGTAAGTACTTCCTCATTTCTGACATGTAGAGGAATTTGAGTGAATTGGTAAATAAGCTGTGTATCTTTCTGTAGAAAACAGTTCAGTCAGATATTTCTCATGTTTTAGCCTGTGGAGTATCCTGAGGTGTGTGTGAATTCAAAGAACGTAGGGTGGGTGGATACAGAATATACTTGTTTGTGAAATGAATTAGTTGTACCTTATTTAATTAAATGTATGTGTCCCTATACCATGTCTTATGAAACACACAACATAAACCAAAACAGCTTCTTATGATATGACTTTGTAAAAGATCCTCTGGAAAGACTAACAGATATGTCCTTCTGTGTGTGACTTGACAAGACTTTGTGTTGGGAGTGATATAACTGAAGCAGGTTGCTAAATGCAAAGCAGCTACTTTATGACGCACAAAGTTACCTCTGCTTCCACCTGGTGGCCTAACACGAGTTTATTAATATGCAACCCCATAAAAAACCGAAGGACCACCAATCACCACTTTATTATCAATGACTCTCAAATGGAAGATGAACGATGACAGAAGCAATTGCAACACACCTTTATATGTATTCAACCAATGTTTGACTTTGAGGGACTTGAAAGACTGCTGTAACTGGAGAAGCCTCTGAGGTAGTGAGGAGGACACTCATACCTGTGAAGTCTTTGATTGGAAGAATTCAGCAGAGGAGGAACCTCTGATTATATCTCAACTCCTGAGAAACTCACGCTTACTGCTGAAACTCCTGTGAAGCATCTGAACAGAACACCTTCCTGCATACCTGAAGTTCAAACTGCAGCATGCAACAGCAGGGCAGGCAGAGGCTGAGGCCGTGGCTGGAGGAGCAGATTCAGTCTGGGAGGTATCCAGGAGTCAGCTGGCTGGACCAGGTAGACTCCCTCCATCTCATCCTCTTCCCATACTCCTACATACATTCATGCAGGTGAACACACATGTCGACACTTTAATCTCTTCAATGATATTTTGTTCTTTAGTCAGCACAAATCTTCCAAATCCCGTGGAAGCATGCCGCTCGACATGGCTGGAGTATTGACCGAGATGCAACACTCTTCAGGAGCTGGGCCATGCACACTGGTAGGGGTCTAGCATGCATATACATGTGATTTGTTCGTCTTGATTGGTCAACTATAAATCTTTTGTTTAAAAAAATCTATTTTATACTTACTTATCTTTTCCTATCAGCTACAGCAACTCTTCTTCACACCTTGCGTTAGGTTCTTATATTTACACTAACATCCTGATGCTTTGGTTCTGATATAAAGTGAGCAACATAACAATAGACTAGCCTTTTTGTTCTTCTTTTTTACAAGTTATTAAAAGATGGATTGCTTGGATGAGGGCTTCTCCACAACATATTGGAAATGTTCTATTTTTATCGTGTCAAAATCCATCACAACTTGCCTAATTTAAGAATCTTCAGTGTGTTTAGCATTGTTTCATATTGTGTAAAACAAAAACCGGAGCAACTCCTTCTTAATTATGCAATTCCAATGTGCATGTAAAATACATATATTTTCTCATTGTGGGCACAATATTGGTTTATCCTATCTTATAAACAACAACAGCATAAATATTACAATGTTAAAAATGTCACTCTTTGTGATACTCACAGGGTTGTGCAGTTCAACAACAACAGCAGAGTTTTTTTTTTTTAATACAAGTGTCTTTGTCACTCACTCTGTCCCCAGTATAAGTCTGGCAAGGGGGCCTGTCAGTGGAGGAAAAATATCCTTATTGGGTGGCTTAAAGAATGACAAAAATGATCTTTATTTAAATGTTAGTTAGATGAGTATTTCTTTAACTAACAGAGATTCGGAGGATAAAAAGATCAAACATGTAACTTTAGTTTTAATGTCCCTACACCTCAGTTATTAAGTGTTGGATGCCTTTTTTCATATCATATACTGTTTCCTGCTCAGTAAAAGTATTTAAAAGCAAATGTTAGGTTGTTGTTCAGTCCTTGTTTTCCCCGGTGTACCGCTAACTGATTAAAATAGTCCAGCAGGCTTTAATACCAACAATGAATGCTTAACAAATCAATGTGTGATATAATAATTCTGACAGACCAGTCCATGCAACTCTCCCACAACAATGACTCAATTTAGAAATCAATCCAGAAAAACAAATGTTGACTTAAATGTTGGTTAATTTTTTAACCTGTACTACTTTCCCCCAATGCTTCATTTGTACGAACACACACACACACGCACGCACGCACGCACACACACACACACACACACGCACACACACACACACACAAAGCATCACATCACTTGAGTGTTGGGAAAGTCATGCTTGGTGACTGTACCTGTAGCTGCATCACATCATGGGAAAGCTCCAGTTCACTTGCTATCAATGTTAAGGGGGATCGTATTCCTGTGAAAGTACAACAGGAAAGCCCTTCTCATATATATAACTTAAGAAATCACTGTGTATGTTGTGTGAAATTACCAGTCTCTACAATGTCGTCCAATATGAAGTAGCAATAAATAAAAACCATTAGAAATATAGCAGTGAAATATCTTGACATTTCAGAGGGTCTTTGAAACAGCTCTAAAACTGCCTAAAGGGTTCATAAATCTGCTGCTTCTACTGCTAACTGCTCTTCTTTTCTTCTTGTTAGGCCTTGTCTGCTGTTAATGATCCGTAGTGGATCTTTCTAAGCTCCAATGATTTTATCACTGAGGTTGCAATTATATTCAGAAGACTGGCTGAGATCCAAATCACACTGAGATGCTTAATACAATGAGCATTAATATTTATGTATGAATAGAGTCCATACACTTGGTGAAGTCACTTTCCCGTGCACAAGTAGAATACAGACCCATTTCTTTTTCAGATACCTTTCATGCTGATATATTACAGTTAATGTTATGTAAACTGCTGATGCTGATATATAAACTATTAAGTGCTTCTTAATTGACTTGAAATATGCTAGATTTTGAGATACGGAAATGTTTCTTTAAGCAGAGCTGTTGCCCCCCTGTGGTTTACCTTCCGATAGCGACCTACAGCAACACACCAGGAAAAGGTGACATCAATGTTAGATGTGGTTACAGGTGAAACACAGCCTGTTTCTTACCAGACCCTACTACTGCAGGCAGGTTTCCCTTTATACGGCCTGTCATGTTGTTACAAATATCTCATCATTAATGTAAACAAAAAAGAAATACAGACCAATGCCATTCCCCCGACCGTGGATTTGGTTACAGAGTTAGACTGAGGTCTGTGTGAATAGGTGACAGGACATGATGGGACAAGAGTCTTCATCAAATACATGATTCTCACTGTGAGGAAAAAAGAAACACACAAGTAAACTTGTAATAACTTATTAACTTGATGTAATAAGGGCCGTCATTCCTACTTCTGTGCCTGGTGCTACTGTAAGTTAGAAATTAAATTAATTAATTAATTTGTTTGTTTATTTAACATGGACATACAGTAACATTGGTGCTGTAACATTTAACCATGCACAAGTTCCAGATGCACTGCTCTTAGCGTTTATAGCAAAATGCTAATTTGCAACACCTGTCCACGGGAGGCTTTTAGAAACAACAGAGATAAAGATAAAAAGGGTAAGAAAAAGAAAACAGTTCAGTTATATTGACAAGAAGTATCTAATATTTATACTCAGCTACTTAACTTACCTTTCCAACCAGGTATAGCACAAAGCTGCCACTTGGCCACAGCAGCTTGAGGTTTTTCAATTCAAGATTTTCAATCTGTATTTCAGTTTCGTGATAACTTGTTTCCTTAACTGTGTAAATCAAATGAGCAAACCCTGCATCAGGTATTCCAGCTTAGAAAACTAACAGTAAAAGGGAGAACAACAAAGACACAGAACAACAACAAACAGACAGATACGCACATACATATTTTTCTCTTCAGGACGGTATCGCCCAGGCAAAGATAAGCCAGATCCAAAGACATGGAAGGCCAACTTTCGCTGTGCTTTGAATTCTCTGCCCGACATCTGTGAGCTGCAGGAGCACAGCAGGAAGAGAGGCAGCAACGCCTACAGAGTGTACAGGATGCTGCCCAGCACGCACACACCCAGACGCAGGAGAGGTAGCAGCTCGTAGTAAACATACACTTACACGCTGCCAGACAGACCTCATTTGACTGTACTATCCTCCTTTCATCCTCTCTCTCTCTCTCTCTCTCTCTCTCTCTCTCTCTCAGGGCTGCGTTTGTTCAGCAGACCCCGAGAAAGACAGGCCGGTTTAGGTGATGATACACACATCACACACACTTGGCAACCCACAACAGCAAGACCTGTTCCAGACACACCGCAGAAGGTGGAGCCCCCTACTGAAGACATCTTTGCCAACACTCAAACACACGGTGAGGCACTTGTTGGCAAAAAAAAATTGTTGTTGTTCTGACAGTCACATTTGTGGCCTTGTGCTGTAACGATGGTTGTTACTGTTGTGTTGCAGGCATGTGGGAGACAAAACCAGAGGACCAGGAGCAAAATGAGGCTGTATACAAGGTACCAAACAAACTCTCACTTGCAGAATGACTGACCCCTGAACAGCTTTCGGATTTGACTTTACTGATTTTAACTCAGTTGCGTATTCTTGGGATGCAGTCAGTGGCAATTCTAGTCTGTTGTGGCCTCTGCAAGAATTCCCTGGGGGCCCCCTCCAACCGCCATTAAGTCTGCCAGCGTTCCGGCTCTCTTCCTCTTTCTTCTTTCAATCCCAGACAGACAATTCCTCTCCATTTTCCTTGAGTGGTTTAATTGTACTGAAGGAATAATACATGAGATGCTAGAAGCAGGGCAACAAGAGTGAGTGCTGTCATATGGGGCCCTTTTCGGGAGGTTTCCTACTGTAATTGCAAGATTTGCACATTTTGAGCTACTGCTGTGGTTTTAGGGACGTCAGCCTTGGGGGGGGGGGGGCCCTTTACTGGCCTGGGGCCCCAAGCAGTTGCCTCCCTTGCCTGTTGACGAGCAGCGCCTCTGGATGCAGTTTGGGCTCTGTAGGTGTCTGACTGATTAATTCTGGTTCCTGCAGTTGATGGACCACCTAAGCAGCAGTGACCACTGGAACCAGATCGAGGAGCAGAAAGGATGGAGGACACACACACTGTGGGACCACTGGCATGGTATGACAATATGACGATATAGTTTGTCCATGAGAAACATCAAATAAAAGTACTTTTGTTCATGTGTGGTGAGTCAGATGCTAAAGTTGTAAACCAACAGAAAATATGTAATATGTTAAATTGGTGTAGAGTCTGTTTCAGTCTTTAAAGTGTTACTTTATGTGTTTTGCCGTCAGGCGCTGGGGATGAATATGCGTATTCTCTGCACACAAACACCTATGGTGATCTGTTTGGTCCAAACTACATCAAGGAACTCTCTGATTGGTCCATACATCAGCAAACACTGATGCTCTAGCTGTTCACAAACAGCTCACATTTGGTTAAAGCTGTGTTTGCTTCTCGCTAACCTTCGGCTGTGTTCCGCCCTGCTGTCTGTCTGACTCAGCTGACCACTGCAGAAGAGAAACAAGAGAGGGGAGAGCGGACGGAGATTATTGCTCTGTCAGTCAGCGCATTGGTCATCTCTCTGCTGAGCATGCTGAGATGAAGATCATGTTCCAAGCCAAGCTTTTCTTCTGTCATCATCACCTGGGTTCATTCTGGTTCAGAGGCTAAAACTCACTGAAGTGACACCATGCTTACACCACAGTGCACAGAGTAAGCAGATCTCATTTCTCTTCAGTGCAGGATCGGTTGTGCTTTTTTGTCAATATATATGCGTTTGATACTGTCATGCAAATGTCTCTAAATATGACACTTATAAAAATCTGTATTAAGTGATAATTGGTGCATTTTGTTGTTAGACTATGTTAAATGTTTTGGTTGTGTCTGTTTTGTGTATTTTTTTGATTAGTTCAACATCTCAAACAGTTTAAAATTAACTGATGCACATGACCGTGTCAGGAGTCTTTTAGTTGTAGGTATATCTATTCAGTTATTTTAAAAAACAACTACATTGATGATGTGGCTTTATTTTGAATCATCTTTTAAAGTTTTGTGTTTATATTTTTTAAATAATTTTCAAGAAACATATTGACAGCAGCTAAAAACACTCAGCAGCACAGATAAAATATGATGTGTGACAAGTTCCGCCCTTAAAAATGATTTACCATAAAAAGAAAACCACGTGTAGATCGAGTGTTGTGCAACCACAAGTAAAGCCCACTCACACCTCCAGGTGAACAGTAATCTACTGAAATCTAATCTCTTCAACGAGACAGTAGAAAACTGTTTTCAAAAGGCTTCAGAGAGCTAGACATGGGGAATGTGAGGTTAATATGAGGAAATGTCAACTTAAATGGAACTTCATTTCTTATTTAAAAAAATGTTTACTTGATTAATAATTGCCTTAAAGGGACAGGTGTTGCAAATTAGCATCCACTATAAACACTCTGATATTGCTGTTTTCAGTTTGTCTATGTACTGTATCTGAAATAAAACACAAGATAAATAATAATAAAAAAAAAGCTTTTAATGGTATGAAGACCACTGTTATCTGTCTTTGCCGTTTTCAGGCCCAGCTCAGTGCAGATATTTGGACTTGTTACAGCAGGAGAAACATGTGTTTAAGATAAATATACTGTGGTTCTGTTCCTTTGAAAAGTGTCACCATCCTACTCCAGTGCTTCATCATGCAATGACACATCCTTGAGTAATCCATTCATATATATCTATTTATACGGCTTTTCCCGTTTTGGAGTCGTGGAGGGCTGTAGGCAATCCCAGCTGTCACTGGGCGAGAGGCAGGGTACACCCTGGACTGTGCACCAGTCAATTACAGGGCTGACACCATACTCACATTCACACCTAGGTGCAATTTAGAGTCACCAATTGACCTAATGAGCATCTTATTGGACTGTGGGAGGAAGCCGGAGAGAACCCATGCATGCAGAGGGAGAACACGAAAACTCCACAGAAGGACACTGTCCGACGGGAATCGAACAAGGAACATCCCTGCTGTGAGGTAACAGCACTAACCACTACACCAACGGGCAGACGTCTAGAAGTAATGCATTATGTTAATAATTCTAATGTGTCCTTGCTTGGCACAACTTAATGTCTAATAAAAGGATATTAACAGATACACTGACATCCATATCAAGAATTACCTGTACTGTTATTAGTGAGCACATTCAATATTTTAGAGTGCTTGATTCAGTACATTAAGTACAGTGTTGAGTGTCTTTTATTCTTTTATATCCATGTCTTGTTGCTTTCTTTTAGGATACTTATATTCAGAGATAAATATTATACTTTGTACTCTACTAGTACCGTAAGTGTACAACATCTAGACGTGTGTTTACAAACCATTTGCTTGAGAGCCTCTATAGAATCTCCCTGTAATGATATCAACTCTGAGTTTAAGCTTAAAAACTATACTTTAGTTATATATGATCCTCTTAAACAAGCTCAATCCCTTCCTTTGTAAGCCCTGAAGTGAAAACATGAAGCACACATTTGGTCAAACATCAACATTGAACATTTATTTCTTATTTTTTATTCTGAAAAACGCAGAAAAAAAGACAAATGAATTTCCCTTAAAGTGGGAACTACATAACAGGCAGTTCCTGAGAAAAAACAACAATGACAACAGAACACTGCGCCAACACCTTCCCAAAACTCTTACACAGAAAAGTAACCAAAAATAGGTACGATCCCAATGACATAGAAGCATGGATCCATTACTTTATGTTTGGTATTTACATTTCATCATAAAATATTGTCTTATAATATCGGGAGGATTAATCTATGTTTTTTTTAAAGTCACATTCAACCAGTCCACTAGCACAGCCTGCTGGTCACTTTACATACGGCCATCCCAGTTTGTCTGCACGTACTGCAGCATTGAACTCCAAGCTGGAGAACGAAGAACAAACTACACAGACTGCATGTGGATCTCTTTTCACACTGAAAATACTACAGAAACATTTAAAGAGGAACAGATGTGCTCTGCGACAACATTAAAGCCTGATGAATCACATGATGTAATCTGTTTGTGAATGTTGGACAGTCACCGTCAGCTTTAAGGCTGTAAATGAAAACATATTACAATGTGGCTATAGGATATTTAACATCGCCTGATACAAACACCAAGAATTCATTCATGTATCATATCATGACATTCACTCATTTAACACCAAATTGTTTGACACAATTATACATCCACTTTCTGTTATTTGAAAAGTAAAGCATTTGATGTACATGGAGAAGAAATAATCACGTGTATTAAGATCCAGACCTGCTGGTTGGCTCTACACCTGTAACCTTTAGGTTAATAAGTCACTGTTCATATGAATGAGCAGTGTGTACATACGGAGTACCAGAGACCCTGAGTAGAGGGGCCCAGGAATTGAATATCAATCTGAAACTATTTCATCAAGGTTTCTCCAATTCAGCTGTGTTCAGAAATGTGAACTGCATGCGACAATACTAAGGGTAGAAAATGTACCAGCCTGTCTGTATTAGGGAGAACAGCGACAGTGATCACTAACACGACTGACAATCTTTGTAATCAGGCCATAAGAGCTGCCGTTTTTTTTTAATGTAAATTCAAATATCATATTCTTGAAAAAGTGGATAACAGAGCAAGAAGCTGAGAAAAGCATTTAGTCCTCTAAAGGTGGAACGTAGGGGATTCATTACACTTTACATTTTAAATGTTTGTCTTTTTACAAAAGTATTATTAACGCCACATGAATACATGCTTTTACAACAAAGCTACAAACACTGCTACAAAAGGTGGGTCACATACATTTGAATGCCGTTAAGAAGCATTTATATATACGTTTTCAAAGACACGTTAAACGACTACAACAATCCCCTCCCCCCCACCAGAGGGATGAAACCTCCTCAGACCAAATTGTGCGTGTATCAGCCAAAGAAACTGAAAAATGACTTATACTAAAGACTAAGACTCCTTAAAAATGCGATACACAAAACTGTGCCGGGACAGCAGGGAAACGAAAGATGATGGAAAAGCAGAAGATAAACTATAGGTTTGACAATACTGCATCAGACCAGACCCACATATGCAGCAGTGTTTGCAGTGCTGATTTGGTTACTTCCAAGTTTAATTCTTGGGTTCAATGTTGGTACAAAAGTCTTGAAAAAAATAAAATACATGTTAAAGAAAAAAAAAAAGAGGAACAAAACATTTGAATTCGCTAAGCTCAGTATTTGCAGCATCAAGCTGCCAAAGGAAGCTAGTTAAAAAAAGATGAGCATGACTTCAGAAGGCAGATTATGAAGGTCATAGTTTATTAAAATTCTATATGGTTTGATCTAAACGAGTATAAAAAAAAAAAAAACAGTTGAAATAAATCAATGCGGAATTCCTAAGCAAGTGTAAGTGTACAATGCATGGTCCAGTGTACTCTACTCATTCAAGTTTTAAACAAGACAGCAATTGTAAACCCTGAAAGCAACTCAGAGAATGGTGAGCATTTCTCAGAATAAAACAATGAACATGTGGCGTTATGCTTCGCTACCTCTACCTGTCCTTTGATAAACCTCTGAGGACAAAGAAGGAAACTGAATGACCAAAATCTCCAATGTGGCCCAGCCACCATGAGGTCCGTTTTACAAATCAGGTAATAAATACAGGCATCCAAATGGGCTACAACAGCAAATCATTTTGAAACTTATCTTCCTCATGCATACACACAAGCATTCTTGGCTGACATTATGAGCTTACTAAACCCTCCTATCTACTCCTAACAGCGACTCTTTACAGTGCAACAGTATGGCAGCAAATGGATAAGCAGTGCTTTCATTAAAAAAAGGAATGGAAATAAAAATATATACAACATTATGCAAAAGCAGTAGTTTCATCTTTTGGTCCTGCGTCCATTACAGACAGCACTGCTTTTTGAAAATGGTTCCTCAAATCAACAACAGTAGTTTCCACAACACTGTGAAGGGGCTGCAAGGAGAAAAAAATGGAAATCAAAGTTAGGATGTCAGATGCTACTGATGGCTGGGACGTGGCTGGAGTCTTAACAACATTAATATACCATCAAATATGAACCTCTCTGTTGTTTTCATTTTGAGAGTGAACAGACTTTGGAGTGCTGACCCGACCCCAACCAGTTAATCATTTTTCAAGACTTGTTTTCTTTATAACATGTTATGTAATAGTGGTCTGAATTTATACAGCTGTCTCAAAGAGACATGTGCCAAATATAAAAAGTGAAAGTGACCACATCTACCAAGACAGATGAGTGAACAGTTAACAAGTTTCCTACTTTCAAACCAGTCCTCTTGAAGAACAAAAACCTAAAATAAATGTCACTAATAAAAAAAATACTGACAGCTGTGTATCATCACAAGGAACATGCTCATTTCTACTGTCACAACAGAGCTAATCAAATGGAAAATACTTTGATTACTTAATGCAAGAATTCCCAGAACAAAAATGACAAACATAATGCTCAGCATAGTATAAACATTGTATGTGCTGTGTGCTATTTGACCAGATCATGAAAGTTAACATGATCTGTCATCTTTTTGTTACCAAATAGCATGAGAGGAGTCAAGTCTGCATCTCTTGCTGGAGATGTTAACCAGAAATGAGAATATAAACTATGCATGTACTGGTGAATTCTCTCAAAAGGAACCTTGACCTTTAGCCATAAACAAGGAGCTATTTGCATCCAACATGTCTCAGGTGTGCTTGCAGGGCTGAGAGGTCATGAAACTTTTTCCCATGAAATAAAGAAAAGTATCTCTCACCTTGTTACAACTGAGAACCTTCAGACCCTCCATGTGAGTAGCCTCCTTTAGATTTCATCTGGGCCTGGACAAGGTCCACCTACAATCATCAAGGTGGAAAGGTTTTACATACTGTCAAAAAAAAGACTCTGTTGGTGGCATATTAATTACAGAAGACTAGAAACCTACCGATGCCAATCCCAGACCCATGTCCCCTGAGCCTACATGTGTGGTGTGAACAAAGTTTGTTGGCTCGCCAATCATGGAGCGATCGATCCGTCGCCGCCGTTTCTGTGAACAAGGAGCAGAAACAGAAACTTTAGTAAAGATCATCGGCCCTCTTATCCTAAATATAATCACAGGTACAACTTCTAATCAAATAGAAAGGAGAATAGATAAACACCAGCCAAAACAGAAACCCATTGTCCTTTTCCTATTTGTCATTGAAACTTGTGTATGCAGGACGACTGGTTGACTTTAAGGAGTCACAACAGCTGCTTGTTAGCCACTCTAATGAATTTTATTCAATCTAAGTTAGTCTCTGGCAGGCAGACGGATGTGGTTAGCCTGACACCCTGTTGCTTTTTGAATCTTTAATAAAAAAGAGGATGTGATGTATATTTTGTCATGAGATTGTTTTTCATGAAACTACTGAATATTCCCAACTTGTTCAAACTGAAAGTAAAAGGAACAACACATTCCTTCACACTAGCCAATACTGCTTTGTTTCTAAACCTATATTCATGCTTAAACGTTCTTCTGACCAACTTCCACGTTAAACAGGCGGCTAAATGAAAAATCCAGGCCAATGAATTAGTCTTCCAAGTGAATGTCATACTCACAGGTTGTGGCTGCTCTGCAATGCAGCAGCTGAAACAAACCCAGAACTCAGTCATTCTGAGGCTGAAGAAGAAGCCGCAGCAGTTTCCTCTTTCAGTTCAGACGTCTCTCTCCGCCTGTCTTCCTGTTCAGAGTCACCAGAGCCACAGACACGCAACCAAAACTGATGACAAACACAGACTGCTGGTTTATCCTGGGTTAACTGTTGGCACCAGAACTGTTCTCCCAACACAGGACAGTTCACTCCTGTCAGCACCTGAAAGTGGAAGGAGAATAAAAAGAGTTAGACACAGGCATTATGTCAAGACTCTGTTTTTTTTTATTGTCAAATAATTATGCATTTGATGGTTTCTTGCAGGTCATGGTGTTCATTTCTAGAAGAAGAGTTATTTCATTATACCCATTATCACCATGAGTGTTATCATGTGGTTGTTTTAGTTGCTGGGCCTGTGCCAAGTGTGCCGCTGCCTTCATTTAAGTAGGTTTCTCCTCTGGCAACACCCACAGATAATGAGGTCACAACAGGGGGACACTGGTGGGTATACACTCTCAATGAAAATTGTACTAAAGATCTCTTTGATATTGATTTGAAATACAGTTACGTTATTTTCAGGAACGGGGTAAATTGTACATCTTGAGATCTAAAGAGGTTGGCTACACAAATGAATGTGTGAATACTGCATGTTTGTACAAATCTCAAAATCAATATTAGTAGCAGGCAGCATGGAATTTGGGTTACAATACAGGACCCGGAGCAATCACCTAATAACACACAAACGTTTCAAGTGATCAACATTAAGTCATTCTTATAGCACGTTGTCTACAACAGGATCTGACCAAAGTGCTTTATAGACAAAGACAACAGGAAACAACGTGCTAAAGGCAGTCAAAACATAAAGATCCCCAGTTAAAGATCAAAACCCGCAAATAATTAGAAACTAGTAAACGTATACGACTGTACCATTGTTGCTGGTCAGACTATGTTTCAGTGTTTTTTCTATAACTTGAATCAAAATCTCCCTGAGGCTGAACTAAACGAGTCATGTTTTACATTCAGGAATCACAAGATACTGTAGAAAAGAAAATATTGTGAAAAGTCTCACATGATGGATTGAAAAGCCAGTGCTGTGACTACTGTTCATATTGCATTCACACATTATAAATAGGAAAGAAACGCTTTTAGGAGTATGGGCTCTTGTAATGGTAACTCGTGATAACTCTTATTTTAAGTTATGAGTCTTGGTGAGTAAGTGACACACAAAGAAGAGTTTCAATAAGGAGGTTTAGGGACAAGAGGGACTTTCAGTACTTCTAGTAATGCCGTGCTTGAAAGTGAGTGGATTTAACTGTGTATAGTACCTCCAAGCAGTATCGGTAAAACAGGATAAGGCACTTTTCCCAACCATTATTGCCGTGAGACGAGGTGTGACAGGTGGATCAAATGATCAAATGATTCCGCTGACAGAGCAGATTTCACAGCTTGTACCTCTGGCTGACATTGCACCTCACCGTTACCAAACACTTCAAACACCTGAGTCATACTGTGACAAGTGTCACCTAATCAGAGTTTAGTGTAGATCTTAATGACTGTTAAAATGTTTAAAGGATTGCTTACTCTGCTCCTGATCTTGGATTACACGTAATCGGTATTTACAAACAAATTCAGGTTATGTAACTTCACAGCGCTGCGGCAGAGACTCTCCTCTTCACACGGCATGTCCGAGATAAACTCAAATGCAGAGGAGGTTTTAATTTAACCCCAGAGTTTCACACATTATCTGATTGAAATCACCCCGGTAGAGTGGGGTCTTCTTTACATGCAGCGAGCCAGAGTTAGCTCACAAGCTAACGCTGTTTTTTTCTTCCACTGACAGCTAGCTAACCAGGCTAACTCAGCCCGTCTTCGGAATCCTGACGACAATGTTTCACACAATGACCCTGAAAAACACCTGAATGTTCGCGTAACTGTTCAGCAGGCGTATAGTAGATCCCTTTTCCCGAAGAATTCCAATAATGTTCAGTGAATAAACTTACCAAATGACGACCGGTTTGACGAAGTAAAGGCGTACGATCGACTGAAAGCTAAAGAATGTGAAAAAAAAAACACACCAGGAAGTGAGCGCGACGATTACGTCAGAGGACTTCCGTTTCAGAGAGTGACGCATTTCCGTGTTGACCCCACGTTGTCACGTTTCCACGGCAGATTCAGCTATTCGCAGATAGAAAATTGTATTAAAGTACTCAAAATGAGGCCACTGACAGAAGAAGAGACGAAAACGATGTTTGAGAAACTTTCGAAATAGTAAGTGAACTCTCGACGAATGTTTTGATTGCCTATTTAAAGATTCAGATTTTACCAGAAATGTTAGCATCCACGTTAGCCCATGTGTGTGATATGTGTAATTTCTCCCACTGCAGCATTGGTGAAAACATCAAACTCTTAGTGGACCGACCCGACGGTACCTTCTGTTTCAGACTGCACAATGACCGCGTCTACTACATGAGGTCATTAAATTACAATCAAACTCAAAAGATTTTGGTGTTTTGCACACATGAATTAATAAATCCATCGTCGTGTTCTGTCCACAGTGAGAAAATCCTGAAGTTGGCCACAAACATCTCCCGTGACAAGCTCGTGTCAGTGGGGACATGTTTCGGAAAGTTCACGAAGACAATTAAGTTCCGACTGCACATCACAGCTCTGGATTTCCTTGCTCCTTATGCAAAGGTGACTTAAACTGTGCATGTCTTTATTATTTGTGTCTTCACGCTCCTCATGTGCATCCCTTCCTCTGTCTCCTGACCTCTTGTGTTGAAGGAAAGGATGCTATCTGAATGAAGGCAGGCTCATCTTTAGTGAAGTGATCAGTCCCTTTTAAATTATGGAGTCTATTTCGTGATGGGAGTGAATGTTTTTATGTTGATCTACCAGTGACCAAGTACATTTTTATTATATATTCTGCCACAGATTTGACCCTTATTGTCAAAGGCCAAAATGTGTTTTCAGTACTGACTAAATGAGATCCATCACAACTCCGAAGTACTATGGCAAGCCGTTCAGGAAATTAATATATTGAATTAAACTTTAAATATATATATATATATATGAATGGAAGTCTGTAGTGTTATTTCAGCTAACAACTCAGAGACTAAAACAATCTCTAAAGATGGATGTACAAAGTGCGCTCAGCAATGTTTTGTTGAGCATTACTACTCATAAGCAGTAAAAGTGTTCCAATCATTGAACTATGATCTTCAAGGTGACGCTTTCTACATCCCATATTATTCATGTAGTTTTGAATACGACCAGCAACTTCTCAAAAAAGTTTTGGAAGAAAGTATTGGTATATTTCAGCTGATGTCATTTTGTAAAACCAGCATATTCAGCAGGGTGTCTTTTTGATGACAACAATGAAACGGGTGGATTTAGAGAATTGAAATCTGCTTCAATTCCATATATTCAGACTTTGTTCAATATATTCAAAGTTTCATTCAATATATTAATTTCCTGAACAGCTTGCCATAACGTATTATTAAGCATAACATATGAATGATGTGAGGTTTTTTTTTTGTGTACAGTTCAAAGTGTGGGTGAAACCTGGAGCAGAGCAGTCTTTCCTCTATGGGAACCATGTGCTGAAGTCTGGACTGGGGAGGATCACTGAGAACACTCAACAGTATCAAGGTGTTGTGGTCTACTCCATGGCTGATGTGCCCCTGGTAAGTTTCAAAACCAAGATGCTGTTTTGCTAACATACTGGAGGACACTGCTCAATTTAAAGTGCTTGTATTCCTGCATGGGCAACCGATTCAGCATGTGAAAATGTATAAGGGAAGGACTGATATGTTGTGGCCTTTAGATGTATCATTTCGCCCTGGCAGCATTTATTCTCGTATGCCAAACATAATTTCTGTCCATGCTCATCAAAGGGCTTTCTGAACCAGTCATGTGTCTAACTCTCCAGGGTTTTGGAGTAGCAGCCAAGAACACCCAGGAGTGTCGGCGAGTGGACCCCATGTCCATTGTAGTGTTCCACCAGGCAGATGTGGGAGAGTTCATCAGGAATGAAGACACTTTAACATAAAGATGCAGCAACAACTGGACTGAATTTTCATCTAGAACAGCAGCTGTTCTTTTGTAAATGTTTGATTGCTGGATTTAAGTGCCTGCTTTGATGGCACAGTTATAGCAGATGTTACAACTGGCCCAAAGGTCTAAGGACTGCAATGAAGACCCATCTTCTGGCTCACCCTTGGATAAAGGTCTGCGTGATCTGCAGGGTTCCTTTGTCCCTAAAGCTCCTGATATTCCATCACTCTTACGCATTTCTTGTCAAAATGAAAGTGTATATTTTTGTTTTTCAATAAATATGTTGTCTTGCATTTCATTTGGTGACTTTGCTAGTGTGTAAAGGGCTGCATTAACCATGTGTTAAGACACCTTTGTAGTTTTTATTACAACAAAGGGACAAACAATCCCGCACATGAAACCACTAACATATCAAAATTGATTCCAGAAAGAAATATTTTTGTAAGGTTTATAAAGTCTGTGAGGAAACCTTGTTCTCTCACTTGAACCTCTCAAACAAGCTTTAACTTCTTCATTGTTCTCCATCTGTCCTTGAGCTGGACATTTGTTCGATCGTTGAAGGAGTAGTAATCCTTGATTTTACTCCAGTTTCAACAATGGGACAAACAAACCCGCACATGAACCCGTTAACATTTACCAAACTACAAAATGTAGCGGACTTGAGGGGAAAAAATTATTCCAAAAAGAAATATTTTTGTAAGGTTTATAAAGTCAGAAGAAACCTTGTTCTCTCACTTGAACCTCTCAAACAAGCTTTAACTTCCTCATTGTTCTCCATCTGTCCTTGAGCTGGACATTTGTTCGATCGTTGAAGGAGTAGTAATCCTTGATCTTACTCCAGTTTCCCTCTCCAAATTTTTTGACCCCTTCTCTTAACTTGTCTGTCTCAGCCACGGTCCACATCTGAAACAAAACAAAAATACAGGTTACTCAGTTACCTTTTTTGGTTATTGCTGCTGCATGATAATGAGGCTAGATAGAAATCATCAGCAGGTGAAACCAACCAGGATCAGAAAATTAAGAAGCATGGATGTTTGAATTCATCAGTTTTTTCCTCTATACAACCAATATCTCCCAAATTACTGTCATTTTAGATTTACATTCTTTGAATCTCTAAAATGATGTGAACTTGTAATAATGAACCACAGGTATCTATGTATGTATAATGCAGAGATGTATAAAATACAACTCGTTATACTTGCCTTCCTCTTCTGGCCTGTGTTTGAATTATTGCTCTCATCTTGTGTTTCTTTAGGGGAAAAACAGATCCATTAGTGCGTGAACAAAGGTTTTCACTGTTTGATTAATTACAGGATTAATCAGAAGAAATAGATGATGTTACTGCTGTTCTTTCGGCTGTCGAAATATGTCTCCTCATCGCTCCATGTATCCCTACTCTCCTTTGCATTATGGTAAAGCTTTGTCCTGTAAACGAGAGCAGAAACACACATAATCAGCTGTGAAAGATTCAAAAAGGGCAGCACCTCATGTTTTTTGCTGTTGTGCAAATAGGTGGGGTAGAATTTGTTTGTTATGTGGTGAAGCAAGTTCATTTATTTAAACTGACATTGTTTTTGAAAAAGGGAATGAATCATTTAAAAAAAAAAAAAAAAAAAAACTTTAGTTAATCCTCCTAGTCCTGTATTCACCAACATCCTGAGAATCCTCTCAGAGAGCTCCAAATGTAGCTTAATAATTTTCCTAGCCAGGACTTTTAGCCTAGGAGTGATTTTATGAACATTCCCAGAGCAAGAAAGAGACAGAAACTTTTATTTTAGTGGGGAGGCGGGGTTCAACCCATGCTAGGTGTGACACATTTTTTTTTTTCACAAGCTGTGATTGGTTAATCTAAAAAAAATCTTAGACAAAAAAGTCAGTCATAGAACGTAGTCAGACATTGTGTAATAATGAACACCATGAAATTAGCATCCGTGTGATAACATGTAAGACGTACTTGAAAAGTATATAACCTACAGACTGTTTGAAATCACATGCTCACTTGTGCAGCAGCTTCTTCACATGCTGATCGTTATAGCAGCATGTGAAGAGCCTTAATTAGTGATTGGATGCACCTGTGGGGGTAACCACATGTAGAGAAACTCAACATGCATGTCTCAATTTGCTCTGTAAAAAAAAAAAAAAAAAGAATGGATGGAAATGTCTGCACAGATCATTTTTGTCTGTTCGGCCCGACTATGAGACCAAAAGATTATTCCTCATGTAGTGTTTGGAGAACATTTCTCTGTTTTCTCTTCAGCTTGAGAAACTCTTAAGACTGTTAAAAGTCCTCCTCACTACTCTTAACGGTTTTACACCTTAGGAGCTCTCTTAAGGGCCAAGACACTTTGTGAATAACTTTTATCTTTATAAGGGTCTAGTAGTCTTAACTTTTAGGGGAAATTCTTGGAAAATGTCATGGTTCTAAGAATTTTCTTCGAATGTTGTCACTAGGAGCAACTCTTAGTACTTAAGAGGCTTCGTGAATACGGTCCCAGATGTTCTCATCACTAACCATTTTGAATGTGAAGAACCTTCATCTTTCATCTGAGGGGTGGAGCTCGTTCGAGGGACGGGGCGAAGAGGAAACCGAATGGGTGGGCTGTCCAGTGAAGAGTCTGTGATCATGATGTCACTTGCATTTGCGTGATCTCTGCATAAAAACAACATTAAGTTAAGCAAATGTCAAATTCATAAACATATTGACATCAAATGAGTGTTTTATTTGGACTTGCTTGTTGAGAGGATCCCTGGCCAGTCGTTTACCAGGTGTTTTACAGGGTGACGATGATTCCTGTGGGTCTTCAGAAGAGTCTGATGATATCCTCTTTGACTTGTTAGAGCTTCTATAGACGAGAGTTGAGACTTAAAGCAATGTCAAAAAATGTGATCTGTTTTGGGAAAAAACATTCTTCAAAAACTGTATTTTCTATCAGTCGTGTTGAGAAAACGGTGAAAATCTTTATATTTCTGATAACAAACATCTCCTTGTACCATTCCAAAAAATATTTAGAGAAGTTAAAGTAAACAACAAGATAGTTTCAGATTGAAAAAAACAAGTTTCCTTATGTGGGAAAGTTGTGCGAAGTATTTGACACTTCGACTTACGTCAGTGATCTGTTTGTCTCTTCATGGAGTTCGTCAGATGAGTCATTCTCAATTTCCTTGGCCAAATTTGTTGCGGCTCTGCGTGACAAAACAACAGTGTTAGTTCTGAGCACTCACCGAGCGCCACAGGACCACAAGCAAGCCTCAGAAAACCAGAGAATGACACGTGCTATACAAAGACAGGAGTTATTAGTATTTTTGTAAGAGTCATGTGATAATGACCAGTTACTACTACTCGTTATCAAACTTTATTCCTTTATTCTCTCTGATACCCGCCCAGTACTTCTGCAATAGCTCGTCGGCTTTTAGTATTTTCTAAAAGTCTCTCAGCCATTGGGTGACAAAAGCCCAAAGCTACTGGCCAACAGACTACGCCTTAAAACATCACTACAGTTAAAAACTTCGTCTTTACTTATTGTTATGTTTGACAGGATCTGGCTTTAATGGTAGAGATAAAGAAACTTTGGTCAGTGGGAACACTAAAAATATGGATTCTTTTGTGCGAAAAAATATTACAACCAATCCATAACTTGACAAAGAGAATGTTGATTACAGTGACCCCTAATGTTTCTTAAAAAAAATAGATACCTGTTCCAATTTCTTTTCTTGGCTTTAGCTGCTGACCGTGGCCGCTCTTCTGTTCTTAAATCAGCCAGCTGGTCTTGAAGAGCTGGCGTGCTCTGCGTGCTCTGCGTGCTCTGCGTGCTCCCCTGGCTGTCCGGCTCCACCACTAGACGTGCCAGATTGTAAGGGGGCCGTCTGGTCCTCTTCACCTCTGGTGTCTTTGAGAGTGAACCTGCCTGTTCTTGTAGAACAGCGTCTGTCTGTGGAGTTTGGTCTGCTGGGGACGCCTCCATGGGGCTGCCTGAGTCCCTCTGAAATATTAGTTCCTGCTCTGAGTCCTGATTGGTGCTGTTCTCTGGAGCAAGTGAGCAGTGGAGGGAATGACATGTCCTTTTTTTTTTCCTGTTCCTCTCTCTCCACTTCTGCCTCCAGCTGAGCGAATGGTCTCTCATCTGAATCGTTAGACAAAGCTATGTAAGCTGCCTCCAGCCTGGTCCTTATTATAACTGAATGTTGACTGGGAGAAAACAAAGACACAATAAATAAATAGAGTCTGAGAGGGACTGCAAGTCAATATATTAGAATGGAAAAAGTTTCCAACATGGTTTTAATGAAAACAAAAACATCATTGAAAACAAATGACCCTGAACACACCTGTGGTAACGATCTGCTGATAGAAGTTTTAAAACCAAATACTGTGACAGCTAAGTTCATACTCTTTTATACTTTTTTCTCTAATTCCTCCCACTAACAGCAGACATGTGATCTCATATTGACATTCAGTGTTGCCACGGCCCTCAAAAAAAAAAAAGAGATCAATCAAAACTGAGAAACTCTAATCATCTGGCGAGAAGCAAAGAGAGAATGTTAGTCTAAGATCTGGAAACTCTAAACAAAATGGTAATATCTGTGTAAGGTTTACAAACTGTTCTCTGTCGCTTGTACCACTGCTATTTTTCAGTCCAATAGTTATAGGGGATGAGTGTGTCATATGATGCTCATGATTTAAAGCTGGCATAGTTATTTTGGCATCACTGAGAGAAAATGTCAAATTGCCTACTGTATATATTTTCTTTATTGAGGAGCATTAAGAGAAAACTTAAAGTCTGCACATCCTCTCATTGTGCTTCACACCGACTGTGCTGTTACAACCCTTTAGATGTTGAATTTCTTTGCCTGATTCAATGTCAGTAAGGGCTAATTCTCCAGCATTGGCATTTACTGCCTACACTGTAACCTACTGGAAAGTAGGAAGTTCAACATCCTGAAAAGAGAGTGGCGATTAACACCATAACAAAACTAGCTAAAATCACAGAGATAGAGACAATTGCACGAGTCTCGAATAGCCTTCAGAGCTTACCGATCTTAAAAGAGACCATACTGCACTTTACCAGTAAAAAAGGGCTCATTTTACATTAGCAGGGAAGGTGAGAGCTTACCATGGTATGAAATGGATGATGTTCACAGGAAGCTGAGAGGATGGGCCAGGTTCCTCTTGCTCAACAGCTTCGGCTGCCTTGCCATCTTCCTTTTCTTTTCTTTCATCAAGAAGCCTTTTTGCAGCCTGTAACAGAGATAAAATGAGTCTGTGGACGGGCTGAACAAAAGTCTCGTGATCACTAACAACACTAATGTTAAAATGGAAACCAACTCTTGACGGAACTCAGAGATGGTTAACAAAGAATTCTGCTTCTCAAAATGATAGTAGTCATCAACAAAAAGTTGACAAACAATCAGCATCTCAAGAAAAGAACATCTCAAATCCAACATTTGTATAACTCATTTTGCCTATCCTCAGTCAAAATACCTCACCAATTCAAAAAGTCACCTTGAATGTCATTAAATGTGTCAAAACAACAAGCCTTTATCGTGGGCTTTGATCACAGCTACATACCCGGTGGAGAAAGGGAACGCCGACTGGGCAAAGCCTCTCACAGAAGGCCAACATCTCCTGCTTGAACTGTCGGAAGTTGAGTTTCTCGATGACTTCATGTCTCGTACTCTTCTGTCTGATAAGGCCTGTGAATATAGCTTTCTATGAACAACACACAAACAGGAAATGAAAAAAATTTAGATAAGTTAAATCTGATTGAAATTGTTACCATGTTTAACTACAGATTGATTCAGCATCATCTTCTTAAATGTGTCAAAAAGCTCAATTATTCAACTGGATTTTAATGCAAGAAGGAAGACTACAACACCTTAAACAATGAACACTAGACCCATGTACAGTAGTAGCTACTAGCTGCATCCAAACAACAAGGGTCTGGTGTGACTGAACAAGGTCAACAAAAAAGTCCTCATCAATCACAGAATATAACAGGAGGCATGGCTGACAAATAGCACACAGATGATGAAAGAAAGTCGAACAAGCTAAATTGTAACATTGCCTGTTTATTTTGATAACAAGGTCAACTTTAAATACATGGCCTCCTCCTGAAATGTTGGATGGATGCAGTAATGGGGAGGTTATTTTAAGGTAAAATTCTGATGAGACTTCTTGAATTTATGGAGAATCCCAAAGGCCAAACTGTTATAGTAACAGAACTCACCTTGCCAACCATTTTCTTGGGGAAGTGTTTGTTCAGCACCTCTTTTGCTTTGTCAAACTCTTTGTTTTTAATGAGAATCCCAACAAGCTAAAATAAGAAAACAAAACGTGTTGGTAATCTGATGAAACGTTGTATACAACACATGCTCAGATATGAGAATTGTGAGGGGGAAACAAGAATTCAAAAATACGTACCATCTCTTTCAGTGAAGTGCTGACCTCCTGGAAATCCTGCGGTAAAATAAGGTTTTCACTGGTCATAAGTTCCAGAACGGCTAAGGCTGATTCCAGAGGAGTTATTGACTGGTCCAACTCAAATGTCAAGTCTGCAGGTAAAGACAAATAAAGTCATCACAGTGTTTAAAGACTTAATATGTCACTAAACTAATGATCTACTCATGAATGTACCTACAACTCTCTTAAACGTGGAACTACATTTATGTTGTAGCAGTACTCTTGGAAATGAATATCAGTTTTTAATAATAAAAGTTGTGAAATGTTGGTGAATCAAGTGGCCAAACCTCCGTTTTATTTCTGTAGAATAGCTGCATTAGTGACTTACAGATCTGCATTTTGGAAACGGTGTTGATGTTTTATACTACTCACAGCTGGATATTTATAATAACAATAATAATAACAAGATGCAGCTTAATAAAATCCACAACATTACACACAGTTGCTAACAGGATGTGCAATGTAAATGTATTGATGTTTCTCTTACCAAGTTTTTCGCCTTCATTTATCCGGGAGAGAAACTGCAATACTCTGACCTTTGTTGGCGTGGCATCAGTGGACTGCACAGGACGGACCAACACACCTGTAACAAGCCAAACAAACAAGGTTGTGTTTTTCTACAAATACGTGCCCAGGTGGAAAGTAAATAACAGCAGACACACTGGTCATCGCTCCTTGACAGATGGATAATACAGAAAACAATCTTATCAGCACACATTCATTGGACTTTGCCCACAGTTCCCCTGCATGTACAATTTTAGGATTTCATTTACTTGCAGTGTAAAACTAGGAATGCTTTTCACATTCACACATAACACCGTGCAGCAGACTTAAAACACAGGATTTGACATTTTAATTCCTGTAATGAAGGAAAAGTGCACAGAAAAGTCACACACACAGACACGAGCAATGACGTGGTCTCTCTCCCCATCACTGAACTTTACCCCTTTTTGCAGTTTCGTCACACAAGTGTCTGCATGCATCATTTATTAGAGTCATTAATTTCATAAATATTATTTTTAATTCTTGCATTAGAGGGGGATCTTCATATTTGATAATACTGGATCATTACTCTTCATTCCCCGCTGAATATTAGGTGAATTGTCTGTCAGACAAATGGCCTCTCCTAACACATCGGATCATAAGAAAGTAAGTAGGAAGATATTCTAATGATGTTGAAGATTTTTTTTTACATATTATCCCTATGAAGAGAACAGACTTGGTAGAGTAGTCTAAGCTGATTGGTTAGTCTGATTAACGCAGACGCGTACGAGGCTAAAGCTAATTGCTAATTGCTTCCCACAGTGACGAGCATAAAGCACGAGTTAAAAATGGACAGTAGGACAGTATATATGCAGTGAACATAAACAGTTTTTTATCAATTATTTATTATTTGTCAAACACAATAAGAAAGCAAAGCCCTGCACAACTTTGAGTTCAAGAAGGGGGTAGCTTAATCCGTCACTTACTTTCAACAACACCTCTAAAGCCACAGAAGTCATCGTAGTGGTCCTTTTTAAACACTTCTAATAAACAACAATAATAGTAGTCCACCAACCAGCGGTTGATAATAACTTCAACTTCGTTTTGAGGAATATTTACAGTTTCCTTTGCCGCCATATCCAAGCGAGTCCGCGGAAGCTGTAGGAATAATAAAGAATATGAAGGCGGGTGAAAGATGGACACAGGGTTTTTACTTCCCTGTCTTTAGTCTTCCGGCAATGCTTCGCCGATGTCGTCGCCTCAAATGTACACGTTAAATCATGGACTTTACCTTTACGTTTATCAAGTCTAAGGGTTAAACTTGAAAGTACGAACGACGAGTGTCAGCAAATCAAGCTGGAGGAGTAAAACCTTTAAAATTTGAAAACAGTGGTGCCTGAAAGAAATAGCTCAGGGAATATTTTAACCCTGTTTACTCTTCTTTTGTAAGTGTACTGTAGGACATCGGAAAAAGTTATAGTGCCGCCAACTGGACTACAGAGAGTATTGCTACACTATGAAATATATTTTTATTTTTTTCTAAAAGGATTGTTGCGGTTTATTTCCAATTAACAGTTACTTATTTGAAAATAATAATTTAAAAAAAGTTAGATAAAAGTAATTTTCATTATAAGACTTACCTATAATTTTTTTATCTTTCATTTTTTTTTCTTCATTTGACAATACCAACTCAGCATTTATGGCTAGAAAATGTTTAATGTTAACGTCCCAGTGCCAAAACTGTTGCCTTTGTGTACAATTCTACAATTCACTTAGCAGGCGCTTTTATCCAAAGCGATGTACATCAGAGAAGTACAACATTAATCCATTCATACACCGCCACCGAAGCAGTGGGAGCAAATCAGGGTTAAGTCTCTTGCCCAAGGACACATCGGATATGTTGCTCAGCTGGGGATCAAACCCTCAACCTTCCAGTTGAGAGGTAACGACTCCACCAACTGAGCCACAGCCGCCCTATGTTTACACTTTTATTTACTTGTTAAGATTCCCTCAATGTCCCATAACAACATATCTGTGTCTGTTGTTTATTCTGGGATGATGGTTGCATTTAAAAAGTGGCCATATAAATGTATAGACTACAGTAATGTGTGTATTTTGTTACTGATTTGCTGAAGTGTGTGCCTGCTTCACTTTTAGCTTACAAGATGTTTACTTGATTTTCCTGTGATGCTGCAGCAATGTATCCCCCTCTTTTCAATTAATCTTTACTGCATCTTGAATCTGTTTCTAGAAATTAACAGCCATGAGCCCATGTAACGTAACAGAAACATATACCAAACTCCTGATTAGCATATCATGAAAACATTTTCCGTTGCATTTTCCGACTATGGGAAGCACAACACCTATAAAAAAAGGAAAAGGAAATAGCATTTGATAGAAAACCAATCACAATATACAGCTTTAATGTAACCAACTTTATTATGTAAAAGAATGACATTAAAGATATGACATAAGATCATGACACAATTTAAAAACTTGAATAAAACATTCCATTTATATACTGTTAATAGTAACCTTTATACTTTGTTATAAATTTGATGGACTTTCTCCTAAAGGAAAAATTCTCTCAGGAGAGTAGCAAATAAAAGCTTTGTCGACTGTATATGAAGATGTTAATGTAAGTCTGTAGTCACATCACCATAGTGCTCAGAGTCATAACTATACATCACAAAATGTTCTTTATCCTACATTTTCTGCTTTGGGAGAAAAGCCTTTGACAGAATAGTTTGCATTGTTTTACACCACTTTGCACACTGTCAAACAATCCTCTCCAATGGTGATTGTATTAGCTTAGGACAAACAGCAGGTAGGGATGAACACACAATAATGGGTACCACTCTTTAAATGAAGAGTTTGTTTATTCAATAACTAAGGATGAATGTCAAACTACATACCCTGTAAAAAAAAAAAAAAAAAAATCCTAAATCAATTCTTTAAACGTACAGCATCAGAGAGGGGATATGAATCAAGAAATCCTATGTCGAAGTACTTGTTTACATGAATCAAGCCCAATTTATTGCACAAAACACACCATTCACCATTGAATATTGACATCCATTCAACGCAGCAATGTCCTTCAATTCAAAAAGGCCCATGATCTGCTACTTCCTACAAATACATGTAAGAGTTAAGTGTTTGAGTTTTTTGTTAGTACTGCCACTGTTACTATTATTGGACTCAGAGAACTCTTGCTGGCTCTGGATGTTTTGTTTGCCACCAATACCTGCAAAGTATTTTTTTAATAGAAACAAAGTATGTGTGAAACTGTCAAACAGACAGACATTTCCTATGTATAATTGAAACTGACAGCTTGTATGGGAATTTTCTTTGTGTATGGTAAGTGTACATTTACTCTGCTGTATTACACACAAAATCAAAATCAAGGTTAATTCAAACAAAGGGCTACTGAATTGAGAAAAAGAAACGGTTATTGACCAAACTATACCGATAGAAAAAAACAAGAAAGGTGTTGGTTGGTAAAGTGATGCAGTCCTGCAGAATACAATTAGACATGTGAGGACAGCTTTAAATAAATCCCCTGATATCAGTTGGCTGAAGTGCTGTGTCACTTAGCCCCACAAAAAGATCTTTTACATTCTAAGTACATGTTGTAGTCATACAGCAACAGATATGATCATTTAGTGTAAACAGTGGAGACTGAGTTCCTTCTCCTGACAACCACAGATGAGAACAAAAAGCGGTATGCAGTAAAAAAAATAAAAAGTGACACTTGGATAATCTAGATTTGTCAATACTTTGATAATAAGAGCCTGCCATTCAAGCATGAGGTTAAACCCTGAACTTTAGATTCAACAAGTCTCATCCTTTCAGTGCAAACAGGCCAATTGATTATGTCAAAAATGGGAGACAAGCTGTCAAATAGTGTGGGAACACTTTCATAAATATGGCAATACAAAAGCTGATCATTTCACTTCAATTTAAAGGCAAGAATACATTTAAATAATCTGCTAGATGTAACAGGACTGACATTTCTGGAGTGAAGTAGGAAAGGCCTCTGAAGCATTCGCCGGGCTCCTTAAGACTTTGTTCAGAGTTAAAGATTGTATCGAGCCAGCTACCTCAGCCTCTTTCTGCAAAGCAGCTCCTTTGTAATTCTACAGGCAGGCTGCACAATGGAGGCTGGCCCTTGAGACCAAAATGAGCTCACGAGAGCCAAAAAGGGATTGTGCTAATGTCTCCAGTTCTGCTATTCAAAATGTGGCACCAGATCCTCGCAGAGGAGCATGCAAAGCCAGCATAGCTGCGGCTTGGCTATGTCTGCGACTTGGCCATATCTGCGACTTGGCTATGTCTCAGGGCATTTGTGTCGCTGTTTCTAGGAGTTTAAATGCTGTGAATTTTTATCCAACTGTTACTCTTACATATGGACGCTGACTATAAACAGAAGTTCTTTACATTAGGAAAAACGGTGTGCAAGTAAATTCAAACTGAGTAACATTCAGTTTTTTCAGCAGGCAATGTTGTTCAACCTATATTGCTCTGATATGAAAACCCAAGGAGGCATATGAGTGGATCAAGTGATAGATCATTTGCTGAAAATAGGATTTGGAGCAGCATGAAGGAGGGGAGGAATAGCACATGTACAGACACTGAACAAGTAATACAAAACTGTGATTCTTCCCCCCCCACAAATAAGGATTTGAAACAAAAGTATTTATTTCCAGAGAATCACAACAGTCAACTGTTGAGTTGTGGTCACTGTGATGATAAAGAGGCTTCGGCAGTTGTTAACAGAGGAAACAAATATTTCTACTGGCCCAAGTAGCCGAAAGAGAAAGAATCAACAATTTCAGCTTGAGGAGACAAACATGACAAAGAAGATGAGCAGATAAGAGAAGACACTCAGTCCTGTCAAATAACAATGAGGTGTTCACAGTTTCCTGTTCATTCATCCGAACATAGTGAAAGGCTCATTTTCAGGCTGAGATACCGACTGATCCAGCTGTTACACATGCAAATCGAGGCAGCACAGTTCTTTTAGTGAAGTCCTCTCTGCGCACTATCCAATCTTTCTCCTCAAGTGCCATTTAAGTAATGCATGTCCTTGACTCATCTGGCTTCATGAAACAGTTTCAAGCTTTCGGCCATTTAACTTGACTTGTCTTGGTCTAGTGATGATCTAACTCCTGCAGCAGTCTTCTCAAGGTGCATGAGTTGAGCTCAAACGACACCTTGGAAGGTCTCACCAGGAATAAAAACTGCATGCTTTACCTAAAAACACACACTGAAACCAAAAAAGCTGCTCATGTTAAAACCAATATTCCAGTTGTACTCGTGCAGACCAAAGGTGTTGGGTCACTTTCAGCATGTGCAAGTGATAAGACAAACTTTCAGTGGTGGTAGTGTTGCACTGGAGCAGCCAGTCAGTTGTGTCACCCACACATGAAGAACAGCCTCAGGGAGCAGAGGCTCATCTCTGCTCCCCCGGAAACAAATAAATATCGCTCAAGAGGCGGACTAAGTGTTTAGCGGCATGAGTCTGCCCTGCTCTCAGACAGAAAACTCAGATCCGCCCCGGCGACCTTGTGTCAACAGCAACAAGCGCCTCAGACGCAGGCCTGTGAATGGATTACACCATAGCACGGAGGGTGGACTCCCAAACACAGCTTTCATCCCGTCCCATCTCATGCGACGCTCCCAAGTAGGCTTCTCATTTTTAAGACGTTCAATCTCCTGCAAGACATTCAAAGAGGTCTGTGAATCAAAGGATTTCTCACCAGGTTGTCTGTTTGCTCTGCCTTATTTGCAGGCTTACATAAACAATTACATCTAAAAGGGTAAAACACATTTGGGACAAAAGAAGAAAGGAACTTATATATATAAATATACACGTCACCCCACGACCCTGAAGACATCTTCTTGCTGTGACCCTCCCCAACACACACAAGTTGTCAAAAGAAACAAAGCTTTCAGGGTGCAGCGGACACTCACCGTCTCATCATTGCAGATGGAGTGGATCTGTGTACCAAACATTACAGCTGTGAAAGTGAGGAAGAGGATGGCTTCAAGACAGAGGAAGATCAGCAGCAGCACAGATACCCCCGGAGAAAAGTCGCTGCACTCTGATCAAAGGAAAATGGCAAATGGAAATGGAGTTTTAGTTTTATTACTATTTGACTGGGATGTTAAACAAACACCAGCTAATTTAATGCATTCAAAAAAAGGAGAAACTCCACAGGCCTTTATTCTTGACTGAGCAAAATCCTGCTAAATAGACCCTTAAAGACAACATAGAAATGTTTCTTGGTTTAGTCCAATGAAGTTGTGAAAGTGATAATGTGGTCTGTAGAAGCTGTCATTTGTCTAACTGATGCAATCCCGCACCTTACCTGACCTATAATCAGACTGAAACTTGAAAGCATTCTCCCCAAACACTTCTAACAAGCTGTAAATCATTCACAAAAAAGGTTTTCATCTAAGTATTAGCTGTTGTGTGAAATTGGCTGCCATTTTCTGCCAATCACAGCAGCCTTACATATTATTACATCACATTTGCATGTAAAACAAACTGGTTGAGAATATTTCCTTGATAACCAGAGTATCATCTTGTGCAGTAAAAACTGAAAATTCTTAGAATTAAATGTGTTCATCTCTACAAAGAGACACACAAAGGGGGTGGGAAAGATCAATGGCATCTCTTTGATGACTGTGCTGAACAACTTCATTGACCTGTGGAGAGCAGCTGTTCTTTTCAACAGAAGAAAAGCCTCTACATGCCATAGTTGATACTGAAAAACAGAGAAGCCTTACCGTTCCACTGGACTTTAATACAGCTGAAGAAGTGCATACCGCTGAGGGCCAGGGCGTGGGCCGAAATCAAGGCTATGTACATCTGCAGGAAGACGAACAGAAGAGGAAGGAAGAGAGATGGTAAGTGACCGGTGCAAAAAAAGGCAATTGTGCCATTATCCCACTAGGCTGGCTTAGTCATAATTTCCCTATACTTATAACACATTTGTACATTAATAAAATATAATAAACAATGCACAGTGCTGTAATTAACAATTAAACTCTATATTGATGTAAATATGTTAGCAGAGCAAAAATGTCATCTCACAGGTAACCTTGTACTGCACAGCCATATATAAGAGCTTTATGTTTCTGTGTCAAAAAAGTTCCAGTCAGCACATAAAAGCCATATAAAAAAAGTGCTGATGTTGTGAAAGTCATAAATGGCTGTGAGTACATTTCATGTAGGCTTGTGTCTGATGTGAGTGACATCACTTCTGAGCAGTGAACCTCAGCTGAAAGAAACGATCCAGGGACAATTTTTCCTGGAAACATTTTCTCTTTTTTTTTAATATTATAATTATTTGCATTTTTTATTATGGGCAGATATTAAGTCCTATAACTCAACAAATGTTGAAATAAAAAACGAATTAAAGGCAAATGGCGTACTCAATTTCAAAAAGAACTGAGGCAATGCAAACATGTTCGATTATTAGTTTAAATTAGTCTTATGTGATATCAAAGAAGTGATGAATGTACATAATGAATCTAATCAACCACACCCTTGTTCAAAATGAATGTACCACACCATGAGTACTTGAATGTACTTACAGTGAAAAGTACAAAGAACCTCTGATTCTTTTCTCCCACACAGTTGTTGACCCAGGGACAGTGGTGATCCATCTTCCTGATACATCTTTTACAAATACTGCAGGCAGGGGAGAGAAGACACAAAGGTATGAAAAACACACCTACACAGCTTTCAAGGGGCAGCTAAGATGATACAAGAAGCACATCACTACCTCATTCAGTGTAGAATTGGCCCCTACGCTGTGACTGACCTGCAGTGGTGTGCCCTCTCAGGCTTGATGCTGCAGCACTTTGGGCACTTGTAGATGACCTCACCGGGCTTCAGCTGTAAGCTCTCCATGTACTCCTTGGTTGCATTTCCCTTAGGAACTGCACCCTGTAAGATGGAGGATGATAGATATCAACTATAAATGTCCAAACAAATACATTATGACATGATGGCTAAGTGAATTCAAGCTGGGTGTCTCAAATCAACAGGTGTTTTACTTTCCAAGCAAAGGGCTCCAAACACACAAGGGCTCGGTCGGACATTAAAGAGAGCGGGACTCGGGTGTCACACTCATTGTAAGTCATGACTCACATAGTTATTTTCAGAGGATATACTTGATTTCTGCTATATTTATGTGTAAAAAAATGCACATTTAGCCTTTAACTAATCCAATCTCATTAGTTTGTGAGTCTACATTATACCTGCTGAGTGAGTCACAATGAGCTGTAGCTACCACTTTAAGTGAAATCATCAAACAATGTAAGACCTTTAAGTTCAGTCAAAAGCCCAATCGGACACTTTCCAGCACAGCTGACTGTGTACTATTTTGGGCTTTTAAATGGAGCAACTGTGAAGGCCAGGCTGTTGTGGGCTAGAAAGCACAAGTGAAGCTGTCATCAGTCATCAAGTTTCTCAGAGTAAGAATGAGTCAACGTTGCAGCACTACTGATAATATTTGACCTGCACTCCCTGCAGCATGACAAGAGGATCAGTGACAAAGCCAAAACTTTACAACAGCAACAAACAACAACAATCCTGAACAAATGATATCTATCAATATCTGAAATTATGACTCACCACAAAGACATTTAGGTGCATGCAACCCCCCCCACTCAGTGTGTGCCAGATCAGAGAGCTACAACAAGTATCAGACCCTGACAGAGCATGTTACTTGTGATATACATAAAAATTGAAGGAATTCCTTTCATTCTATAAAACTCCTCATTTTACCGCAATAAAGACTGAGAGCACCATATTACAACTGTATTTAATTCAGAGGTGGCCCTTTAGTTACCCTTCTTTTTTTGAGGAGCCTGTATACATTTTGTCTTAAGCACTGACTCGAGCCATATTTTCTCTGCCCGATTTCTTTTTTTTTTTTTTTTTAACCCTGCCTACTGTCTCTTTCACTCTTTAGACTTTCACTCCATCTATATCCTCCACCTCTCCTTCACATGCTTACCGGGTCAGTCAGCATGGTACGCAGATGTGAGGCCAATGCAAGCACAGCCAGAGAGTTGAATGCGGCCCCGTTCAGCAGGGAGTACCAGAAGTTCTTGCTCGGCAGCAGCATGACAAAGTTCACCACAAATTCAGCGTAGAGCACCAGGAACCAGGTGATGGATGCACACACCATCCCACAGCTGTCCTGAATAAACCACAGTGTGCGGTTTCCTGCTGCATGGGCATGGGGACCCCCGACCATGACATCGGCCGACAGGCTCCCTGACTCCACATCGGAACCTGCCGACAGCAGCGGGTGGTGCTGCTCCATATCTCGCAGTCGGTGGTTTGAAGACTGCATCCTACCCTAGAGAGAGAGAGATGGGGGGGGTTACATTTAGGGCTTCTGTCACACAATCTTTACATTAACTATTATAATGTTATCAAGGTTAAAACATGAATAAGAAGCAGCCTTCTAAAAGAAACTTAACATGTACATATGTGAGTAACTGTATCTCGGACTCAACTGTTCTGGGCCCTTTGAGCGCAGCAACATTTATTACAAGGGACATGAGTGGTTGTGTGTTTCTTGCTCTGTGTTCATGTCAAGGTCACATGAGAGTGTTCAGAACAGGCCCCCGAGACAATGTCGGCTACTTTAAGATCAATCAATGAATACTCTGATCACTTTAGAAAACCGATCCTGCAGCCAGAGAGCATGTGAGGAATACAGGCTAATAATAATCTGTACAACCTTCTGTTGGTAGACATAATGGGACTTACTGACACAGAGTCAACCAATTAGATAATATATAATAATTTCATTAGGTTTATTTTGAGTCAAAACCATTTAAGTATCTTGATGGTATAATGATTAATCAGGGGTTAGATCAAAACAACATTGAGCAGCATGGGTGGAAAAAACATTCACCATTCTTCATATAAGAACCTCTTGAGACCTAAATATAAACAACTATAAGAAATACTTTTTCATTAGAGGGGATTTGTGTGACAATGTATATTAGCTCAGTAAGTTAGACAGACCCTGGACCCTGTTACCAAACTGGGGAAAGTTAGTCTTGACCTCCTTTATGCAAAACAGCCAGAAAAAAGGTTTTGAAGACGTACAAATCCAAAGATTTTCATTTAATGACAATAACATCTGGATTGCTACAGAGGTGGCTTCAGTAGACACACCAGTGTATTACACTGTAAAATGATTGTCTGCAAACTTGAGAGAAGGAGTGTTTAAATGAAGTGAGTGTTGGCATGGCAGTAAGAGTCTTTTCTGACAACTAAAGTGTGTCTTTATCGCAAACAGGAAATGAATAATAGACCTGCTATGATGTGCTGAGCACACAACTGTGGCTTCCTCTTGGATACGGTCATTGACAACCACTCAAACACATGCTCTTTCATTCATAAATAAAAAGGAACATCCCTAAGAAGTCTTTTATCATGCTTTTCCAGTTTTCCAGTCAGTAACTGGTAGTCAATTTGAAGGCAGAATAGACTTTTCGTATTTGTTGATGATGGGGTGCTCTGGTACTTTCTACTATATTGCTTTGACAGATGTCACTGCTTCTATTTGCTGAGTGTATGAATGAGACATTTCCAGTGAGTCAGTGGGTGCAAAGCTAAGCAGGACAGTCTTCAGCTAACTAGCCAACCCAGCTGCTTTTCTTAACACCAGACTGTGCGGTTTGTTTCTGCATCCATCCAAAAACTATCTGTGTCAGTGGGTGTCATTTCTATTGCTTTCAAAAAGGATATACAGAGATGAGAGTTTTTGTCCCTCAGTGCTTAAAACCAGAAATCAGCAAACATGTCCTTCTGACAGAAGCAGCAAATACACTCCAGTTAGAGGAATCTGGTTCCAATTCGGCACAGTGAATTTGTAGAGATTATTGTGAATATTATCATAACTCAAAAAGTACACAATAATACAATTTATCCCGTCAGTTAAACGTTTCTACAAACACAGAAAAAGAGCGGCTTTTCTGTGGGCTATTGAAGGTCTCTCAGACAACATAATTGATAGTGATAGAAGTTAGCCTGAGGATACTCTGCACAAACACGATGTGGCTTTAAATTAAGATGACAACATTTGACAACAAAACACAACGCACATTGAGAATTTGAACAGTGAAAGTGAAAAATAAATGACACAAAGACAGAGACGTCCTAACAGCTAATAATAATATATTATAATAATAATACAAAAAGTAATAATGCTGGTCTAATATTGCGATTGAAATTCATTTTCATGCATTTGGACATTTGTGTGTTACTGCGTCATAACTAAGAGCGATATGGCTTCACCTTTATGTAAACCAAATTTCTTAAGGTCAGTGGGACAAAGTTAAGGACACGCCTCCATTTCAAAGAGGGGCCAATTGGAGCCTGTTGGTGTTCTAGGGATAAGAACTGGACTTATTTAAACTTTAACTGATATGTTTCGAGCTGCATTAAAGAAATCGGCATGCAATCTGGACAGACTATTGACTTTTATTTCTCATCTAGTTTTTTTCTTTATTAAGAAAGTAATAGAATAATACAGATTAATGGGGACAGTAGGGATGGTATGAAATGGAACAAAAGTCTCCAGCAGTGACATAACTGCATCGCCATTCAAAAGTAGGAAAGTGTTACACACTTAGCAAACGGATACCCTTTAAGAGATTTACTACATGATCAGCTTTATTGTAAATGTTGTTATATCTGTTGTCTATGTGCAAAGCTCCACCACTTCCCCCTGATTAGAGGCCTAATTGGATCATTAAAAACAATTGTGTGGGCAAGCAGAGGTCTTTACCAACTGCCCTCCTGACAGATTAAAACGGTTGATGACACTGAACTCTGTCAGTTCTATCCTCATATTACACTGTTTTAATACCAAACACAGTGAGTCTATGTGAGATAACATACAGAATGAGGAAGGTCTGAAGCTGATTGGAATCAGTGCTGATCCAGACTCATTCGATGAGTTGGTGATGGATCTACTCTGTCAAAATTGCACCATAACTCAAGCCAATACACGGGCAACAAAAACAAAGTTTGTCAGCAGCTTAGTAGTGTGGGTCAGGGAAGGAAGAAAAACTGCAACCACAGTTTGAATTAACGACAACCGAACATGATTGGAGAGCAGCTGAATGCACAGAAGAAACATTCCTTGAATGTCAAAGCTAAAAAAGCTTGGACTTAAAGGATAGCACCATTTTAAATATCAAACAACCGACAAACAACAACAACAAACAATAAAGTCTAGTGAATAAATGAGTCAAAAAAAGAAAAAAGATTCAGAATATATTGAATGTGTCAGATCACATCTCATCAGATGACATCTCTCCATTAGTGCACATCAGATCCGCACACATGTATTTCTGTCGATGTGTGTATTATCATGTCTCAATAACTGTGTGAGTGGTCAAGCAATTTCTCCTTGTTGGATAAATGAAGCATATCTTCTTCTTCTTCTTCTTCAGAAAGTGACTGCACGAAGTAGTGTATACTTTTTGTAATTGATTAGTGCAGCATGTGAGTGACCGTAGAAAATGCTAATAGTTTCAGTTTTTGGATGGGATATATTGGACACAAGGAGTTCAATCCATAAACTCAAGTACTGTAAAATAAGTGCAACATGTGTCAAGATTAAGTTTGATATTTACAAAGCCAACACCTGCTGTCACCATAGAAGCTAAAGAAAGGCAATAATTGTTAGCAATCCCAGTAAAAAAAAATGTATAGAAAGTGATGTGCAGAAAAACAGACCTGACTACATGGGGCATCCAGTTCAACAACGGTGTTTGTTAAAAGCTTTAAAAGAATCTTTCATAGAAAGCATCTGTCAGTACGACCTGTAACCAGTGTGTTTATCTCCAAATCACACATCACCAGCCTTGTTGGACAGCATGTTTTTTTTCTGTTAAACAAAGAAAACCAGCATCATCTTTAACAAGGAAGAAAATGCTCCTGGCCAGTTTAGAGCGTATTGATTTTTTTCTGAGGTCAATGAGAGGGAGGTCCATTAAGCCACACCAGCTGCCTGCCCTTCCCAGTCAGAGGGCACAACACAAGACTCCCTCTCTCCTTATCTCACTGCCTCTCTTCTCTCTTACATCCATAACCAGCAGTCACTTCAGTGTCATCCTGCTCACATAACTTTACAAGACCATCACATACTAAGTCACAGCAAGGGGAAGTGTCAATGCTAAAGAAAATGAGATGAAACAAGAGCTAAAGCCAAAAAATATTCCAGAAAGAAATTGGTTTCAATTTACGGACTGATACAACTCATGCTATTTATATTAAAGTGAAGGGTTTTAACAGCCAATGAATTTACTGACACAGCAAAGATATAATGGCTGGTTGTTTAGTCACTGTGTAATTGGACAACCTACATTATCCAATAGCAAATAAAAACATTTACATCAAATATTCCATAATGGCTTCTCCATAACTTGTTATTTCATTAGTCACAAAAGATTGAACAACATTGTGCTATTCCACAGCTTTATTCTCATCCAAACGGTTGAAGGCTTCTATCCATGAATGTATGAATGTTTACAGTTTGAGCCCTAATACAGAATTGCACTCCTATGCGTTCTAATTTTTACTCCTCATCTTAATACTCTGTTGCAAATGACTTCTCAAGTCACTGCTCTCTGGTACTAACAGCTTAGATGAACAAAAAAGTGAACAACTTTTTTTTTTTTTTTGCTTAGTGAACAGCTCCATAAAAAACCACTCCTATGAACAAGTAAAAGCCAAAACGAGGAATGTCACTCTTCCAGCTTTTTCTCTAACAGACAACATGAGCTTAGCCGATTTGCTCTGTTTGCACTTGTAACACATGATAATCTGTCAAACAAAAAGCATGCAAATTGAGAAAAAAAGTGGGGCAACGTACCAAATATGTTCTCTCTTCACAACAACATGCTTATGTGTTGATTTCCTGGACCAGCATTCAGGATGAAGTAAATATGTAGACTGACAGGTAGGCTGATACCTGAAATAGATAAACATGCACAGGGAAGAAGTGATTAACCTCGGGATCAAGAAACAAATAGCCAGTTAACTGCACATATAGATCACTTTTTTTTTTGTTCAAACTGAAACTATCAATGTTGACAAAACACCATACACATCTTTCACTAAAATGCAATACTTTTCACCACTAACTACAGCCTCTGAAATGTCAATACATGCAATCAACTACTTTCAAAGACAGTTATTCCCTATTGCAACCTTTACAAAAAATATATAATTATGGGACTACTGTAGGCTGCATTGAATTTGACCTGCTGAGTGTATATGAATGAGAAAATGAGGGAGGTCTGAAGCTGATTGGAATTAGTGATGATCCAGACTCATTCGATGAGTTGGTGATGGATCTACTAGTATGACATACTCAAACAATAGGTGGTTTTTTCCTCTTTGGATGAACCTTGTGCTATTCACAAGTTGACAAGTGTTCCTTTTTTAATTCCAGAAACACACACCTATCATGATGGATATTCATACCAATGTGGTGACATTGCAAGTGTTTCCCGTTTTTTAGTCCGGGAAGTAATGACAGACCGTCTTGACTCTGAATCCTGCCCTGAGGATCGACCACCTAAATGTAGCAAACTAAAGTGTCAAAGCCACCAAATGACGTCAGCGGTCACACTGACAGTCAAACAGCAGTCTCTAAGAACAAGAACATAACACGAATAACAAAACGACGTTCACACCTTTACACATGTTTGTACTATTATGGATAAGACATGCAATTGAAATGTATCATGCATTTTTTTTTTGAATGATAGTAAAAGAAAGCAAAAACAACATAAATACTTTGATTTAAATAAACAGACAAACCACAAAGTCACGTAAATCAACAGATTACTAAAGGAGGTGTGACTGAGATTAGAGCCTCTGCTGCACCGCTTACAGTAAGGGTCGTGACTGAAAGACAGCCCTATCAACACACACAAACAACTACACACTCACCCACACACACTGTACACATCAGCTCCAACAGCTTGACACTTATCATGCATATAAACTGAAAGGTAAATCAGGCTGGCTAACTATTTAGCCACAAACAGAAGCTAACACGGCTAGCATGCTAACACTGTGTGTACACGACAGGCGCAAAAGCAGAGCCTCCAATACGGACGACAAATTACATACCTTAATAGTCGTTTTTTAATTTGTTGGGGACTCCTTTTTAATACATTTTGAGCTCCTGTTTTGAGCTAAACAACAGCTCCGGCGCAGCCGTGCCCGCAGCAGCGGCAACACATCGCTTTAACAACGAGCTGGTAGTGACCAGTAACGACGGTGCTTCCGGGGTTCACCTCGGGTTCCTCCGTTCGCATTCGGAAATGTCCGGAGAAGTTGTATTATAGCGCCATCCCGTGTATTTGTAAAGAATTGCAACATTAAATGTGCGATAAACTCAATTCTCCACTTGTAGGTGCTATTGGCTAAATACAGTGGATGACATTGACCCCGTAAACTTAGAAAACAGTACTGCATTGAAATGCTGCAGTTATTATGCCTTCATATAGGCCTGGTGAGTTAGGCCTATAATAAACAGTTTATTATAGAGAATGTCACAAGGAGATCTTCTAGCTGTATATTTATGTTGCCTTCAACTAAAGGCTATATGTGAATGCTTGCATGATCACTCCTAGTCTAAGTTCAGTACAATTATTTAAAAAAAAAAACTGGCCTACAGAAAAGTAATGTATTCTGCCTCAATTAATTGTTTCTTTTGGCCCTGAATTAGCCTAAATATAGCTAAATGTTTGAACTTACTGGGGCCACCTAACCATAGAATATGCTTTACAAATACAATTTTCAAAAGTAATGCCATTTATTGCATGTAGGCTATATATCCCCATCAAGCAAATGGCAATTTATCAAAATATATTAACTTTTTGTCGACGTCCACATGGAACTCTGAGTCACCTAGATACAAGGTGCCTGGATACTATTGAATAGACCTGCACTTGAACTGCACTTGCAGTCCCAACCTTGGTCATGACAAGTAGGTATAGAAAGGTTTGAATATTTTATTATAAGTTATACAGAACCCTCAATAACTGTCCAGCATGAGACATTTGAGTAATGTTACTAAAGGCATTTTCTGGGACACACCTACCCCTGACTAGGGGCTGACCTGACCAGGGTGTCTTGTGGTCAGATGGGGACAGATGCCCACTTGTGGCGTCATGTCCCCAGCAGGGAGCAGCAGGAGCTTCCTTGCAGCAGTCTCTGCATATCACGTGTCTCCCAAGAGTGAATAATAAAGACAAGACAAAGCAGCTTGGCCCTTCCCTGGCCTGTGGCTGCAGCTGCGCAGTGAAAGCTCAGGGTTTCTGCCCTGCCTGTTCTAGTTCAGAGCTGATATCAGCGGTCTGCTTTAGGGGGAGGTAGAAAAAAAAACCCAGCAATCCACTAAAGCAGCTTAGCGGCTGGGGACTGAAGCCATTTCCATTTCTGCCTCTCTCTCTCTCTCTCTCTCTCTCTCTCTCTCTCCATTATGGCTGGATAAGCAGCTGACTGACTGCTAAAAGAGCAGCCACAGTAGCTACATTTAACCTGAAGTTTTCTAAAGGCTCCCCCAACCTGATAAACATCCTTTGAAACATTACTTACTTGGTTGTATTAGAAAGGGTGTAGGAGACTGTAACTACCATCTGGGACAAGCAGGTATTTGATTTTAACTCTTGATGCAATCAGGAGACTTTTATGTGATTTAATAATGAATGGTAAGTGCTCATGCAACAAATAAAATCTACAACAGGAGGCCTTGGGTTCCCATGTGCATTACAATTTTGGAGGAGCCCCTGCACTCAAATTTTCCACAAGAACCAACATTTGTTGACATGCCGCATGCCGGCTTTTTGGAGCTAAGTGCTGCAAAGTAAAGTTAAGAACAGAGTGTTTTGGAGGAAGTGTGGCTGTAGCTGGTCCCCCTTCTTTAACCCTTTCAGAAGTGAAAGGGTTAAAGATGTGTAGCTCGGCTTATATCAGAGAGAGGGAGAAGAGAGGAGATAAAAATACCCTTGGTGAATGAGAGTGAAAGAAAACACAAGCAAAAGAAGAGTTCCTGTGAGGATAGCTCAATTCAGGATCAATTTTACTATCATTAGCCATTTCTGTGTCAAGGGAGACTGCCTTATTTTAATTTTTGGCAAAATCACAGCAAAGCAGTATACCTTGTTGTCTGTCTTTCAAATGTAATATGTAAAGTATGCACAGACTCATTTAAAAATAGCTCTACCTGCTTTCAGACACAGCTGTACCTTGCAACATAGTTGCTGCTGTACAGCTGTAGGCCTACTCTAATTTGTATAGGTATTATATGTTTTAAATTGTACATTGTTTCTATTTGTATTCCTACTGGGTTATGTATTTTTTCTTGGAATAGGTCATATTTAAATTGTAGGGGTTTAAGCTTGATCGATGTGGGGCTACTTTGTTTTCCAATTAAGACCTCCTGGTTCAAAAATAGTGTCAAAATAATAATTCAATATGATATGATATGATAATAATTCAATATTTAAAAAGGCTAATCCAACATTCTGCTTGACTTTGATTTCTGTTACAAAATTAGGCTGATACAAATATTCTAAATAATATTCCAAGAACAATGTATTGTAGTTTATGCATTAACCTTAATTACATTTTTACACATACACAAACTTCTGAAAGTTTCCCCAAATTTTTGGGGATCAGCTGCCTGTGTGAATGCAAATGCCCTAACTGTTCAACCCGACTTTACCAGGATCTGCCAGCCAGCACCCTAGTGAATTTTCTGTGTGAAGTCATGGTGATGTGCGAAAGCAGCAGGAGATAGTCATGAAAATTCAACGCAAGCAGTTGGTAGGGGGTGGTGACAGTTATATCCGACCAGTGTGATCTTCATGCACATATTGAACTGCTTCATTATGTTTTCCTGTTTGTCACTATGTTCTTCTTCACTCTTTTACTGATAAGGTGAATGTATCGAACTACACTAATCATTGATATAAAACAAAAATTGTCATCAAAGCGGCGGACTCTGTAGCTTCATCCGCCTTTTCTCCCATCGGAAATACTTGTGTTTTAGCTAATTATTGTATAAAACTAACTAAATCCACTGGAAAATACTTTTGTCTTACAAAAAAAAGAGTCATGACATTTGATCAAAACATTTTATTTTTTATACAGATTTTTTAACAGCAACAAAATGTGGGCCTACCTAAAAACAAACACGCACTGTTTAATGATCAACATGTTTTAGAATGTCAATCATGAAGTTCAATTTCTTTTCAAAAAACATACTTTTATGCCCACCAACACTAGAGCTCAGGAGCTCCACTCCACGTTAAGAAAGAGAACATTTACATCTTAATAACTTTTCAGACAAAGAGTAAAAGCAGAAATAGCTTGTGCTAGCTTCAAATCAACAGCTCATGGGCCTTTAACTTTTGTTGCTAATGTGTTAGCTGCTGTTGGCAAAAAAAAAACACTGGATTGTAGAAAGGTACACTGTGAAAGCTGGCATTGAGTTCAAACATCACATGACCCTAAAGGGCTAATTGATGTTGACTGGATCGGTTTACTGTTCACTTCTATCAATCAGTGCTGTAAATATCCATGACACTGTGCGTGCAAACTTCATAAATGATTACAATAGCAGACTGAAGGTAAATTAGAGCAGATGTATCCAACTATTGAGAAGTGGGAGTATTTCTCTCTCTACAGAGGCATTACGGATAACACTGACCAGGCCATGATGGGATGGCCTCTAACCTTCAGGCTTATCTCCACTCCATCCACCTTTCGCCTCGCCGGCACAAATCCAACCTAGAAGCCTTTTAGAAGGGATTTTCTGAGAAGGGCAATCTGTTGGCTGTTCTGTAACTGCAAGAGTCAAACAGACAAAGGCCAAGACCATATGCCACCCAGTCCACCCCGGGATACCCTTGTTTATTTGAATGCAGTTTCCCAAATACAGATTGAGGCTGAAAATTGTTGCTAGTTTTCCTCCCTTTCTTAGCTATGAAGGCTCATAAAGAGTTTCATAAAGGGTTTCATAAAGGGTTTCATAAAGGGTTTCATAAAGAGTTTCATGAAGAGTTTCATGAAGAGATCTTGCGAGAGTCAGCAGAGGGATATCTTTTTAATCCATTTATTTTTTCCTACTTTCACTTGGCTGTTCTATTTTCTGCATCAAGGGACAGGTATAATGGATTACTCGGAGGTTTATGTGAGAGGAGCCAACAAAAAAGCAAGTACCTTCTTGACAGACACAACTGAGGACATTGAGGAGCAGACTTCTTTTGAAAGAAAAGTTTTAATTAAAAATTCAAACCAAAGAGTCTCAACAAAAAGCTGAGACTGCAACTTTCAATATAACGAGTTGACATAAGACATTTGTTAACTTGAACTTTCAACTCCATACCTGTCTTTGGTTGTCCAGGCCTTGCCTTGATGTGATTGGATTAGAAGTAAGCCCTTACCCTGCAGGTGCCCAGGTCATCTCAGGTTGACATAGTGTGCTATATACTGTAGCACACTTATTCTTCACTCGACTCTTTAAAATACAAGTCATTTTTACAAGTCAAGCTAGTTTAAGTCCACTGAATACAACTGAGTATACAACATGAGTAACTGAATAGTGTAGTTAAGCTTAATTTTGCACAGAGACTAGAAGAGGTGGATGCAGCTAGCCTTGCTCTGTCAAATAGCAATCATCTTGTATATGCCTACAAGCAACTTTAAAAATCATTATTTAGTCCACACAAATATAACAAAATGCAAACAAGACCATTTTCAGAGGGAATTTTGTGCCAGAGGTGCCCATAAAGTATATATTGGACAAAGTCTGAGTGACGTCACCCATCTGTTACTGCAGGGAGCTTTGAAATCCCATTGATGGCGGTCGCCATGCTGGAAATGCTGTCTCACTGAACTTGCAGTCAACCTAACATCGGGCTAAGAGCTGGAGCTGAGGCAGGTTTGAAGCCTCTTGATAAACCCCTTACACCGTGTCCGCCTGATAATCAGGTCAGCTACGCACCTAGTGAATAACGCTTATCCTTCATGAAATCAAAACAGATGAGTTAGCAAAAAATCCACCCCCAATACAATGTGTGCTGATCGATACATGAGCTAATATTAAAAGCTACATGATACAAGATTGGGTATTTCTCTGCCTTTAAAAAGAAGCATTATGCATTCAATCAGAGCCAGGCTACGTCTTTGTCCCCTTTCCCGTCCCTCTAAGCTATGCTGTCAGCTGTCTGAAGCTTTCCAATCTATACCTAAGTATCTGCAAAAGACATGGGT